ACCGATTTCAAATAAACAATTTTGGGCCCTACAATTTTAGGAAAAATACCACCCGGGAAAGGGGACCCGGGCGGACAACCCGGGGAAAATAATTTCCCCCCCCGAAAAATTTTTGGGGGGCAAAAAAAAAATCTATACTTTTATGGGGGCTTTTTCACAGTAAAACCCAAAAATTTAAAAAAACCGGAAAAAAATTTATTTAAGAAAAAGGAAAAATTGACACAACCGAACCATTTATTCCCCAAAAAAATTTTATGAGCGCTATTTTTGGGAAAACCAAAATTAGTAAAAAATATGTTTAAACCCAAAGGGCATTTTAAAAAGTCATGGACTAAGAAGCATAAACATCTAAACTTGAATACAGCACTTTGATGATTTCTTATAAAATCCATAAAGCTACAGCTACTGGCAAAGCCCCGGTAGACATCCGGGGTGATCCGGGAACGACCGGGTACGACCGGAGTACATCCGTTACTCTGCCGACAAAGTCCGGGATGATCCGGGAACATCCGGCATTCGACCCCGGATGGAATAAAATATTTAATATCACCGGGGTGGTCCGGGAAAGTATAGCTTTGCCGGCTTCATCCTTAGCTCTGCCGGGAACGACCGGGGATACACCGGGGAAGCACCGTAGCTGTGCCATGATCCGGGGTATGATCTACGGTAGAGCCCCGGTATATGCCGGCAGAGCCCTGGTAACTACAGGCATAGCTTAAGGTCTTCAGCGTACCCGTTTATATACTATTAATGCCGCATCAGATGAAAAACAAAAATGTTAAAGAGCGGCTTATAAAGTTTTGGAAGCCAGAACTACTACAGGCAGAGCCGCCCCGGTAACTACAGGCAGAGCCCCGGAGGATAAAGGTAGAGCTACGGTTGATCCCGGTAGAACCGATCATTTCAAAAGAAAAACGACAATTTGCGATGATTGCACTGGTTTGTATTAAAACCCTTCCCAAAAAAAATTATGTATCAATGTTATCATTTTCGGGCGTTTTCAATCCACCGGGGTTCTACCGGGGCTCTGCGTGGATCGACCGGGGCTCTGCCCGGGTCTCTTCTGGCGTAATCTCGGAACGACCGGGGAAGCACCGGCATGAACCGTAGCTTCACCTGGGCTCTGCCTGGATGATCCGGATCGCATCCTTGGTGGTTAGTTGGGAACTACCGTAGTGCTGCCGGAGTGTGACCACAACAATAATTTCACCCCGGATCATCCCGGTAACTTACCGGGATGGTCCTGGGCTCAGCCGGGAGACCGCAGCTTAAGTCAGCAGCCCATACAGGCATTTTTTGGCTCCCTTATATAAAAAACACAACATTTCTATTTTTGTTACTTTTTTATTTGGGTTTTTCTAAATATAAATTCTAACCATGTTAATAATGACACTTTAATCTTACAGTTAAAATAATCACTTATCAATATGTACTATATTCACACTTCTCTATGTAAAACTATACAAAATATCACCTCAGATCTAAATAATAAGAGAAAAGACAATAAAGTTATTTTATCACTCCTAGTGCTGTGAAAATATGTCACAATCAGACAATGATAAAAAAGAAGAAGAAGCAAATAATGAAGATTTTCCTTATAGTTGCCATGGCAACAAGAATTTTGTGTACACTTTGATTTTTGGAAAACTATAGAATGGATGATCTTTGAAAAATTTCTATGCTTCAGTGGTATTGAAAATGTGGCTTATTAGAAGACAGACATAATATATCACAATAATTCAATTTGAACACATTTTGCTCTGCTGAGCATAAAAAAATCTTTTTTTTTTGTCAATAAACGCATTCTTGAATCCTTTAGATTTTACTTATATTTCTTGTATGACCAACATCCTTCAAACTAAAATTCTACATTCAATAGACCAAATTTCATTCTAACTTACATTTTTACTTGCATATTGAGAAGCAATTTTTATTTAAGATACAAATCTTTCATGGAAGTTGTAACCTAAAGCCATATTCAGTTATATTTCTTATACATTTGTCTCTTTATTCATGTTTGACCTCAAAACTATGAAGCTATTCGCTGCTATGGCTATAGGTTTCAGGCAAGATAAAACAATTTGACAAAAACCTTACAAAATAAGACCATGCAATACCAGGGACATTCAATATACAACAATAAGTGTGTACTCTTTTAACTAGGATAGGAATTATAAATCCACAAAAGACAGTCAGTTTTTATCACAAACTTTAAACCCTAATATCAAGATATTAATATACATTGCTTTCAAAACTGACCAAGACTAATAAATGGCACACAGAATTTGGATTTCAGTTTCTTTTCAGCACTTAATTTTAAATATCCATTTCTACTATTAAATATCTTAACATATGAAACACATGCTTTCAATTATAAATAGATTAAAAGTTTACAGAAGAGGTAGAGAGAGTATAAAGTAGACCAAGGGAGATAACTGTTACAGCAAATTTTGACAACAAGGGAGATAATAAGACAGAAACTTTGAGAAAGATGCAGAGATAGTGCAGAATAAACAACAAATAAAGGCAAGAACATTAAGATGGAAACAGAAAGATATGCAGAAAATCTAAATGTCGAAAAAATATAAAATACAGATATGTACTTTTGACACATCATAGTACATATAACTCAATCCAACCATTGACATAAATATATGTAAATTTTTCATAATCTGATGTCACTTAAGTACTTTCTATGCAAAATACAATTTTTTTTCTCTTCTAAATATCCACAGTAATGGAAATTCATACTGAATATGTTAAAAGCGGCACATCTTATGAAGAAAAAAAAAAAAAAAAAAAAAACCCCAAAAAAACTTGATTTCTGTTCATTATTTTATATGTATAGTTTATGCAAAGTATAAATCTTCATGATTTAAGGCGAAACTTTAAAGGCATTCCACTTAATGACTATTTTAATCACTAACATTTTATCCTGTACGAAAAGAATAAAGCAACATTTCTGCCTAATTTGACAAGATTTCTGTGGATAATAAGGCAAGTCTTAACTTTGGTAAATCACTTACTTTTCAAACGAGACACTTTTATCTAAATGGAAACTCACCAAAACAATTTTTAAGTATTCATACATAAAAATGATCAAATTTTAGAGATGTGCTGCTTTGAAAAAAAGAACATTAAGATAAATAAAAAAAACTAGAACTATCACTAAATTTGATTAATACCCCCACAAGACTGCTTCGGAAATGAGGATGTTACTAGTAACAGAATACCTTGTAAAAAAATTGAAATATAGAGTTATGGTTGTGGGCAATTAAAGATAGTTGTGGTTCTTGCAGACCTGGGGATGATTACATTGATCAGTAATTGATTTAATTACAATTACTTTCAGATTTTATTGTAATTGATTAAGATTGATTACCCACACTTTGCCTTCTGTAATCAATTAAATTACAATTATTTTAGAAGAAAGTAATTGATTGATAATTGATTACAGTTCAATGTAAAGTAGAACCCCTACTTAAAACCACCCTGAATTAAGACCACCCCCTTGTAATAAGACTATTTTTTTACAATGTTCTTTATGTCAATGGTTACATGATCCAGAATTAAGAAAACACCGCTTATCCACTTTTAAGACCACCTGATTCAGTCCAAATTCTTTGCTTTATTCTTAATTACGACCCTGGTCACCTAACTATTGAGACTACTGATATTAAAGTCAACACCCATCTAGATCTTAAATTTGTTGTATGATCTGCTTGAATGCTTTGCATGACACTTAATTTCACAAGGTGTGAACACGTGTTATAATTGGGTCATTGTATGAAATAAGGTGAGAAAGTAAATTTTAGAGTGTTTTAATGTTGTTTTTAATTTTTATTTGAAAGGTGATTTATGTTCATCATATAATAATTTGATAAATTGAAATCTGACCAAAGAGAAATTTTAAATTAAATTTCTTTAAGGAATATGTTTTCCTCTCATCCGATATCAAAGCATACTTTTATAGTGTCTTTTATATTGTATTTTTAGCTTAAGATACATGCTGTTTTTTTTTCATTTCATACAAAATGACTAAAACAGACCATGGTCATAAAGTATGTAAGCAATGATAAGAATATTCACAATTAAGACCAACTTCGGTCCAGCCCAGATGAATGATCTTAATTAAGGCTTTTTACTATATAAATGTACATTGTAAAACAAAAGTTAAAACTGTATAATGTAAAATAAAGGCACCCTTTGGAATTTAAAAATAGTTTCCTGTTTAAATCTGAAGTAATCAATGTCAATCAAATTGTAATCATAATTACTGACTGAATTTTAGCTGTAATTGATTAATTACAATTAAATTAATCAATTTTGGGCAAGGTAATCAATTACATGATGATTACAGTGTAATCATGTAATCAATTAAAAAATCAATGATTACAATTAATGATTACCCCAGGTCTGGGTTCTTGTATGTTGCATTTCCTTTCAATGTGGTTGGCCATTGATGAAGTTTTATTGACTTACTCTGTAATAAGTCCAGAAAGACAAAGAAAAGGAACAAAGGGCAATAACTCTATAAATACTGAAGATGGAGTTATAGTTCTTGTGCACTGCACTTCCTCTTTTTGTGCTTGACCATTGTATGAAGTTGTTTTGAATTTCAACCAGTACGTTTTAAGTTATGCTCCAGACAAGGAAAAGAAGCAAAGGGCAGTAACTCTGTATTTTATCAAAATGGAGTTATGGCTCTTATGCACTGCACTTCCTTTTAATGTCCTTGACAACTGTGTGAAGTTGTATTGAATTCCAAAACAGTAGTTTTCAAGTTATGCTCTGGACAAGGAAAAAGTAACAAAAGGACAATAACTCTTGTAATTTGTCAAGATGGAGTTATGTTCTTGTGCACTGCACTTCCTCTCAATGTGCTTGACCATTGTATGAAGTTATATTGAATTCCAACCATTAGTCTTCAAGTTATGCTCCGCGACAAAAAAGCAATGGAAAAGTAACAAAGGGCAATAACTCTGTAATTAGTCAAGATGAGTTATGGCCTCTTGTGCACTGCACATCCCCTAATTGTGTTTGACCATTGTATGAAGTTGTTTTGAATTCCAACCAGTAGTTTTCAAGTCATGCTCTGGACAAGGAAAAGTAACAAAGGGCAGTAACTCTGTAATAAGTCAAGAGGGAGTTATGGTTCTTGTGCACTGCACTTCCTCTCAATGTGCCTGACCATTGTATGAGGTTATAATGAATTCCAACAATTAGTCTTCAAGTTATGGCCCGGACAAAAGAAAGCAATGGAAAAGTAACAAAGGGCAATAACTCTGTAATTAGTCAAGATGGATTTATGGCTCTTGTGCACTGCACATCCCCTAATTGTGTTTGACCATTGTATGAAGTTGTTTTGAATTCCAACCAGTAGTTTTCAAGTTATGCCCCAGACAAGGAAAAGTAACAAAGGGCAATAACTCTGTAATTAGTCAAGATAGAGTTATGGTTCTTGTGCACTGCACTTCCTCTCAATGTGCTTGACCATTGTATGAAGTTATAATGAATTCCAACAATTAGTCTTCAAGTTATGGTCCGGACAAAAGCAATGGAAAAGTAACAAAGGGCAATAACTCTGTAAATACTTTACATAGAGTTATGGTTCTTATGCACTGCACTTCCCCTTACTGTGTTTGACAATTGTATAAAGTTGTTTTGAATTCCAACCAGTAGTTTTCAAGTTATGCCCCAGACAAGGAAAAGTAACAAAGGGCAGTAACTCTGTAATTAGTCAAGATAGAGTTATGGTTCTTGTGTACTGCACTTCCTCTCAATGTGCTTGACCATTGTATGTAGTTATATTGAATTCCAACCATTAGTCTTCAAGTTATGGTCCGGACAAAAGAAAGCAATGGAAAAATAACAAAGGGCAATAACTCTGTAATTACTTTAGATAGAGTTATGGTTCTTGTGCACTGCACTTCCCCTTATTGTGTTTGACAATTGTATGAAGTTGTTTTGAATTCCAACCAGTAGTTTTCAAGTTATGCTCTGGACAAGGAAAAGTAACAAAGGGCAATAACTCTGTAATTAGTCAAGATAGAGTTATGGTTCTTGTGCACTGCACTTCCTCTCAATGTGCTTGACCATTGTATGTAGTTATATTGAATTCCAACCATTAGTCTTCAAGTTATGCTCCGGACAAGGAAAATGCAACGGACGTCTGGACCGACCGACCACCGGGTGACTCCTATATACCCCCCCCCAAACTTCGTTTTTGGGGGTATAATAAAAAAATTCAGCCATCAACATAAGTATTTTAAGTTACGTATATTTTGGAATGCATAAAGATTAATTAAGGTATACATGTAATATAAACATAAATGACTACATGTCTATATTTAGACAAGCGTACATGTATATATGATTAATTATACAATGGCACATATATGGGTTAAAAGCACCAATATTCTTTAACATGTACTATTCTGTTGAATTTATGGCTACAATTTAACAAATGTAATATAGCATTTTATAATACCACATTTTTTTGTTATTATTCCTACAGGTATCGAATGCACAAATACCACCAGTCGGACAGAAACTTCACATTGTATACGAGTATAATCCGGAATGAAATTAATGACATACAGGCATTATGTTAAAGTTGAATAAAGTTTACATTAAAGAAACTCCATTGAAACCCAAAAGCCCAAATACATGAAATTTGAATTTCTTACATTTGGGGCGCAAAAAACACACAGAAAGATATGCAAATAATAATTAAGAAATAAACATTGAAATCAATTGAAAATCATACTTTTCTGCTATTTTTAGCCCTTTCAATTTTGGTCCATTTTTCACAATTAGAATTATTTATCTGGAAAAACTGAGTGTGCAAATGATTTGAAAATTTGCACACAAGTTATTGGTCCTGACCATGTATACCTTACATTTCAAAGTCTGAAAATAAATGCTTATTTAACACAGGATCTAAGTTTCTGCACCTATAAAAAGGTTGTATACAGAAACAAAATACACTGAAATATGTTTTCTAACAATGCAAAATGTCTTTTTCCTAGTATAAATAAAAAATCTTCTATTTTTACACATTTTGCCATCAGTTTCAGAAAACAAATATCACATTGAACTGCTATTGTCATTATACAGCATGTGTTTTCCTCTTGCCAAATGGTAGTAAAAAAGTAGTCCCAGATTTACCCCCATGTGATATACATGTCTACACAGCAGATTCTCTAATGACCGGCATACTAATGCATCGCCTGTATTTAACTTGACTTGTAAGTCTGGCTGTTAGAAACCGACGCTGCCTTCTATATTGTCAATCTAGCGGATCTTTCATTGAGAAAGCACCAAGACTTAAAGTGTCACTGTCATCATAAAAGTTTCCTAGACTGATGCTGTCCTCCTGTAATATAGATAAATTATTAAATTATGTGTTCCAAAATTAATTATTTAACTATTTGTTTCAAATTTGTGTTAATACATGTACTTGGGATTTTGTTGCTACCTAACTTACACATATACCTAACTTATATCAATCTATAGGACATTGGTGCCCCCACATTCCACTGTTTTGTCAGACTACAGACAGATAATTGTATATCCTTCCTTAAGTGGGGTGCATAAACACTTTAAAAGTATGTTCTCTTAGGTCCTAAGCATTATATAAAACCATTAATCTGTCAGGTTTTACTAAATTAACTTTAGTAAGTTACTATTAATTCTATGACGAGGTTTGAACTCAACATATACATTAAGATTACTTTAAGGTGACAAATCACTGCTATCAGAAACAAGGCATAGATCCCTACATGACCCTACTCTCAAATGTAGGACTAAACCTCACACATCAAAATTTTAAAGAGTGGACAAAACCCCAGACCTTAATTTTATAGACATGTTTATATCAGATATCTCAACACATGTATTAATTTTATTGCAAGTCTGTTATCTCAATACTCTGAAATATTCTTGATGAATATCCGGATCCGTAAATTGACTCCGGACACCGAATCGTGATTTGAATGTTCAGATTTCTAGACTTCGGATGACATTACTACTTGTTTGTGTTTTTAATCAACATAAAATAAACTTACTGTAAGATCAATGCTACTGGCCAGTCGTTTCCCTCTTAAATTTCCCGGAGTAAACTCCCTTGGATTGTCCTTGACAAATGGACTGAACACGTGAGACACTGCTCGTTTGATACGTCTTGGAGTTTTATTGAACGAGAATGCCCGACTCACTCTTCTACTGAATCTAGAAATAAGAAATAACACTAGCGTCTTTTCATGTTCATTTTCAAAAAGTTTTTTTTTTCTTTTTAAATGTACCACATTCTTACTATGTTATTTGCTCTAATGAACAGACCCTTTTATATTTACATATCTAATTCTTAACAATTTCTTAATTTAAATATTTTATTTTCTCAAGCATGAAAAACCAGTTAGATTATATCTTATAAACATAATATATATAATCAGTTCAATAAAAACAGAACACTTTTGTTTAGCTTTCAATGTCTTCTTCAGTTCATTTTGTCATTTAAATATGAATATATTGACAGCAATTTGTTACACAGTAAAACTAGCATGTTTTTTGGTGTGTTTTTTTTACACCAGTTAAGAAGCACAGATTTAATTTTGTGAGAAAATGACAGATCTTTCAGATGTACACTCTGAACTATTTCTTGCTTGATAATAAAACAAAGACCAAAACTTCAACCAAACCATGCACTGTTTGCAAGGAATATCTTTAGTGAATAATGAAATTGTAGGTATAACCTCAACAAAGTGTTACTTACCCCCCTGTGTCAGGGTAATTAAAATAGCACAACAATTCAGATACAATTTTTTGTTTATAGTCAATCTAACAGCCAATAAACTTACCTGCTTGCAGCCTTGCCAAATGTCTGGTTGCCTAAATCTAATGTGTTAATTTGTAGCTGATCCCCTTCCACAGTGAATATCAAATTGTCCTAAAACAATAGTTTATAAAAGTAGATATTTAAATAGGTACTTTAGCTTGTTATCAAATATAACATATTGCTCAAAAGATTGTTTTCCCTACACATTGTCCCTTAATATATATATGTAATTCACCATGGACAGATTTTATCATCATCATTCTATATTGTGCTATATATAATGAACTTTGCCTCATGAATGCATATTCGGCGCTTGATAGAATTACAAATCAGTAAACCAAGGGCCTCTGTAGCTGAGTGGTTAAGGTGGCTGACTAAGAATCAACTGCCCCTCACTGCTGTGGGTTCAAATCCAGTCAGTGAAATTTTATTCTTTCATGTGAGAAAGCTATCCAACCTGCTTACAAAAGGGCTGGTAATTTAATTCATTTGCTCCTTTGGCATCGATAAGCTCCCGAGGTCTTCCCCCCATCCCCACCACTCATACGCACACAAAAGCCAACATATAACAATAAAATAAAACAGAACACAGTATGATGATCCCCGTATAATTACAACCTTTTAAGATTTCTAAGAAATGGAAATCAACAGGGTCCTATAAAGTTTTATATCAAAATCACATACATTTCTATACATGAAAGTTAGAATAATACAGTGTAAAAAAAAATATATATACTTACATGGTCTGTTCTACAAAGTGTATTAGCTATAGACCTAGACACCTGTGTTATAAAGTTAGTTTTATCCATATCCTCAGTATCTATCATAAATGTAAACAACTTCTCCTTCATTTCACCACTATTTTTCACAATAAGTCCAAAGGCATCTTTACAGTTTTCTGATTCAACAATGTCTAGCACACGTTTAACACACTGTAGCTGTACAAACTCTATATGTTTGTAACCTTTCTGTGGCGTCTTTGATGAAGCTGGACTCTTAGAGTTTAGCACTTTTGTTCTTCTTTTACATATCTGCAAGTTGAATTTATAAGATAATACAAGAATACTGCAGGTATGTACATTATTTAACTGCATACACCTGTATATGCATATTTAAGTACAAAATTAGACAAGATTATTATTAACTGTAATAAAATAACCAATATTTGCTGAGGTTGTCTTTTTTTTTAATTAAGGTACAGAAGCTCCCATAATATGATTTTATTCAACTTGTTCAATATATTCAGTATTGAATCTACACGAATATAATTCTCTATTCATCACATATTCAAATTTTTTTTTCATTGACGCGCCTAGTTAAGTGTAACGCTAACAATAGCGCACTTTAATGCTATGCTTACATATAGCGCAAATGATGTCATCTCAAAGTGTTATTACACTAGTGTAATAATCGTTTTTACCAAATGGCGTTATTACACTCCTGGGCCGTGGTTTATGTGATAAACTGAATTACGATTCCAATTCTAATATATTGCTTTCAAAGTATGCCCCTTGTCTCACAACTACATCTTATCATTATTATCAAGTACTCAATGTTTTGTATTGATGCAAATACCTTCAAAATTGATTGATAAATGGGCTACATTAAAGTTTTTGCACAATGACACAGTGATCTTAATTGCTTGGCTTTTTCTTTGATACAGATGACCCAAAGATAACACACATACTTGTTCAACCAGACTGCTACAAAAAGAACAGTCAAATCAGTATAATGTATTGCTTGCCCATTTGGTCTCTTTCCAGTGGCGAGGGTAAACAAACGCAAACACACAAGTATAATGTATGAACTTACCACAACACTATCTGAGAATAGAAACAAGGCAAGAGGTGCTCCCCGCTCACACAAAGTTTCTGACAATTCTATCACATCTACTCGGCTAATAAAAAATCTGTGTGACGATAATAATGTAGCCTGAAAATATACATTTGTAAATTTCTCAAAAAAGGGAGCTAACTAAAGCTGTAATGGTACATAACTACACTAGTTTAAAATTTTCAAAATCTATACAATCCAGCCGTTTTCATTGTATTATAGTCATATCAGGAGAATTTTAACTAAAAGTGCCTGTTACTTACTGGTTTAATTTGGTTTCTCAAATGCTGATTTTAACAAATTTTTTCGGTCATATCCAGGCAATCGGTGTCCCTCAAAGCCGCTTTCCTGGATAACTCACCAGTAATTACCATTTTACCACTTTCTTCACAACAGACAGAACACTAATTTCACATGACCTCTGAATCACTTGTGAGAGACAAATGGCCATAAAACTCTACATATGAGATCAATTGGCCAACAGACATCACCGCGCCTGAGAATCAACCCGGCAATACTCGGATTACAAATTCCCTCTCCCTACTGAGCAAAGTGGGACAAACTCTTTATTTATAATCAAACATGTGCTCACTGTCCTCAATTATAGTGAATATTATGGTTTACCTCTGATAACCACTTCAGAGAATCACTTCTTTTACTCTGTGTTCATTGTTTGTTATCCAGTGATTAAGTGTGAATTTCTAAACATAACAAGTTTTTGTGATACATTTATGCATCTTTGTGATGCATATGTACACTGTTTTAATCTTAAAAGCCTTAATCTATTCAAACTAACTTCATAGCAAAGAATTCTGAAACTATTCACAATTTTAATCAGGAACAATAACTCTTATATACAAAGGTAATCGCTGAATATTCAAACAATTGCTTAATTAGCGATCATGTACGTTGTTTTATGTAGAAGAATATGAAATTTAGGAGTCTGAAACACAGACACTGCATGCAGTCTTAATGCTCATCTGTTAAAAATTCTAATTCAAGGGACAGAACTCTAAAAAAATATTGCTTTCCAGAATTATGCCCATTGTCTAACAAATGCACCTTCTCGCGATAAGCAAATATTTCAAGTTTCATGTTGATAACTTTTAAAATGTTTGAATAATGGGCTACATGACGTCAACAACGCAGCAACTTTAGATAGACTTTTCCTTCGATAAGAATATGTATTTGCAGCATATTAATCATTGACAATGTTCAATATGTAAACTTTTCTTTTATTGTATTTAACTTACGGGACAGTTTTCAATATCTTTGACAATGTCAAACATCACAACCTGGCTCTCTGTTTTCCTCTTATCTTCATTGATATGTCTGTAAATATATACATATTGTATAAGATGTACTTAACTACAGATTAAGCCTCAGAAATAATTGTGATTTTACTCCATAAAAGGCAGATGTTTTAAATTGATTTAGTAATGGATTAAGAGCATAAGATGCTTATCACATGAAGGAAGCAGAGTTGAATGTGAAATTGTCATAAATTTAGCAAAATGTAAGTGAAACTTTGTCTTCTATACTTCTATACATCACTGAAACATTACTAATGGCCAATCAGAAAAAGATGGCCTAAGTTATATGGCCAAAAGATGGCCTAAGTTATATGGCCAAAAGATGCCCTAAGTTATATGGCCAAAAGATGCCCTAAGTTATATGGCCAAAAAGTACCATTTAAGAAACTGTAACACAACACTAAAACTAAAACTGTTTTGAGAACAAATGCAGATAACAAGCTTTTATCTAATCAGATATCAGATATAACAAGACAATATATAACTTTTCTTTGCAAATTATTTCCAACTCTCTAAAACTTTTCACAGAGTTTTACACTCGAAGAAAATTCCCACTTACGTCATAACTTCCTTCAATACACTGTTAGCTTTCTCCAACTCTTGGTAATCAGGGTTTGATTTATTTGTGTGCTTTAAAATATCTGAAACAATAACCATTTACATAGTTAACACTTTAATATAAGCTCATGCCATGTAAAAGATATACCAGTCTGCATGTTGGTACAGTTTGATCAGGCATATACTGTTTGTTGACTAACTTTATATTTTCATCTTGATATCCCAAAAATTGATAATGGACAAATTCCAAATATGGGAGCTTGGCAAGTCTTTTTTTTTATTCATAGAAATTCAGCAATTTAAAAGTTAATATATCATAAATTACAAAGAATAAAGAATTTTGGCCAAGCATTATAAAAAGTTGTAAGCTATAGCAAACATTCATTTATATGTAACCCTATAAACTGTCAACATGTACAAAACAGCAAGAGTCCTAACTGCTTTCTTTCATAAATTTTGAAAATCAATCAAAATATGCAGGAAAATATTTTAAGATAATATAAAGGTGAAAAATATACCATTTAACAGCAGAGTGACACTGGGTAATCTTTGTACAGGTCGAATCAACAACTCTGTCAGGGTCTGTCTTCCACATTCTGGTTTTGTTTGACATACCTAGTAAAACATATAAAATAATTATAGACAGATCAACAGATAACAGTATAGTACGCTTTAGATAAAAACAAGAGCAATCAGTGATCACATGTGTCGCCTCATGATGGCCAATTTCATGTTGGGACAAATTTTGTGACAGACGGAGGGACAGATGGACAGTGCACAACTAGACTTGGTACTGATCATTCCTGTAAAGTTTGGATAAAATTGCACCAGTAGTTTATGAGGAGTAGTCCAGACAAGCTTTTGCGTATCTGGCAACACACAGAAAAAAAACACCTTTTTATCAAAGGGCCATAACTCATCCAAAAATCATTCAACCGGAAAACCCGTGCAATATGCGCAAGGACTTGAGCTACAGACCAATCCTGTAAAGTTTTATTGAAATTGCATTAGTGGTATAAGAGAAGTAGTCCGGACAAACTTTAAAAATAACAAGAGGGCCATCATGGCCCTGAAGTCGCTCACCTGTATATAGGCCTCCGTAGCGGGGCCAGTTTAAACCCCAGGGCTTTTATTTGAACAAACTTGGTAGACACTCATTAGAAGATGTTTCATGCTAAATATCTAAGGTCTAGCTGGTCAAGGTTTTTTTTTACATATAGTTAAAAACAATGACACACCTGGGACAGGGCCAGTTTGAACCCAAGGGCTTTTATTTGAACAATCTTTCTAGACACTTACTAAAAAATGTTTCATGCTTAATATCTGAACACTAGCTATTCAGATTTTTTGAAGAAGATTTTTAAGTTTTTGCTATACACATATAAGGAAAATCAATGACCTCCGGGGTGGGGCCAATTTTGACCCCAGGGCTTTTATTTGAACAAACTTTGTAGACACTTACTAGAAGATGTTTCATGCTTAATATCTAAACTCTAGCTATTTGGGTGTTTTCAAAGAAGATTTTTAAGTTTTTGCTATACACATTTAAGAAAAATCAATGTCCCTTGGGGCGGGGCCAATTTTGACCCCAGGGCTTTTATTTGAACAAACTTGGTAGACACCCATTAGAAGATGTTTCATGCTAAATTTCTTAGCTCTAGCTCTTTGGGTTCTTTAAAAGAAATTTTTTTAAGTTTTACTATATGCATATAGGGAAAATCAATGACCCCCTTGGCGAGGGCCAATTTTGACCCCAGGGCTTTTATTTCAACAAACTTGGTAGACACTCACTAGAAGATGTTTCATGCCAAATATCTAAGTTCTAGCTCTTTGGGTTTTTTAGAAGAAGATATTTAAAGTTTTTTCTTTTGGTTGCCATGGCAACCAGAGTTCTGCATGGAATTAAATTCTTTGAACAATTTTCAAAGGTGACCACCAAAGGAACATTCCTGTGAAGTTTGGATGAAATTAGCTTAGTGGTTTATGAGGAGATTTCATTTAAAGTTAAAGTTTACGGACGCCGGACGAAAAGCGATCACAAAAGCTCACCCTGTCACTTTGTGACCCCTGTCACTTTGTGACAGGTGAGCTAAAAATTATTTAAGGGCCATAACTCTGACAAAAAATCATAGAACCGGAAAATGCTGACAATATGCACAACTAGACTTGGTACTGATCATTCCTGTAAAGTTTGGATGAAATTGCACCAGTAGTTTATGAGGAGTAGTCCGGACAAGCTTTTGTGTATCTGGCAACACACAGAAAAAAACACCTTTTTATCAAAGGGCCATAACTCGGCAAAAAAATCATTCAACCGGAAAACCCGTGCAATATGCGCAAGGACTTGAGCTACAGATCAATCCTGTAAAGTTTCATTGAAATTGCATTAGTGGTATAAGAGAAGTAGTCCGGACAAACTTTAAAATTATAAAAGGGCCATAACTCTGACAAAAATCATTGAACCGGAAAATGCTGACAATATGCACAACAAGGCATGATACTGATCATTCCTGTAAAGTTTGGATGAAATTGCACCAGTAGTTTATGAGGAGTAGTCCGGACAAGTTTTGTGACGGACGGATGGACGGACGGACAGACGACGGAGAAGTGATCCCTATATGTCGCCACTACTCCGTAGAGGCGACACAAAAATGTATAATATTATTATATACTTATAAAATTTTCACTGCAATGAAACATATTTTCCCTATTTTCACTGGTGTCTTGCCAGACTGATTTTTACTAAATTCAGCAATTATACAAAATTTAAGGGAAAGTCTTTTGAACTGTGATGTCAAAAGGAGAAAAATGTACATCATAAACAAAATTTTTCTATAAATGCAGGATTTATTTTCATCTTCTGCTATCATATTTCACTTGTGGCTAACACCACTCTTAAATTTACCACTTGATGAAAATAAATCCTGTATTCTTTGAAACCACTTGCCCCTCACCGCTGTGGGTTCGAATCCCTACAGGGACTTTGGATTCTTTCATGTGAGGAAGCTATAGGCTAGCTTACGGAACGTCGGTGGTTCTACTCAGGTGCCAATTCGTGCCTGAAATAATGCACGGAAGGGCACCTGAGGTCTTCCTCCACCAGAAAAGCTGGAACGCCGCGATAATGCCTATACTGTGTCGATGTGACGTAAAACTCAAAACAAACAAAACTGTATTCTTTGAAAGAAACAAGATTGCATTTGAGAAAAATGCTATGCCACCATTAATACAACACTAAGCCTTGTACCAACAGACAATAAGGTTTTTTTGATTTTTTTACTATATGTATTTATTGAAAATCAATGACTCCCAGGGCGGGGGCAATTTTGACCCCAGGGCTATAATTTGAACAATCTTGCTTAGAGGTTCACTACACAATGTTTCATGCAAAATATCTAACCTCTAATATTTGTCAATTACTAGAAGAAATTTTTTTTAAAGTTTTTACTATAAGTTTTTACTATATACATATCAGGAAAACCAATGACCCCCGGGGTGGGGCCGATTTTGACCCCAGGGCTATAATTTGAATAATCTGGGTATTAGAGGTCTACCAGACAATGCTGTATGCAAAATATCTAAGCTCTAGGCCTTTTGGGTCTTTACAAGAAGGTATTTTAAGTTTTTACTATATATACATATAGTGAAATCAATGACCCCCGGGGCGGGGCCGATTTTGACCCTAGGGCTATAATTTGAAAATCTTGGTAAGGGTCTAACAGACAATGCCTTATGTAAAATATCTAAGCTCTAGGCCTTTTGGGTCTTTACAAGAAGGTATTTTAAGTTTTTACTATATGTGCATATAGTGAAAATCAATGACCCGGGGGCGGGGCCGATTTTGACCCCAGGGCTATAAATAGAACGATCTTGGTAGAGGTCTACCAGACAATGCCTTATGCAAAATATCTAAGCTCTAGGCCTTTTGGGTCTTTACAAGAAGATTTTTTTTAATTCATTCTTATAATTCCTTTTGGTTGCCATGGCAACCAGATTTCTGCATAGAATAAAATTCTTTCAACAACTTAGGAAGCCCTTCACCCAAGGATCAATCCTGCCAAGTTTGGTTGAAATTGGACTAGTGGTTTTTCAAAATAGGATGTTTTTAAGTTCACTATATAATCTATAGAACACACACACAAACAGGTGAATCACTATATGCCACTGCATCGCAGATGCTGCGGTGGCATAAAAAATAATACATGAATGCCAATTCGCTATTATCAACTCTTTATACGGTTATTTTCTTTTTAATATATACACTCTTGAATTATTTTTAAAAATTCCTGCTTTTTGGAGATTTATATAATATCCTATAATGGCACGCGAGCAGTTCCCGTATAAAAATCGTAGTTACTTAAACATTATTTTTTATTACGCTCACTCACCAAAATTTAAATGTTACACATCAATATTCGGCTCGTCACACAAATCATGGAAATTCCATCATGTTCTAAATATAGAATAACCCTTAGTTATGAGGCGTCATACAGGGTACCGAAATTATCCATTATTTTGTATGAAGAGAAATAGTTCCTGTACATAAAATTTAACCCATTATAATTATACTACTTTGTTATATCAGACCTATTTTTCATTTATTATTGTTGAACAGACCAATTTCTAAGAGATAAATAGATGTAATTCAGGAAATAGAACGTAGATTAAACGCTGACAGTATCTATTACCCGGTACCGTTACCCCAACGCATTCACATGCAATGGCATGCTTGTATGCATGATATTTTAAAGCCATAAATTATTTAATATAGTAATATTGGTCAAAATTCTGATAATTAAACAAGTTTTCATCACATTGCCTACTTATCTGTAAACAAGTGGTATTAGTGGAATACCCTTTAACAGGTCTTATGTGCAAGTATTTTTGCGCATGCGCGCAAGGACGGAATCCCCCAGAGAAAACAAGGTCACGTTTTGACAACACACATGTGAAAGTGATTTAAAATGAGACTTTTTATATGTACTGCCGAACTGACACTTTTTTGTCTAGTTTATGCATCTGCTTGATTTGAAATGAATTTTTGAAGAATGCAAGTAAAAATCAAGCGTTTAAATGAAAAATACGGGTACTGCTTCTGTACGGGAACTGCTCGCATGCCAGTATATACTACATGTTTAACCATACTCATTCTGTCTATAACTGAATCCTTGCAGTCTGATCTTGGTCTGCACTGTTTGCTATTCAGTCAAACTCAATACTTTAATAATTTCATTAAAAAGGATGAACAGTTTTGTCAATCTTTTTAAGACACTTAGAATTGTAATGGTTAAGGGAAGATATATAATTGTAAGTAATACATATTATCAGCGGAAATCTAATGAAAATTATATTACTACAATGTAGGACTAGGAGTATCATAAATTGAGAAATGTATATTTTGTTAAGTAGTAATTAGTCATCGGTTTTTACCAGGAAATTTGCTACACAGTCATGATAGATCAGTTTTTGGTATTTTAAATATAGAAAATATCAGTCTGACAATAGAGGCCAAAATTACTTTTTTTATTTATCTATTATTTTTTATATTTTTTTTTTGGTTTGTGACTTTCCAAACTTACTGGTGAATATAATTTTTAGTTCTGGTGTCCCTCTGTGCATTATATTATACATAAGAGTGATGATTTAAGAACACAGGGTTTCCATTTTTATCTGAGGCAACAGATGTGCCAACAAAAACAACTCATTTGGCCAAGGGGGATATTCTAACCTACATGCTAAAAATACAACTGATTTTAACAGCATTTCAACCGATGATATGCATTGCCAATCTGTTAATAATGAAAACCCTGAGAACGTTCTGTAAGCTTACTGGACTACTTCCTCACATAAAAGAATTACAAATCCCTAGCTGGCAGCCAGTGGACCCGCAGAAGTCAGGTGCAAGTGTTTCAGAACCTCCTGATTATCTCTAATTTAAATATACACGTACAACCTAACACCATTATAATATGAGAAAGTGTTTAATGATTTATAATCAATTCAAGTGTTTTTCAGTTTTATATACATTAAATCAAGATTGTCTAGACGGTTGGCTGATCTTTCTGAGTCATACTTATACTTACTTAATACTTGTAATATGGAGAACTAAGTTAGTATGCTTATTTCTTTGACTTACCTTTAAGAAAGCATGAAACCTGGGGTTAGTTTTATCACATTTTTGTATTCTCTCTTTTGTGTCCTCAAAGAAATTAACAAATGGAGGATATGCTTTTACTAACTCATCGGCCTAGAAAAATAATACATTAAATATTTAAAACAATCTTTAAATACATAACAAATGTGCCAAAACAAAAAAAAAAGAAATATTGTACAAAAATCACAAGTGGTTATGGTGCCTGCCTCTCAACCTAGGCATCATGGGTTGGAGTCATACCAGATTCATGACCAGGTTTCCTCAAGATTTAGTCCTGGCTAATTCCAGGAAGCGGTCTCTAGTATTTCAAATAAGAAGCTACAAACTAAAATTAACTTACTTTAAAATCAAGCATATATCCTCTCTAAACTCAATAAAAAAGTAACATCAAATAAATTTTTGATTTCAAATATTTCCAAACAGTGGCTACTTCAAGACCACTAGCCCGTCTCATCAAACCACACATTTAAATTATTTGCTCATAAATGCCAACAATTATTATTTTACAGCAATATCATTCAACAAGAGACTATCTTTATTTATTCTCACATTTTTACTGCAACAAAATTCTTCAATAATTTAATACTGAAGTCGTAGGTTACACAATTTCATGCTAGAATTATAACGGGGATACAAACTGGAAGTCTTAGGTTCCACAAATTTCATTTATTATTTCATGCTAGAATTATAAAGGGGGAAATAAACTGGAAACCTTACATGTTTACTAATCACGCTGCCAACTAAGTGCTCTTCTTGCCAATCATCGACCATTTCCGTTAGTTCATCACGTATTGAACAATGTATGTTATATATAGGTGGAATGTTTCCAAATATTAACTTGATATCTGGTGCTGCCAATATAGCACCATTATATTGGTCTTGTGTTTCAATCTGTGACTTAAATGTCTATAAATAGAATGAGAATGTCTATAAATAAACATGATGAAATCATATTACATTTTTTGTATATATAAATGGAATGCCAGTCACATATATTGTGTTGTAATAAAGTTCAACTCTAAATATCTAAAATTATCCATACGAAAGCTAACTCATCCCCAAACACTACTTATTTTCAATATATGCTCAGTCTTATAAAATTAAATTTCAGTTTATCCATCTAAATAAACAGCATGTGAAACTAAAAAACAACAACAAAAATTCCAGAAGAGAAATAAAGTAAATGTTCCTACAGATAGAGACAGCTTAAAACAATTCCTCCAATAATGCTATTTTTAACTTCTGGAATATTTACAGTAGAATGAGAATTTTCATTACAATATATCTTACATAACATTTTACAAAGATAATTTACTTACATTCAGAAGTGTATGCAAAATGCCAACATAATTTTTCTCTGTCTGTAGAAACTCTTTCACAACCTGTAGCCTTGGCGTCACCTTTATAACTTCTTTATCATCTGCCAATCAGAAATCATGTCAATCAGTCATGTAATATCATTAGTTATACAACTTGCCGGAAGGATATATGGGAAAATAAAGCCTGTATAGAGTAATTATACCCTGGTGAATTATCCAATGGTTTTTTAAATCTCAGTAGGTAATATGTGCCCATTTATATCCCAACAGTATATATGGACAGATAAAAGTCTTGAAAACTGAAAAAGAAGCCATTAAACAAATTCATTTACCTTTTGTATTCCTCATCAGATATCCCAAAGAATCTGTATGTTTTTATTTTTAATATTTGTGTAGATTCACGTTTTTGTGTTGCAAAAATGATATCAATATTTTATTTAGAAATACATACTTTTGTTTATGCACTTATACTAAAAAAAGCCTGTTCAAGGTTTGTAATTTATACTTCTTTTACAAAAGAGCATGCTTATTTTATTCATTCATTATTTTGTTTTATCAATACAATTATACAAATTAAGTTGAACGATCTACTTGATTAATGAAATTTATGAAAACAAGGTGTAAAATATCCTTGTTATTTATCTTTATTTTCTCTCAATATACTTTATACAATAAAAGGCTACAAAGTTAATACGTTTCATTCAAATTATAAATTTTGACTCATAACTTATAATAATCACTCTAAACTATGAATGATCTTTTAGAAACAATAAATCAATTGACGCCCTTCTACTATATGTAGGCTATTTATTGTTGACATGAAATGCTATAAATAATTTTCAAATGCAAACATCATAACGTCAAAAAATAACTTCAGTAATAAAATAACTTTCATCAACATTGTAGAGAATTCCTACAAAATAATTACTCAAAAAATCTAAAAATACTGATGAATAAATAACAATAATAAATACTTAGATCACAACTCATCAAAACTGGGGAGTTCAAAGGTGAAATCATCTGTTCTGTTTCTTTAAGTGTACAATTATAATCAGGCAATTAAATTTCATTAAGTGTTAATTGATAAGAAAATGGCGTTTTGATATAAAAAAACAACAACAAAAAACTCCTTCATGTTTATGGTAACAAAGTTGCAGTTTTGAAATTTTTACTCTTATTGGCCATACATTTCAATTAAAACAAGGGTGCCATAGTCACAAAATACGCCCGTTTACGAAAGCTTTAGATGGAGATGGGGGCATTATGGATAAGTGTTATCTAGCAAGCAAGTTTTTATTCTTGGCACTGTATTGTTAAATGAACCTTAAAACAAATCAGTAGGGAAGATATGCACAGGATGTGTGACCTTGACCTTGGTCGCAGGGACCTGAATTTTATGCACGGCACTCAACCTCACAATGATGAACATTTGTGCCAAATTATATTGAAATCCCTCTATGCATGTAGAAGCTTTGCTCCAGACAAGCGTTTTTCTATGAGCTCTAACTATGACCTTCACCTTTGACCTAGAGACTTGGTTCATGTGCAGGGCACTACGTCTCATGGGGCACTACGTCTCATGGTGGTGAACAATTCTGTAAAGTAACATTAAAATTCCTCCATGCATGTAGAAAATATGCTCCGGACAACATCTGGATATTTAATCATCTCCAGTGACCTTGACCTTGCAAATATTAACCTAAATTAAATGTGTCACACCTGTAGTCATGATAGTTACCATTTGTGCTACAATCCATCAATAAATGATGACTAAATGGTCCCTATACACATCTTCAAATTTTTATCTGAACTTTGACCTCTATGTGTAACCTTGACTTTGGTCGCAGGGATCTGAATTTTGCGTGCGACACTCAGCCTCACAATGGTGAACATTTGTGCCAAGTAATATTGAAATCCCCCTATGAATGTAGAAGTTTTGCTCCGGACAAGTGTTTTTCAATGAGCTCCAAGTGTGACCTTGACCTTTGACCTGGATCATGCATGGAGCAATACCTATCAAGGTGGTGAACATTTCCATAAAATATTATAAAAATTCTTCCATACATGTAGGAGATATGCTCCAGACAAAATCTGGATATTTCACCATCTTTAGTGACCTTGACCTTGCATATATTGACCTAAAGTACATGTGTCACAGCCGTAGTCATGATAATGACCATTTGTGTTACAATCCCTCAATAAATGATGATTAAATCGTCCCTATACAATCTTCATATTTTTATCTAAACTTTGACCTCTATGTGTGACCTTGACCTTGGCTGCAGGGACCTGAATTTTGTGCGCGACCTTGACCTTTGACCTAGAGACCTAGTTCATGTGCGTGACATGGCTTCTCATAATGGTGAACATTTCTATGAAATTTCATTAAAATCCCTCCATGCGTGTAGGAGATATGCTCCGGACAAAATCTGGATATTTCATCATCTTTAGTGACCTTGACCTTGTATATATTGACCTAAATTATATGTATCACAGCCATAGTCTTGATATAACCATTTGTGTTACAATCCCTCAATAAATGATGACTAAATGGTCCATATACACATCTTCATATTTTTATCTGAACTTTGACCTCTATGTGTGACCTTGACCGCAAGGACCTGAATCTTGCGCGCCACACTCCGCCTCAAAATGGTGAACATTTGTGCCAAGTAATATTGAAATCCCTCTATACATGTGGAAGTTTTGCTCCGGACAAGCATTTTTCAATGAGCTCCAAGTGTGACCTTGACCTTTGACTTAGAGACAAGGCACTGTATTCACAAAGATTTAAGGATCAAGATTAGGATCAATTTGAAAAACTCTTAATATTTTTCATTTTTATCCTCATAGATTAAATATTTAATATTAATTTGATAAAACTGGACTTGCAATAGCAAATTAATGAAATTTTAGAATAAATTTATTGTTTTTTTTTACAAGATACGGGCATTTTACAGTTGATCCAAATATTGATCCTGATCCTAAAATTGATCCTTATTTTGATCCGAATATTTTTGTATTTGTTTTGTTATTTGTTAATTTTATCCAAAAATAGTTTAATTTCTTGGCAAATCAGCAATTTTTTTACATTTTGAATATTTACTTTTTAATTCTAGCTAAACACAATCAATTTTAGTAACATAAAACAATGAAAATAAAATCAGGATATCTTGATCCTGATCTTTTCTTTGTGAACACGGGGCCTGGTTCATGTGCGCGACACTGCTCCTCATAGTGGTGAACATTTCTATGAAGTTTCATTAAAATCCCTCCATACATGTAGGAGATATGCTCCGGACAAAATTGGACGCCGCCTGCCCGCCAGGGGCGTTCCCATAATACGTCCCGTTTTTCAAACGGGCGTATAAAAAAAAAATGACAACAAAAAACAATCCCAAAATATAATATAATAGGTCAGTTATCAGATATTTTTATTTGCTATTAATAATTTCTTTAAAAATTTCAAAACAGATTGACGTTTAATTTATTAAAATCGATCAATTATATAAGAAATGAAGATTATATAGATATCTTTTGTTGACAAGTAAATAAATTTTTTGACGACAGAGCAATGTTTACTTACTTATATTAATATCGGAGATATCTGGTGTATTTGAAGCATCGAGGAACGAGTTCGGACTGATAATACCTCCCATATCACTGGACCTACGTTTATTATAAAGTGGAGATTCAAGCTCCTCGTCTGATGCTAGCTGGGCAATATTCTCTTTCAATCTCTTCCTTTTCCTCGACTTGGTACCAGACATATTTGTGCTTGGTGTAAACAGATTTGATATTGGTTCCCCCTTTAAAAAATAAAATTAAGTAAATTTAATTTTTCATAAGGCCACTTCCCAGCTTTACAGTTTGAGTGCTACTCCATGACTTATTTTAGACATGTGTAGACACCAGTGAAGAAGCACCAGTGTTCTATCAGCTAGCAGCTTCCTCAAATGACAGATGCCAAGTCCCTGGCATATTCTAATCCACGGAAGTGAGGGGCAAGTGTTTTGAAATCAACAAGAATGTCTCTGTTATTTTACATATATGAAAACTCTATATAAACAACAACAAAATGTTCCAGAAGAAAATATTCTGCTTCTTTTATTTTTTTTTTAAAGTAGGAATTTAAATGTTTAGCAATGATTTCTCATAAGTGCAATTTGCTTATAAGGAAAAATACAATTATATATGTATATTTGAATTATTCTTTTTTTTAAGTCACGTTTATTAAGTTTCCTGCTCTAATTATACAATAACACATGTTCCCATCTGTGTATTATTTTAGATACAAACAAGCACCTCAATAGAACTCTCAATCTATAAGGTAGCATAGATAACGTCCAATGAGCATGTTTGATTCTTTATGCCATTTTATACATCAGATTTTTAACATTTGCTGAACATTATTACTTTGGTCCTGCACTGAAAATTCATACAAATATCAAATTCTCAAATATACCTTCTGAAATGTGTACATTTTTTCAGCAGCACAAGCCTCCATCTGTATACATGCCCAAAACCACTGAAAATATAACAACAAAACACTAAACAAATCATCATATTTTTCTTTGTTTGATTTTGGTTGGGTTTTACATCGCACCAACACAGTAGAGGTCATATGCAGATTTTCCAGCTTCATTGGTGTAGGAAGACCTCAGGTATTCCCACCCACTCCCCATTGATGCATTATTCAGGCACAAGTTGGCATCCCAGTAGAACCACCAACATTTAATACGCAAGGATTTAAACCTACAGTGGTGAGAGGCAAGTAGTTTAAAGTCAACGACCTTAACCATTTGGCCACAGACATCCCCTCAACACTTATTTAATCATTAAAGAGAAATAAAACTTTTCAGAAGTTTGTTGGTTTTTATCATCAAACTTATCAAGAATTTTATATAGATGTATCTCTCTTTTGCATTTTAACAGGCAAATTAGAATAGTAAACATATTTTCTTAAAAAAGCATTTGAAGAGACAGAAAAAATTGCATTTTATTTACAGTTATAGAGAAACTACGAAAAAATCTACATATTTCTATATTTTTTTTTAAATCTTGTATAATAAAAATTCTTTTTCATCTTTTTGAATAACAAAAGGAAAACCCTTAGTGTACATCGACTCATATTAAATCAAAATGTTCTGAGAATTAATGAAGAGCCTTAGAATGTTACCTCTCCCTTGACAACATGTTTTGGTAGCATGATATCTGTAGGTAATTCTTTCACGGCTTCATCTATAATAAGATGTGTGCACTCCTCCTCACCAACATTGGCAAACGTTCCACCTGGCAAAAACATCCACAATGATTCATTTTTATGTCTGTTTGGTTTCAAATCTAAAATCTCATAAAAAGAATGACATTCTTATAACGCAACCCTGTGTTAACAATTTCTGTGTAAATCAACCAATCTTGAATGGGATGGTAAGACTGTTCCCCAGGTAATCTATAATCTTTACAAATCAACACTGTTGAAGACGGCATATTCTTATTTCAACTAAATATTTACAATAGCAGTGGCCTGTCAATTACTGACTTGCATTCTAGAAATAACCAAACTTTTCTTTCTGCCCAACTAGACTTGTTACAGGAACTATTAAAATTTCACCTAAGATTGGCAATCTGAAATTTCTTTCTCAAGTATGAGGGCAATTAATATCAACTTGAGGAGTAAGCTGTCCGCTTAGCTCAATAGGTATAGTGTTGGACTATCAATCATGCAACCAAGGTTTGATTCCCAGACATTGCATGTCACTTTCATTTTGATTCATCATGAAATCCTTTCTACTTATAATTCACTGTACCTCTGCTCTGATTAGTAGAGAAGTTATCAGTTCCTTACAAAAGTGAAGGCAACTAGTACTGGTAAACTGCTTGACAGTCTGCCTAGCAAAATGCTGTGGCTGAACTTTGCTCTGGTTAATTCAATGTGGTGCTTAATGCCGTGATCGGGATCCAGAGTGAAAACTACCACTACAGCACCACAACTGGAGACGATCTAATTGATACAAATTATAGTTACCGTTTTCTATAGTGACTTCTTCCATATGGTTTTGTTCATCTTTGGAGAAACCAAGAAAACTTAAACACCTCTTGTAAAATGGCGCCAACTTGTACTTCATCTGAAATTCGTTCAAACCATATATTGGTTTTTATGACACATCTGTACTGTTAAGGGTACAATAATACTAAAACATAAATTTTTAAAGGCTGATTCAGTGCCGAAAAGGATATATTTTTCCACAATTATAGAAAAATAGAATTATATAATTTCCCCCCCCCCCCCACCTCATTTTTTTACAATAAATAAAACCCCTGGATGTTTTGGACAGATTTAAACAATGGAATGTATATATAGCATGTATATGTTCAGGGATATCCTGGTTTTCATTATTCTGAAACTGAATCGGTTAGTGTAGATTGTTTCAAACCTTACTGATTCTGTTTTTCCTCCCTAAATTGCTAATGACACATTTTACCCCACCTGATGTGCCTGCTAACATTCCCCAACATGTGAGAAAAAGAATCACTGGTAAAGTTCGAATCTTTGAAAATTTGGAGAAATACCTAAGGTGCCTAGATGTGCATTATTTTAGGAACAACAAGAGCTGTCCGTAAGACAGCGCGCTCGACTTTTTTATTGCTTGCCAATAAAAAAAGTTTTTGCAGTAAAAGGCAATACAAGAATCTCTGTATTTTTAAAGTGAACAATGGCCATGAGCATTAAGATATTTAGTGAAGAATTATTTTATTATGACATAATTTATGGTAAAGTGAACAAGTGGATAGGAATGAATTTTTTTAGATTTTTTAAGTTTTTTAGTGCTTGCCTATAATACAAAACATTGACAGTTAAGGGCCATAATTCAAATAAAATCTTTGACAGAATTACCTTCTCCTGGACATGTTTGGGAATCATGATTGTAAACAAGTATTCCAACTTTCAAATTAATATCTCAAACAGTTCAGTCAAAAAGTGGACTGGTACTAAAAACTTAACCAAGATTCTAAGTCGATAAAAGGCCTTAATTTTTAAAACAAATCCTTGACAGAGTTACCTTCTCTTGCGTACAGATGGGGGTAATGATGTGAAATAGCATTAAAAGTTTCAAAGCAATATCTCAAAGGGTTAAGGCAATAAGTGGATTTTACCCATATTCAATGTATTTTCTAAGTCAAAAAGGGGCATAATTCTGTCAAAAACCTTGACAGAGTTATGTCCTCTTGTCTGTTGATGAAGGTCGTGATGGTAAACAAGTATGGTCAGTTTCAAAGCAATACCTCCAATGGTTTTGAAATAAAGTGAGGTGGTACAAAAAACTTAACCAAGCTCAATCCACTTTCTAAGTCAAAAAAGGGCCATAATTCTGTCAAAAACCTTGACAGAGTTATGTACTCTTGTCTGTAGATGGAGGTTATGATGGTGAACAAGTATGGTAAGTTTCAAAGCCATACTTGTAATACTTCTGAAATAAAGTGGGGTGGTACGAAAAACTTAACCAAGGTGTGACGCCAACGCCGACGCCGGGGCGACTAGGATAGCTCCCCTTTTCATAGAAAAGTCGAGCTAAAAAGGGCATCTGAGTATACCGGTAAGTACCAACCTTCCATACTCTATCTATCACCTTCATTACTTTTTTCATTACAAATTATAAACTTATTTCATGTCTTCTAAATAAAGGAGTCAGGATGTGGATCGTAAAGGAGAATGAATTACACAAAAAAATATTCAAAACAAGTTGGTATCTTGGTATCTTCTTTACAAAGAAATAATTAAAGCAGTTTCCTTTAAATTTAACTAAAAGTGAAAAGCAAAGACATCAAAATGTTAAGGTATTTTATTTAAGAAAGAGTTCACAGCACTGAAGGCCTCGTTGAATTGTGACCGATCAGTCAGCTGGCAAACATTAAACAGAGGCTGAGGCCCATTCAATGTCTGAGTCTGACTTTGAGGTCACTAAAATGCAATGAGGAGGCTGTGATATGACAATTGTCTACAAGATATAGTATGAGAATTGACTGTAATCAGAAATGTCACAGGACGGAAACACTTACCACACTTTGATCATCAGCTCTAAAATCTATCTGGTCTCTTTCTGTCCACACACGGTTCAACCAGTCCCTACTCATTATTGGTGTCCCTAACCCAACTGCATACTGAAATTAAAACAACATCCATGAAACAATGAACAAATTCTATATACTTAATTAAGAAAACTAGAAATGCGTTCATAGAACATGCATCTATGGAGAATGATACCCCAATATTGCACTGTCCTCAGATGGGCAGCATGAAGGACAGACAAGGGCTTATCCAAAAATTGGAAGCATAAAAGTTAGAAAAATAAATTTTATTTTTTAATACTACAACATATTCTTATGCTGAGACCAAAGCATTTGGGATCTATTTATAGAGCTCACCTAGTTAAGCCAATGCACTAAAACTAAAATCCCTTGATAAAAATAACACTGAAATGACACTTAAAGCTCTTATTAAAATGAAGTTAAAATAAATGGCAATGACTCATCTTCAAATATATATGACTACATAATACAATACAATTATTCTTGTGACTACAGTAGTAGGGAAATCACCTTTTTTTCACTAACACAATCTGTTTGCAAGCATTTTTGTAAGTGTTATAAGTATTATATATATTTGTTAGTTCAATTGACTCCTTATGATCAACAAATGTATGTATTTGAATATAAATTATCCTTGATTTTTTACCACTTCAACTGCAACTTTTTTACCTACACAGGATAAAGATAAATAGCTTTTCCTTGCTATATTTCTTAGTCACATGTAAGAATTTGGCAGTGTCACTGAGTGGTTAAGCCATTGGACAAGTTATCAAGCTGGCAGCACTGGTTCCAAACCCTGCAGGGTTAAGCCATTGTTTCTTTTAGCGAGAAATTGTACACTCATTGCTTAAAATTGTTGGTTCCAATAACACATTTGAGAGTATCAGCTTCTTACACAATTCAAGCATAGTAAATTTGATATGAAAGATAAACATTTAAACAATTCACTATTAAGTATAACACACCCAGCAAACCCTTTTCATAATTGCTAGAAATTTTTAGTGTTTTTTTTTCAAGAAGATATTCTGTTGTAATGTTATTTACCCTTCTGAATTTCATGAAATAAACACATGTTCATGTCAGTTATTTTTTTCATATTACTGAACTGATGTCAGGAAACCCTTTCCTTTATAATCTTTACCCCTCTGAATTCATATTATAAATAAGACACTTTCATTTATAAGATAAGTAAATTAAACACAAAGCCTACTGGGGTGGGGTGGGGGGGGGACAGTTTATACCCGGGGAACAATCATGAGCTGCTAGATATCATTGTCATGTCAGTATAAATATTTAATTTTACCCTTAAGTTATGAGTGGTTTTGCCCAGACTGGAACATGGACAAGTCCCGATTAAGATATATAGCATATAGTAAGGGTTGTTGAATTTCAGTGTGAAAATACTAAAATAGAGCAGTTAAGTACATGTATATGCAATGGTCAACCTATACAGATGCCTCCACAGCTGCTTAGCTACATTGATCATTGATATATGTCAGGCTTTTTTTTTATCCCATGTAGAAGGGACTCTACCCTTAGATTTGGGATAAAATAACAACAGTATTTTATGCAAAATGCAGAAAAAAACTTGATGTTAATGTAAGTTTAAACATACTATGACTTAAAAAAAAAATTTCTGAGGGGAAGCAGCCTGTGTAATGGCCTGTGCTATAGAAAGAAGAAAACAAAAAAAGTATAAATAAATCAAAGAAACACACACACAAAAAAACATTTACTTACTTCCTCACTTTCCTCACAAATCATTTCCATTTTCGATATATTTACAATTTTACACTATTTGTTTATAAATATAGTAAACTGATTATGCACATATCATTAGATATCAATATGGCCTGACAAATACTTTGAATCCCACAGGAAATAGGAAAACAGCACTTCAAAATACAGATGACATCTTTTTTTTTCACAAAAGGGCCACATAACTTTAATATTTGGTTTCCGCAAATATTAGCAATTTCAAATTCACGTAATAGCTTTTACTTATATAAAGACCAAAACAAATCAACTTGCAACTAATAAATCAAACAAAAAATAAGCATCATTGTAATAGAATGTGTAAAGAAACAGCTGTGTGAATAATATTTGTGAATAATATTTCAAACTTTATAACAAAGTCACATAACCCTTCAAATTTTTTATTTTTTTTTTAAAACAGACCCAAATTATCAGTGATAAACTGATTAAGTGATAAAAGTGATTTTAAGAATCAATTCTGAATTCTATACAAATGATTTTAAGAATCAATTCTGAATTCTATACAAATGATTTTAAGAATCAATTCTGAATTCTATACAAATGATTTTAAGAATCAATTCTGAATTCTATACAAATGATTTTAAGAATCAATGCTGAATTCTATACAAATGATTTTAAGAATCAATGAATTCATCACAAATGAATTAAAATGAGAAACTACAAATGTGTCCATAGGACACGGGTGCCCCCACCCCGCCACTGTTCTGTCAATCTTATGACTCTAGGTCAAATATTTTTTGAAAACTAAAAATCTTTTTACTAAGTAAAGGGCAAGAACTTTACAAATACTGAATAAATCCCCAAGCAAACCCCAAGTTGAAAATTGCAAATTTATACTACTGTAAGTCAAGGGCAATAACTCTAACAAAACTGAAAAAAATCCACATGCAAGGTTCATAGCTTCACAGTGATGTGAATCATTATTCCTGTAATTAAGTGATGTTGATCATTATTCCTGTAAAGTTGGTCGATTCTAACTCAAGCACTCAAGGAACAAGCGAAACCCCAGGAACAAACTAAATATGCTGAGCAACTTTCCCATAAGGTTTAATGACTCTATGTCAAATCCTTTTTGAGTTACATGCGACACATGTTGAAAATTGCAAACATTTTCTAAGTCAAGGGCAATAACTCTAAAAATACTAAATAAATCCAGACGAAAATACCCAGGTGCACAACTACACATGCTGATCAACATTCCTGTAAAGTTTCATGACTCTAGGTCAAATACTTTTTGAGTTACATGCGACACAAGTTGAAAATTACAAAATTTTACTAAGTCAAGGGCAATAACTCTAAAAATACTAATAATATCCAGACGAAAATACCCAGGTGCACAACTACACATGCTGATCAACATTCCTGTAAAGTATCATGACTCTAGGTCAAATACTTTTTGAGTTACATGCGACACAAGTTGAAAATTGCAAAATTTTACTAAGTCAAGGGCAATAACTCTAAAAATACTAAAAATATCCAGACGAAAATACCCAGGTGCACAACTACACATGCTGATCAACATTCCTGTAAAGTTTCATGACTCTAGGTCAAATACTTTTTGAGTTATATGCGACACAAGTTGAAAATTGCAAAATTTTACTAAGTCAAGGGCAATAACTCTAAAAATGCTAAATAAATCCAGACGAAAATACCCAGGTGCACAACTACACATGCTGATCAACATTCCTGTAAAGTTTCATGACTCTAGGTCAAATACTTTTTGAGTTACATGCGACACAAGTTGAAAATTACAAAATTTTACTAAGTCAAGGGCAATAACTCTAAAAATACTAATAATATCCAGACGAAAATACCCAGGTGCACAACTTCACATGCTGATCAACATTCCTGTTAAGTATCATGACTCTAGGTCAAATACTTTTTGAGTTACATGCGACACAAGTTGAAAAATGCAAAATTTTACTAAGTCAAGGGCAATAACTCTAAAAATACTAAAAATATCCAGACGAAAATACCCAGGTGCACAACTACACATGCTGATCAACATTCCTGTAAAGTTTCATGACTCTAGGTCAAATACTTTTTGAGTTATATGCGACACAAGTTAAAAATTGCAAAATTTTACTAAGTCAAGGGCAATAACTCTAAAAATACTAAAATATCCAGACGAAATACCCAGGTGCACAACTTCACATGCTGATCAACATTCCTGTAAAGTTTCATGACTCTAGGTCAAATTCTTTTTGAGTTACGTGCGACACAAAAGAGAACGGACGGACAAACGGACGGACGGACAGACAGACGGACGGAAGGACGGACGGACAAGGGTAAATCTAAATGCCCGCCACTAATGTGGGGGCACAAAAAATATATACAAATGTACTAATAGGACAATTAAAAAATATTTATATTCCATTTTCCTATTTTCTTTTCTATCTATATATATACATATGAAACCGAGAAAGACCGTGAATCTTGAAAAGTACTTTAAAAATTAGTAAGAACTTATTTTATGACTCTCCATTTCTTCAATACAATACGAAGTAGGATATTTAATTAATCAGCTTGTTAAAAAAGCAACAATAACATACTAAATACAACGATGAGTAATAAATGCAAGTAAATTAGTAAAATGGATATTCCAATTTGATAGTTATATTGATTAAATTGGGTTTCTTTTTAGATTGTCTTGTTCAATTTTAAGTCACACCAACACTATTTTAAGGTTTTACTTTAAATTGTAGAGGGGGATCTCAGATGACTAAGCTAACTATTGATATCTCACAGTAAATAATTCAAAGACCTAGTAGGGGTTTTAAATCCACAGCATCAAGGATCACATGATTTGATGTCTTAGATTTACTTCCCATTAGAATACTATGCATATATATAATATACAAGAGCACTGCATGCAGTGTTAATGCTCATCTTTAAAAAAACAAGATATGTTTGTAAAACATGTATGCCCCCTATCAGCAGCCAATTGGTCATGTGATAAGGTTATTATGCATGACGTCTGACCCAGTGATCAAACAATTAATAAGGGTTATAAAGTATCTACAGGTCATGACCTTGACCTTTGACCCCTTGACCCAAAACTCAATAGGGGTCATCTGCTGGTCACGACCAATCATCATACAAAGTTTGAAGTTCCTAGGCCTAGGCGTTTTTAGTAAATTGATCAGAAACCGTTTTTACCTACAAGGTCAATGTGACCTTGACCTTTGACCCCTTGACCCCAAAATCAATAGGGGTCATCTGCTGGTCATGACCAATCACCATGCCAAGTTTGAAGTTCTTAGGCCTAAGGGTTCTCTTATTATTGATCAGAAACCGTTTTAACATACAAGGTCAATGTGACCTTGACCTTTGACCCCAAAATCAATAGGGGTCATCTGCTGGTCATGACCAATCACCATGCCAAGTTTGAAGTTTCTAGGCCGAAGCTTTCTTTAGTTATTGATCAGAAACCGTTTTTACTTACAAGGTTATTGTGACCTTGACCTTTGACCCCTTGATCCCAAAATCAATAGGAGTAATCTGCTGGTTATGACAAATCACCATACCAAGTTTGAAGTTCCTAGGCCTAAGCATTCTTGAGTTACTGATCAGAAACCGTTTTTACTTACAAGGTCATTGTGACCTTGACCTTTGACCCCTTGACCCCAAAATCAATAGGAGTAATCTGCTGGTCATGACAAATCACCATACCAAGTTTGAAGTTCCTAGGCCTAAGCGTTCTTGAGTTATTGATCAGAAACCGTTTTTACTTAAAAGGTCAATGTGACCTTGACCTTTGACCCCTTCACCTAAAACTCAATAGGGGTCATCTGCTGGTCATGACCAATCATCACACAAAGTTTGAAGTTCCTAGGCCTAAGCGTTTTTAGTTAATTGATCAGAAACCGTTTTTACCTACAAGGTCAATGTGACCTTGACCTTTGACCCCTTGACCCCAAAATCAATAGGTCATCTGCTGGTCATGACCAATCACCATACCAAGTTTGAAGTTCCTAGGCATAAGGGTTCTTAAGTTATTGATCCGAAAGCATTTTTACCTACAAGGTCAATGTGACCTTGACCTTTGACCCCTAGACCCCAAAATCAATAGGGGTCATCTACTGATCATGACCAATCACCATCTCAAGTTTGAAGTCCCTAGGCCTAAGGGTTCTTTCATTATTGATCGGAAACCGTTTTTACCTACAAGGTCAATGTGACCTTGACCTTTGACCCCTTAACGCCAAAATCAATAGGGGTCATCTGATTGGTCATAACCAATCACCATACCAAGTTTGAAGTTCCTAGGCCTAAGGGTTCTTTTGTTATTGATCAGAAACCGTTTTTAATTAAAAGGTCAATGTGACCTTGACCTTTGACCCCTTGACCCCAAAATCTATACAGGTCATCTACTGATCATGACCAATCACCATACCAAGTTTGAAGTTCCTAGGCCTTAAGGTTCTTTAGTTATTGATCAGAAACCGTTTTTATGTACAAGGTCAATGTGACCTTGACCTTTGACCCCAAAATCAATAGGGGTCATTTACTGATCATGACCAATCACCATACCAAGTTTAATGTTCCTAAGCCTTAAGGTTCTTAAGGTATTGATCGGAAACCGTTTTTACCTACAAGGTCAATGTGACCTTGACCTTTGACCCCTTGACCCCAAAATCAATAGGGGTCATCTACTGGTCATGACCAATCACCATACCAAGTTTGAAGTTCCTAGGCCTTAAGGTTCTTTAGTTATTGATCGGAAACCGTTTTTGCTTTCAAGGTCAATGTGACCTTGACCTTTGACCCCTTGACCCCAAAATCAATAGGGGTCATCTACTGGTCATGACTAATCACCATACCAAGTTTGAAGTTCCTAGGCCTTAAGGTTCTTTAGTCATTGATCGGAAACTGTTTTTGCTTTCAAGGTCAATGTGACCTTGACCTTTGACCCCTTGACTCCAAAATCAATAGGGGTCATCTACTGGTCATGACCAATCACCATACCAAGTTTGAAGTTCCTAGGCCTTAAGGTTCTTTAGTTATTGATCGGAAACCGTTTTTGCTTTCAAGGTCAATGTGACCTTGACCTTTGACCCCAAAATCAATAGGGGTCATCTACTGGTCATGACCAATCACCATACCAAGTTTGAAGTTCCTAGGCCTTAAGGTTCTTTAGTTATTGATCGGAAACCGTTTTTGCTTTCAAGGTCAATGTGACCTTGACCTTTGACCCCTTGACCCCAAAATCAATAGGGGTCATCTACTGGTCATGACCAATCACCATACCAAGTTTGAAGTTCCTAGGCCTAAGGGTTCTTTAGTTATCACTCGGAAACCATTTGGTCTACGGACCGACGGACCGACGGACCGACAAGTGCAAAGCAATATACCCCCTTTTTTTCAAAATGGGGGCATAAAAATATTTTCTAAGTTCAAAAGGGGAATAACTCAAAATATATTGTTTTCAGAATTATGCCCCTTGTCTAACAAATGCATCATGCCATGATAAGCAAGTACTTCAAGTTTCATTGTGATACTGTTTTAAATATTTGAATAATGGGCTACATTAAAGTTCCTGCACAATGACAACACTGACAAAGTCATAATAATAGCTGGACTATTTCTCCCAAACAGACGAGCTAAAAATAGTTTACTAACCTCATATTTTTCTCCACCAATCACATTAGCTACCACATGTGTAACATTACTTTTGAAATCTCGTCTCACATTCCCTGCCATATAATGTACCAGATCTACAAAATGACACTGAAAAACAAAAATCCCAACCAGTTCAAGTTTAAAGATATATCCAACATGAACAGAGTCAGAGACTGCAAAATGTTTGACATTGACATGATAAAAGCATAATATTTTAGAAGTCACAAACATAAAATTGAGGAGTAAATTACTCTGAAATTGCCACTAACGGAAACTCTAATCATAATGACAAAAAAGCTTCTTTTCTCATCTGAAATTTGGTGATTTGTTAAACATTAAAATAGAAGTCAAATATTATCCTCATTTAAATTAACAAAACTACTGAAAATTCTTTACTGAATTTAAAAATGAAATAGAAAGGCGAGGTTTACCCAAAATCAGCTCAACTTAAAGGCAAAAATGACCTGTTTTCATGAAAAGCACTGTTTATAAGTTTATTATCATCTAAAGTTTTGTAATTTTTACAATTTACTATAAGTAACCATGCTATTATTTCCATTTAGAAAGGCATAGACTTTTGTGTTTTTAAAATATCTATGATAATCATGAAATTTACACAAAGATGTATTCTCTAAAAAAAATATGACATACTGACAAAAACAAACTTACCAGATCAGCCTTTTCCTTAAATCCTGAAAAGCATACTTTAAGACCTAACATTGAGAAACAATACTGAGGTCTGGAGTTGTATGGAATGGGCTGAAATAAGAGTGAAAAGAAAAGAAAATAAATGTTACTATTTCATCATCAAAAACAAACTCCACTTCTACAATAAACATACAAAATTTCCCTTCAAAATAACAGGCATTTGGAAAGCTATGTCAAATAGCTGCTACGAGAGCATCCTAAGTATGAAGTGAAATTTCTGCGAATAGATTATTTCTTTTAAAATTTAATAACATTGTTGTAAGTAATTTAGTAATAGTATAAGATTTTAAAGAAAGACAGGCATTTAACGCTCTTGCATGATCTAAAGACTGAAATTTTCTGGAAACTTGATAAAACATGAAAATTAATTCAAGTACACCAAAATGCATCAGAATCTTCGATTTTATAAGTAGTTTTTTTTTCCAGTGATCGACTAGAATTTAAAACCTTAGCTTGCATGTTCTTGCTGAAATTTTGTGAAAAATATTTAGACATGAGACTTCTTTTATATTAAATAATATTTGAGAAAAATCTCACTATGTTATCTCTGGCACATCTTATGATGACAGGTGGTCCAACGATCCTGACATCAGCTTTGTGTAATTTGTCAAACACTTCACCTTTGAACTTGGACAGTACAAATACAAGATCATATTCAGAGGCATCTTCGATATATTCACACCCAGTTTCAGACTCAAACTCCTCACAATCTAGTTTCTGAAAGTGTTAAAAAACATAATACTATGACACAAGATTATATTCAGATTCAATATATTTAACTTTACCCCCCTTGTGGTTGAGGGGTTGCCTTAAAGGGTTGAAGCATCATAATTGCAGCCACCGTTTATCAGTTTTATCACTGAGTGATCGTAAGAGGCGACTAAATGGACTTAAATTAATGTAGTCTCACCAGCAGATAGGGTGGTTTTGACCCCTGCTGCTGCTTTATGTTTGTAACAACAATGGTTAGCCAAAATCATCTGTCCTGTTTCTGCGCCATTTGACCTTAACTGTGGTGGTGCACCATAAAACCCAGCGATTTTTTTTCAACACGCAAAAATAAAAAAAAATGTGTAAAAACTATTATTTTCATCACTTATACAGTATATATACAATTACATTGTATATCTGTTTGCTTTTAATTAACTAAAAAGTTCATAATATTGCTTAGTTACATAAACAATTCATTTCTGTCCTAAGGAAATAAAAGAAAAACAAGGTTCAATACCTTGACAGCTTCAACAAGTTGTTTGTTCTGTCGACAGTCTTCACCTACCAGTATAATTCTCATCTCTTTATCATCTGAAATAATACAACAAAAGCACCATCAATCTTTGCATCATCATTAAACAAATATAGCTGTACATGCCTACAATTAAACTGTTAAATTCCTTCTATATTACAAGTATGACTATCATTTAATATGTAACAATCAGGAAGTTCTATTTCTACATTTAAGGATTTACTATATAATTATATGATCTTAACATAAAAATACTAAATCCATTAGAAAGATCCAGGGGAATCTGAACTAGTTTACTAGTTTAAAGAAAGAAATGAAAAGTGCAGCTCAAACAAAGGAGTAAAAGCTCTTTCAATGAAGTAGAACATGCAGATTTTCTACAAGCGCACAGTCACATGAACTGATAAATTTTAAAGATTATTATATGGTAATGTTTTTTTCTTAATTCCCCCATTCCCCTGCCCTCTGGTCCCCTTCCCCTACATCCTTATCCTTTTATTGGCCTTTTAATACATTGTCTATCTTAATGTCTTTGTCGGTTTCAATGATTTCCTATATTGGAATATTTATATAATAACACCCTGTCAAGTGGTTTGCCCTTGTTGCCCTTCAGGTTTTTACTAGAGCTCCTGCTGGGCTCCTTGCTGGTGGTCCTGTGTTCCTGGGTTATTTTGGGGGATGCAATTGTTGAATGTCACCTTTCCTTGTTGATCTTTGTTTTCATAGTCAATCATGTGCCCATTAATGAGCTTCCTGGGAGACCATGATTCCAAAAATCAGTGCTAGGACCATTAAAAGTCTAAGTTATTTGTTCTTTTCCTATAAAATGTACTAATTCTTTTCAATCAGGTTTTTATTTTGGGAAGGGTTAGGGCCTTCCAGAATTTAAAATTGAGTGGATGTTAAAGTTTTCTTACATGACAGATACCTTGCATCTAGGCAAATTAGTAAACAGACTTGCCAATATAATATATCAGTATATTAGAAAGAGGAAAAGCAACAGGAAATACTGAGAAAATCAAAGTTAATTATAAATTGTTATAAAATAAGATAGAAGAACACACATTAAAAGACGACAACCTTACAAAGCTGTATAGACAAAACCATGGTGGAGAAAATAAACAACATTTTAAAGCATCTTTAACAGTGGTGAATCCACCCCTATCTTAATAGCGATGGCATTAAAAAAGATTGGAATTTGGAGTGCATCTACCAGTTAGCAAGAAGAACAAAAGTCAATTAAAAACAGGTTTATCAAAATCAAGAATTTTTTTTATTAGTAAAAGACACAAAATAATACAGTATGTTATTCAGAAAAATATATATCTATTAATAATGATCTCAGCCAAAGTCACAAACTTACAGTATATATACAGACATATTAGCATACAATTATTTATATTTACCTACTACCATATCCTTAAATAAAAATATTTATCATATCCTTAAATATCAATGATCTTAGTAGAATCATCCTTATTGTATCTTTAACACTTGGGAGTAATTCTAAGCAGAAAAAATCATTACAATTCAGAACAAAAGAGTTCATTGAAGCCATCTTCATTCTTGACAAATTAGCTATAAATAAAATCTTGTCATGAGCACTCTGAAAAAGCTGACTGAAAACATATTATCATTAAGTAAATAATAAAAGTGATGACTAAAATTTATATGTATGTGCTTTCCTCAATATCTGTGCAGGGGTTCCAGTTTGCTTGCAAGAAACTGGGTCATTTTTAGCTCAACAATTCAACAAATAGGAAGAGCTGTCATACTGATCTTGGTGTTGGCATCTGCGTCTGATTTTGGTTAAGTTTTGTATGCCAGGTTCAGTATCTCAAAAACTAATGAAGGGAATTGGTTGAAACACACACCGTCTTGTCCTTTGTAAATTTATATCAAAACATGAGGAGCGCAGGCCCTAGACAGCTCTTTTGAAAGTTGTTGCCTGTTGGCTCGTAACATATTGCACGAAAAATGACCGGGCTACCTGCTGGCCAAAGTGACAACCCTGAATGTGATAGCATGACAAAGACATTGGACTTAATTCTGTCATTTATGTGCAAATCAGCAACTAGTACAAGCATTTCAGCTAAACATTTATCAAGCAAAAATAATAGAACAAAGCAGTGGCTTTACTAAATTTCTAACTATTAGTGTCTCAACAAATATATCTGAAATTCAAAGGGTGTATAGGGGATCTTTGAATGGGGGTGGGGGTGGTTGGTGATAAATTGCAGTTCATTGCATGTGTAAAATATTAGACAGAAAAGCATTATCTATATAGACCAGACTTTTGCTTTTGCAGTTTTTCTTAAAACTTAAAGACATAAGTGACAAATTTTACTGAAATTTCATTATCCATATTATACTACATGTAAAAGGCAAAATTATGAAAGACAAAAGTTGATATTAATATTGGACTTATGAGTATCTTATATCACTAATGTTTTGTAAAGGAACTTGTAAATGCTATTTTTTATTACTATTTTGGTGGTGGTGGATGGGTGGGGTGCGGGGGATTTGGGAGTTCAACAAACATAAATTACAGGAATAGTTATGTTATTATTATAGAAGGCCTCCACCAGATATCTAAATTAAGAAATATTTTTGTACCTCTTCATGATTTACATAATACAAATGAGGGAATTTTTTAGTAAAACTTGGGTAACAACATGCACATTTATATATTTGCCGATCCAGGTTATATATACATGTATATACCAGCAGCTACAAAGCAGCAACCTACCATAGTAATGACAGTTTGCACAACAATGACGAGTATGACGCTCAACAGTAGGTCCAATATTTTCAACGTCAAAATACATGTCTAAAAAATCAATCAAGTTACTTAGTTACAGTTACATCTTGACCATACCAAAAATTAGAATTTGTATATCATAAAACTAAGCTTTTAGCATTCACTTGCATCGAGTGTATGATTTGATTTACTTGTTTTATTCAAGTAACAAGTATTGAGGAAATTCACACAAATATCCCTCACAAAATTCAAAGCCTTTCACTTCATTGTTTTCATAGCATGACTAGGACTGTAATAAGCATCTAAATTCTAAATCTCTACATCATTTATATTTGAGTGCCCTAGTATCACAACAGGCATTTTTTCATAAATTTCATGGTTTAACTTTATAAAAAAATATTTAATAATATTGAAATTGGGAATTTCAGCGGTGTTTTGTTAAAAATTGGGAAAAAATACATGACTGAAATTTTGCAGTGATTAAATGGATGCAAACAATTACTATCTATGATGGCATCTTCAAAAATTTAAGCACTATTACAGTGAAGAAGCCCTTATTTGCAAAGATTTTAGAATTTTTATTCAAAATTTTTATTTTGTAACTTTCAATTGGAAATTTTTTAATGTGGATTGGGAAAATAATATACTATTTTCAATGAGAATATGACCCAATAACTGCTATAAAATAAGCCAAAAAAATCCCTGCACAAGATTTATCAGAGCTTTGTTTCAGGCACTTAATTCCTGCCTATAACACTCGTAAGAGGGGTTGGCAGTATCCAGACAGATAACCAGATTCATCAATTTGGTGCCAAAATTTAAATTTGGCTACATTCCCCCTAAAAATTTATATATTATATATCGAGGGCTGAACGGAAAACTGTCGTAAGTCACATTTACACAATTTTACAGGAGAAGCAAAAAATTATTGTATTACTACCTGAAAAACTTTTTGTTAGTTTTAAAGTCACAAATAGGCATTTAATATTCTTATTTTACTAAATTAATACCTGATATCTGGAAAAAATGTATACATATGATAATATTGATGAACTTTTGACTTACGACAGTTTTACATCTTAAACATATGAAAAACTCATACTGATGTTAATGGAAAAGTGTCGTAACTCTTGACATAGGTACAGTTTTCCATGTTTTTTACTGCTTAACAATTGATGGTGACACCTTTTTATGATTTAATGTGACAAAAACTTAATGTTTTCATTTTATTCAATACACATTTGAAAATTGGGCATTATTAAATTAAGAAAAAGAATAATGGGGACAAAGATTAGTGTGAGTTTAGCAAATATAATTTTATTTTCTTCATATATTTGATTCCGATCTTAGGTCTATGTAATGTTGTTGTTGTATTGTATGTATGGTTTTAATGAATTCTAACAGTTTATTTCACTTGAACATATTCTTAGAATAATCATACCAACTGTACTTTGTCATAATAAACACATGTTAAAGAGGCAGATATTGCACAAATGTTTATTAAAATTTTGGTATTAATATGGAAAACAGATCTTAAGATTTGACGTTACCATTTTGAAAGAAAAAAGTTCTTTAAAGCCTTTATTGAACTGTCACTTGCACTGCTGCCTTGACTTTGTCATTGCTTGATAGCAAAACATTAAGGTCCCTGCAAAAATGTTCTCAATCAAGAAAGGCTAATAATTCAGTAGAAATCCATGTTAGAGTTATGGATCTTGCCGATTGAAATAGTAATACAATTAAGACCATGAAGACATGAGAAGGTTCAAATAAAAACTTCAGTTATTGTGAATACAGAACCTGCACTCAAAACGTCAACCTAAAAGGTCCTCATTTCACAGAGGGGAACAGTAATGTTCAGTTACCATCCATACTAGAGCCAAGGTTTTGGACTGAGTGACCTACAATAATAATCCTGAACAAATTTCCATGAAGATTGAAATGAATACATTCTGTGCTTGAACACACACAAACTTAAACAGAAACATTGTAAGTTCACAAAGGGGTATTATTCATTCAAAATCCATGCTTTAGTTATTTGTCCAGGGAGTGACCTACTACTATTATTCTAATGACACTTTTTCAATATCTGGGAAAAAAGTAATCCCTTGGAAACATTAAAACCAGCAAAATACTAGCTTGAACATTGCAGACTCGGTTTGATTGAGTCTTTACATGGGAGATAATGAAAAAGTGCAACATTCCTCATGCCCCCAGCACCGACTTGAGCAGTACTCAATTTTAAGCAATTAAAAGTGCCAGAAGTAATGATGTTGAGGGACCAGAAAAATATTACTATAACAACACTTAAGTGAGCACAGGGCAATTTTTTATGGCTGCCAAATGGCACTTGACACCTGCTGTTGTGATATATAAATATCTGAAGAGAAGGTATTCCCTCAGAAGCATTAAAAACCAGGAAAATTACTTGAAAATTGCAGACTTGGTTTGATTGAGTCTGAACATGAGGGATAGTGAAAACTTGCAACATCCCTCGAGCCCCCTATTACCTTGAATAAGCTTGAGTGGTAGTCAATTTTCAACACTTAAAAGTGCCGGAGTCATTATGATCCCGAAGGACCAGAAAAATATAACAACACTGAAGTGAGGTACAGGGCAACTTTTTATGGATGCAAAATGGCACTGAACACCAGTATTGCTATTGTTATGTTTCAAGTTACAAATGAATACCTTCAACGATATTGATCATACACCCAAAACTCAAACCATGATTTTTCTTCCATATAATTCAGTCAAAGTCAACGCTTTAGTTACGTGCCTTGCACATTGACCTGCATTAATTTTCATTACCCTTCAGTGATTGAGGATATGTACAGTTTCACTAGGAAGGCAGTAATTTGCCTCCTTGTATATCTTTATAATTTCTTTCATATGCCCAAAAACAACAATATCCTTATTTATGTAAACCGATAGAGGCTAAAAATATATATTTGACTTTGTAGTTTTACGTTTTGTCTTATTTTTTTTTTTGTAAATTTAAGACACCGATGTTATAAGGCTTTTAACATGTGAGTGTGTCATGTCATTTTTGAACAGTTTTGTTTTGATTTTAAAAAAATATCATGGTCATCATTTGGTCATACTGCAGTCATCCATTTTTAAATAGCTTCCTAAATCATGAATATTGAAAAATGTGCAATTACAGTGCATGCTCACATATTTTTTATAGGTAAATACCTTAAATGCATGTTTTATTCCCCTTTAATGTATTGCTGTGTCACAGTTTTTATGTAAGAATATAGTCAGATGCCACTGAAGTTAATAACTTCTCAAAAATATGTACAAGGAAACCAACTTCTTGAATGTTGGCATAAGAAATATTGAAAAAGCAACTTTAATGAGAGTTTCATAAATTTATATGATAGTCATAACATTTTGTAAGAAATAGATTTAAAATAATATTTAACACATTAAGTTTTGTCATTCTTAATTTAATTATTTTGGGTATGACCTTTTTCTAGGAACTTGCTAGTTACCAACTGAATTGATTTCAAATATTTTAAGGCATAATCAAAGCTTGGAGACAAAGATCCTATTTTTGTTTTGGCAACAACAGCAACTTATCTCCTAAAACCTCTTTTTAAATGTATAAAAGGTTTTATTCCAAACTTAATTTGTACAATAATCTAGACTTACGCAGTAACTATCATACGTTTTACTGTGGTAAATGATTCAAAATTAAACTTTATAAAATGATACATCCCTGTCAGCTAAATCTTGAAATGAATAATTTCATTGTTATGTTATATCTTACAAAGGTTCCTAGCTGTTATTTAATATGAAATTTGAAAAATATTTATTTGGTCTTTAATGTGTTTGAATATACATGTAGTTAAAACATTGAACATATTTTTATGGAAGCTGCTGTCTGTTTTTGATATACCTGTTTTTGATATACAAGTACTTAATTCTTGAAAAACTTAATAGTTCAATTATCATGTTGATCATGTCACAGTTTGTATCAATGAAAACATTGAACCGTTATACCAAGTAAGTAAAAAAAAACATATTTCTCTAGTATTTTTGAAATAGAACAAAGATTTTAATTGAAATGCATGTACATCCTCAAATACATGTTAATCAACCATGGCTATCAGACAATGATTGAAGTATTGTATATAAATACTAATTAGATGATGCTTTTTTCATGTTAAGCAATTTCTCATAGTAAAACTGCATTTTAAATGCACAAGATAAAGACATAATCTGAGTTACAACAGTTTTCCATTACAATTTTACAGTATGTATATTAAACTTCATTATGGAAAACTGTATGTAACTCAAGTTACGACAGTTTTCCATTCAGTAAAATAATACCTTAGAGTTACGACACTTTTGCAACAATCATGTAAAAGTGACTTATAATGAGAATATGTTGCTAATATTTTTTGTACAGATGTATTAGGGGTAATGATTGTCAAAAATGCAAAAAAGTGATTTTTGACAAAAATGTGACTTACAACACTTTTCCGTTCAGCCCTCGATATATATCTTTGAAAATATTCTCTTTAAAAAAGGTTTAAGATTACTTTTGATAGAAAAAAAAATTATCTTGGATAAAAGAATATTTTATCGACCTACAAGGTACCTACCAAACCAAAACGGGCGAACCAAAACTAGCATGAGTCGCAGGAGGGGAAACGGGCGAACCAAAACTAGCATGAGTCGCAGGAGGGGAAACAAAGATAATTTTATAGCTTGCCCAGTTGCCAGTATCTAGAAGGAAACTTATCTCTAGAGTCAAATATTTCTGAATTTCATGTGAATATAAATTTCATGGTTTAACTTTATAAAAAAATATTTAATAATATTCTGAACGGAAACAAGACAACTCACCCCCCAGACGATTCACCCCCCAAAAAATCAAGACAACTCACCCACCAAAATAGTTAGACAATTCACCCCTCATAAATGATAATCATGTTTATTGTTATAAAAAAATCAAAAAGTCAGTATATTTATTTATTTATTTATTATGTCATATTTATTCACAAAATATAACTGTATAACAGCACATACAGTATACATGATGTATACAACAAAAAATATAATTTTATTCAATGAAATCAAATAGCACATAGTTTATATTGAGGGAAATGCCCATAATATATACACTTTTCATAAACATATTATCTATCATTTATTTAATAGTCTTGATATTTTTATTGTATATATAATGCAAACATGTACAACTGTCTGCAGGAATAATTCAATTTTTCATAATCTTAAAGTGCTAAAAAACCTATTGTTTATTCTACATCCACTCTTTCATCAGAAGCACTCCACACCTTACCATTGCTTGATTGTCACTTCAACAAAATATTCAAAATGAAAGGGATTAAAGAGCAAATGATTATCACATGTAAATATCTTTGATGTGTCATCTCATAATAACATCAATAGCACTAACACAAATTAAGACAAATTTATGGTGAATTTGTATTTTTTACTGTTTGTATGTAAATAATATGTAAAAAAAATTAAAGCATAGTAAAAATAAAATTTTTAAGTTTTAATTTTTTAAAAATTAATTTTTAAAATAATAAAAAATTTTTATTTAAAAATAATTTAAATAAAGGAAAAAAACCCAAAATTTTTTTATTTTTCATCTTTTTTAAGATAAATTTCTTAAATTAAATTTTTAAACAAAAGGGGGGGGGTTGAATTTTGGGGGTGTTTATTTTTCCAATAATTCGGGGTGAAAAAATTTTCTGATTGGGGTGAATTGTCTGGAAAAAATGGGGAGGGTGAATTGGGCTGGGGGGATGAGTTGGTCTGTACCAAAGGAAAAGGGGACGGAAAATGCTTAGGGGAAACTTAAAAAGTTTGAAAGAAAAAGGGTAAATTAAGAAGAAATTAAAATTTTAAATTTCCCCCCTTTTTTGTTAATTTTAAAGCCAAAACTGATTTACAAAATTGGGTATTGTTTTTAAAAATGCAGTATTGGGGAAAATAGATTTTTTTTCCCCAAAGAAACGGGTTTTGAAAATGCCCCAAAAATTTTTCCCCAAAAAAAAACAAATAATTTCATTGAATTTTTTTAGTTTTTTTTTTCATGACAGTTCCTTATATCCCTTCTAGTTTAAAACAATTATCTTTAAATTTCTTTAAAGGGAAAGCTTAATATACTAATTTGTCAAAATAATTTTCCCTGCCAATTTTAGGGAACAAAATTTACCCCTTTCGGTTTTCCCGCTCGAAATTCTTGTCCTTCCGCCCTTTTGGGCTTTTTTTTGAAATTGGGCCCCGGGGTTTTGTTTAACGGAAAATTTCCGATTATTCCGTTATTTTCCGTAACGGTGACGGGAAAACACGGAAAAGAACGGCGGATCATCAAAATACCACAATGCATTGGTGTAAACAATGGTGACAGATGCAGGGTTTATATAGAATATTTATCAGTTTATATTTGGAAAATTGAGGCTTACAAGGCGAGTGTCATTTTTTTCTAGGGCTAGGGATAGAATATGCATCTGCAAATGTAAATTAATCAATATTTATTGTATTCATTTTATGAATATTGAAAAGCATAATGCTTAATTTATATATTGTGCAAGAGATGCACGTGCAAAATAATTATTTGCGTACATTTCAGTGCAATCAACTGTCCTTCTGAAACTCTTTGCATAGTTGTTTTATTTTCACGAAAAATTAGAGCTATTGAAATTTTAGAATTAAAAGTTTTGCCTTTCTGGGGATGGCTTTTTTTAAAAGTTTTTTAGTAGAAAATGTCCAAAAAATTTTATTTTTTACCTTAATTTGGGTTTTTCTTATATGATAGGGTTTTTTTATTTTTTAACCTTTTTAAAAAAGTTAAATGTAGTAAAATTTATTACCGGGGCAAATGTTCTTGTTGCTTTAAATTTTTTGAAAGCTGTTGCTAAGGGTTTTGTTTCCCCCAATTTTTTTGTAATTTCCGTCCAGTTCTAAAAATTTTAAAAATTTGGGGCCCTTTTTTATATTCCTTGAAAAAATTGTCTTCATACTTTTAATTTCAAGAACCTTTGGATAAAACTTAATTAAGTTGGGCCCAAATTTTTCACCCGGTTTAAAAGGGCATGGGACCAAACCCCTAAAACCCCCCCGGGGTTACCCCCCAGAATTTTTTTTACCCAATAAAAACTTCAAATCATTGAAGATACATGTTAATAAAAATCAAACAAAAAATTTTTGATGTTTTAAAATATGTATTTTTTTTTGGGAGTTTATAATTTGGAGTTTTTGGGCCCCTTTAAAAAGTTTTTTTGCGTAAAGCATATAGAGGGAAAAATTTTTTCTTTTCTATTTTTCCATAAATGGCGGAAAATTCAACAAATTTATGGGGAAAAACCCTTTTAATACCAAGAGGAGATGGGCATTTTTAATCCCCCTTTGTTTTTCCCGGGCAGACCTTTAACCCCAGAGTTATTGCCCTTGATTTGTTATGGCCCTATCAATTTGGGCAAAAAATTTGTTTCCACACTTCTTCCTTGTAAAATTTTCCCGGCTGGAATTCAAAAAAATTTATGGGAAACCCTTTAATTCCCAGGGGAGATTTCCAAAATCATCAGTTTTTTCCTGTCAGACACTTTAAGAGTTATGGCCCTTGATTAGTTATGCAGTATATCCGCGCTACTTCTCTGCAACTACTGGCTGGAATTCAACAAAACTTTATGGGAACCTTCAATACCAAGAGGACATGGGCATTTCGTCGCCTCGTTCCGGTCAGACACTTTAACTTGATTAGTTATGCAGTATGCATATAGAGTAAAAATTGTTTCCGTGCTACTCCTCTGCTACTACTGGCTTAAATTCAATGAAATTTTATGGGAACCTTCAATACCAAGAGGAGATGTGCATATCTTCGCCTTGTTCCGATCAGACACTTTAACTGAGAGTTATGGCCCTTGATTAGTTATACAGTGTGTAGGCCTATATAGAGCTATGTACCATGCATGTTAAATTGAATTGAAACTGAAAATTTTATAAAATGTGTGGGTAAATTCCATTCTCAGTTGTTGGAATTTCTGATTTATTGCGCTATGTTTTCCCCTTCAGAAAGCCACAGGTTGTTTTGAAAATTGGGGAAAAAAATCACTGCCTTGAAGGTCAAATTAATGAATTTAACTTGGATTTTTGCTATGATTGATTTTTGCTATGATTGACTATAACTTGATATTTGCTGTCATTGGCTATAACTTTATGTATGTCTTCACACTTGAGCAAAACTAATTAAGGACAATGTTGTAGAATAGACCAAACTCAATTTGACGAATAGATAACTCTGTTACAGTACTTTACAAATTTTCTTCTTAACTGATATGTAGAGAACTTGATTGCTCATTTGTTTATCTTTACATCAAAATAAATTACCATAGGGAATTATTATAGGTAATATCATATACATAATTATGGTAAATGGAAGCAATTGCTCTTATCTTCTGATCCATTTGCAGTAAAGGACCTTTAGTTTGTAAGTCCAGCTTAATGAAATCATGTGATTTTATCTAAATTGATCCCCCACCCCAGCCTCTTTTCCCCACCTCTATCTCCTCCCCCACCCTGGCATTCTTATATGGTCCTATTTTCTACTCTCTCTTTGTAACTTATTCAAAGGCAGTGTAATATACTATTTTTGGGTAGATGATTTCATAGTGCTTTTGTTCTCTCTTACTAAAAATTGTACTCCAAAAGTTTTGTTTCCCTCGTCTTAAATACCAATTAATGTATCTCGGTCTTTGGTACTTATGCCTCGCTCTGCACAGTTCATGTTTGTCTCAGTCTTTTGGCGTTTATTTGGCAGGACAATGTTGGAGATGTGTTTGATGATGTTTATCTGCCTTGTTAATTATTACTCACATTTTTATAGTAACACCTCTCTTGTATTATTGGATAGAAATCTTTTGTTACTGAGATAAAATCAGTATTTCCTGATGTAAGACAGATTTAGAGGAAGTTTTGGTGAATGTACCTTAATTTCCTCCACATGTAGGAGAGTTCTCTTTCTAACATTTGCTGACAGCTTTAAACTAGCTAATAGCTATTGATTGTTCCTTAATATGACAGTGATTCTTTGATTGCTGTATTTGTTCTCCAAGATAGTTTTTGTGAAAGGATATTGATAATTATTGGTTTGTATTGTTATTTTTTTATGGTAATTTTGAAGTGCTTTGATTTTCATTTAGTTTTGCTTATGTTGATGTTTAAAGTAATGATTGTTTTTTGTTGTTGTTTTTTTTTTCATGAAAAAAAAAAAAAAACAGTTTAAGAGGTTTTTTTAAATCTTATATTAAAGTGGTATGCCCTCAAATAAGAAAAAATAAAAACAAGTTTCAATAATGTAGACATGTTGTGATTACATAAAACTCTTTAATTATAATATGTATCATTGACAATGTTTCAATAGCCAATAAAAACTTTACAAACATTTAATAATAATTTAAAAAGTTATCTTATTCTTGACACAAATACAGAAAATAACAAAAGTTTACAATCTTGTTTAAAAAATATTGGTAACAACAACAAATATGTTTTCATCAGTTGATATAGAACTGTTTTACTTTTATTATAATTTCATCTTTATCTAACTTTAGAATTGGTAAAAACAATTCTATAGTTTCAAAATGAAAAGCAACAAAACCAAAAAAACCAAAGAAATTGGTGAATTGAAACAGATATATTGTCAGATTTGACAAAACAGAAAGAGGAAACTCAGGTCATATTTGTGATCTATCAATTGGGGTGTCAGTGAATGCAGTCAACTGAGTAAATTTTGCTTAAGTTTACATGTTGTTGAATCATATCAGACATGTAGAAACATCTCCTCTATACCTAACTGCAGAGTAACACTTTCACAGAGCTCAGTAAACTTTGTCAAAATGCACTAAAGAGTTGTAGAACTTGGCCTGATTAACTTCCTTGTGACCTTTCATATACAATTTTAAGGTTTCAAGTTAATACTTCTTCTGGTTTCAGAGATAAAAGTATTTGTTGCACATAACAAGTTTTTATTAAAGTAAAAAAGGGGCATAACTTTGTCAAATAAGGCCTGTTGATCCTGTTGGATCCTATGAACTAAATACATTAGAAAGTTTCATGTAAATATCTGGTATGATGTCTGTTATATTTAAGTAAATGTAAATTTAAGGACATGGGCATAACTCTGTCAAAATGCAATACAGAGTTACTACACTTGTTATAGTAACTTTTTGATGACCCTTTATATATGATGTCAGTGTTTTTTTTCACCAAAATATTCGGCGAAATTCTCCCTATTCCCCCCTCAAAATAGTATGTTTTTTTCCCCCCTCAAAGCTGAAATTTCCCCCTATAATATGGCAGCCCAAATCTGCCTGCAATGAATATCATTTTTTTGCAACTAACTGCTGAAAAATGCTTTATTTTATGCCTGTAAGACTTACTGTTAAGCAAGGTTTTTCATATAGGTAAGGGGAGCTACTCCTGGTATCCCAACAAGTTTATCATGTGACACATCAATATTTTAGATCCGTATAAAAATCCCCCTCCTGTTGCATTTTTCCCCCTCCAATGGGCACTGACCCTCTTCCCCAAAAAGTGAGAAAAAAACACTGGATGTAAGTTTCAAGACTATACCTTGACTGGTTACAAAGATAATCAAATTTAATAAATATAATTTTCCAAAAAGGTAAATCACCAAAAGGGGCGTAACTTTGTAAAAATATAATGTCAAATTGGCCTACTTAGCATTCTTGTGACCCTTCTTATAATTATATATTCATTATATTATATAGCAAGGATTTTTTTTGGCTTATTTCGTAGCCTTTATTCGGTCATATTCCCAATTAAAAATAGTATACATGTATTATTTTCCTAATCCATAGGGAAAATTCCTAATTGACAGTTACAAAATAAAAATATTGAATAACAAATTATAATATCTTTGAAAATACAAAATGTAAGGGCTTCTTCATTGTTATGGTACTTAAATGTTTGCCATCCTAGACATTGATTCTTTGCATTCATTTAATCTTTGCAAAATTTAATTCTTACATTTTTTTCCCCCAATTTTTAACAAAACATCGCTGAAGTTCATGGGTCATGTTCCCAAAATTCTGGGAAAAAAACCTGTTTTAGTTTTAAGTTAATATTTTGCAAGTTACTTTTGTTTTAAAATTGGAAAAACTAATTAAAATACTATATAAAATGCCAAATATTAATGAAATTTTGTACAGAATAATTTAGTATGAAAGTAGTTGAATGTATATGTTATGTTTTTTAGCGTATAAATTTAATATATATGTAAATTAATGATATATTGCTGTATACATTATTCAGAATATATAAATGTCCTGTAAAACTGGATTTTAATTTCAGGCCAGATTGAATAACCTATAATATAGGTCTTGTATCTCATTTTTATGTCTGATATATGTATCATCAGTCACAGGCTATCTAATTTGAATAAGACTTATTGTAATTAGTCTCAGTAAAGAAATATTGACACAGATTTTGCTTACCTCTAATGTGACAAGAGATATAGATGTTAAGGGGGAGGTCTCACTAGGCTACTTAGCAGTTTATTGATCACAGTTCATTGTTATCAAATCACCAACTGCCCATCAGTTTTGTCATGACATTTACTTTGCTGTTATTAAATCTCCATTTTGATATTTGCATTAATTTAATTTAAAACACGGTAATCTGGCCATGACTTTTATTGTATATGACAAATTAGACTAGAATGCAGCAAGACTGAAAAAGAATGTGAAAAAATAGATCGGATTTCAATTAGTTTATATCAATTTTATTAGTACTTAGGTGTCTTTTCTTTTGACATGTTAAAGATTTTTATGATTTTTTGCTATATTTGTTTTCATACTTCCATATCTGAAGATACTTATGTCCATACCAAGATATTAATGTCCAAACCAAGTTAATAATGTCCAAGCCAAGATATATTGTCCAAACCAAACTAATGTCCAAACCACGATTGAGAAATGTTATCAATTAAATGTTGAAACCAAAGACCAAAAGACATCCAAACATGAAAGGAACTAAAGTATGACTGTTGTTATAGACTCAACATTTAATTTAATCAGTTAACTGCTCCATTCCCCCTTAATATATGAATGTGTAGGAGAATAAAAACGTTAGTTAAGTTAGTAAAACATCTCGTAGTATTGTTGATAACATGTGTCACTTCATAGGAGACTCAATAAAGGAAAGTATATTTGATTAGGAAGTAATTAAAAATTAATTGGTATCTAAAAAAATGTTTGATTTATGTTTGTTCTCTTTTTATTAAGCAATAAATAGTACATGAAATCATAAATTTAAACAAAAAAATGTTTGTCTTTGTGATAAATTGTAGGACATTTTATGAAGATTTTATGCAATAAATGTTTTTAATATAGCATGCAGTTTTAAAAAAAGTATTATACATGTTTTTATTGATAACTTTTGATGACATAATCATAACATAAATGTTGATTTACCTGGTTAAAATGAAAACCTATTTGTAATTAAATCTTGGCACTTAGCATACTGAATATCTTGAATGTACTTGTCTGTCTTTCAATCTGGACAAAATCATTTGCCATGTTTAGGGAAAATTTAAAAATGTGTCCGACTGAATGCAAACAGTGCACTTATTAACCATTTTAATGTTTTTAGCAAGTCATTATTTTGGGTATAATTGTGATGGACTCCTTTCATAGACTTTGTTATTTTTCAGTTTCTGAATGGCCATATTTTTGCTCCTATAGGCAAACATGTGTATGTGTTTACTAAAGACAGTTTCTTATTTAAATCATATCTGTTTTCAGATCATTATTTTCAAAGGAAGTATATGATTGGTTAATTCAAAATGCTGGCTGCAAGACGATTGGTCCATGTGATCAATCTTCAGCGAATGGGATTTGTTAGTGCATATGATGTACAAATGAGATATGCACGTTACCATTTGGACGAACTTGCTGGAAGGCAAGGAGCACATGGATTTAATGTTATTTTGTTAGTTGAGCATAACCCTGTGTATACTGTGGGACTTAGGGACAAATCATACTCAAAAGAAGATGAAAAAGAGCTAAGATCTAAAGGTGCTGAATTTGTTCGCACAAATCGTGGTGGTTTAATTACTTTCCATGGACCTGGACAGTTAGTTGCATACCCAATATTGAATTTAAAACATTTTAACCTTGGTATGCGAGATTATGTTTGTAATCTTGAGAAAACAATGGTTGACACATGTGCTCATTATGGTTTAAATGCGACAATAACTGGGGATACTGGAGTGTGGATACAAGACAGGAAAATTGGTGCTATAGGTAAGGTCAAAATCTTTACAACATATATCAGCCGCGTCTTGACAAAACCAACATAGTGGGTTAGCGACCAGCATGGATCCAGACCAGCCTGCGCATCTGCTCATTCTAATCAGGATCCGTGCTGTTTTCGCTATCAGTTTCTCTACTTGTAATAGAGTTGGTAAGCGAACAGCATTGATCCTGATCAGACTGTGCCTTCCTTGAACAAAAGATTTTACTCTCATTGTTTAGTAGGGGTTGTTCTAGGAACCAATGTCTGAGTGTTGAAGGTCTGACTGCTAACAACTTACCTCTTATAGATTTACTGATGTGGGTTCCATTCCTGCTAATGACACGGGTGCCTGTTTGTGCCAGAAATAATGTATGAAGAAGCACCTAAGGTCTTCCTCCACCAGTAAAGCTAAAAAGTGTGATGCCGCCACTCAAAAAAAGTGTAATTTAAAACCCAACATAAAAAACTTATATATATAGTCTATTAAGCTTAAAGCTTCCTACAATCAAAGTGAAATTATTGTATATGCCAATACAAAACGTTTTTGGTAAATAGATTTTGTAAAAAGGGACCTCTGGCCAAGTGGTTATTGTAGCTGACTTCAAATCAAATGCCCTTACTCCTGTTGGTTTGAATCCATCTAAAGACTTTTGATTCTTTCTTATTAATTATATTGTGTGGATGCTGTTTAACTCACTAAGCTGAGGTGCCCCTACATGCCTTGAATAAAGCATGGAGGCACACTTGCAATCTTTCTTCTTCCATCAGTAAAACTGACAGTATGCATACAACATTTGCAGTGTTGGTTAACCTTACAACCCAACCTCCAAATAATCATGTCATTAATGGATTTTGCTCAGAAACTTGAATTGGTCAAGTAAGTTGTTGGCTTAGATTATAGTTATATACGGGAGTTGATTCAAAAATGTAATAATGCTAGCGCAAACGTGAGTGTAGAATACAAGGGTGTATCAGAAAATACAGCAACTGTGTTGTTTTGTGTATCAGATATTATAATGACAGTTATTCCTATTGTAATAATTTGTGTAAAATAATTCAGATATAATGTTTTGTTGAATTCCATTTAGCAATGAATTTCTATATGTATGTCATGAGAGTCCTCTTTATCTTAAGTTTCTGTCATTAGGGTAAAATTTATTTTTATTTAATGTCATGAGGGTCCTCTTTAGCTTGCTTTATTTGATGTCATGATGGCCTTCTTTAGCTTGCTTAAGTTGATGTCATGGGGGTCCTCCTTATTGGCTTTCTTTAGTTGATGTCATGAGGGTCCTCTTAAGCTTGCTTAAGTTGATGTCATGAGGGTCCTCTTAAGCTTGCTTAAGTTGATGTCATGAGGGTCCTCTTAAGCTTGCTTTATTTGATGTCATGGGGGTCCTCCTTAGCTTTCTTTAGTTGATGTCATGAGGTTCCTCTTAAGCTTGCTTAAGTTGATGTCATGAGGGTCCTCTTAAGCTTGCTTAAGTTAATGTCATGAGGGTCCTCTTTAGCTTGCTTAAGTTGATGTCATGAGGGTCCTCTTAAGCTTGCTTTATTTGATGTCATGGGGGTCCTCTTTAGCTTGCTTTATTTGATGTCAGGGGGTTCTCTTAAGCTTGCTTTATTTGATGTCATGATGGTCTTCTTAAGCTTGCTTTATTTGATGTCATGGGGGTCCTCTTAAGCTTGCTTAAGTTGATGTCATGAGGGTCCTCTTAAGCTTGCTTTATTTGATGTCATGAGGGAACTCTTAAGCTTGCTTTATTTGATGTAATGAGGATACTCATTAGCTTGCTTTATTTGATGTCATGAGGGTACTCGTTAGCTTGCTTTATTTGATGTCATGAGGGTACTCGTTAGCTTGCTTAAGTTGATGTCATGATGTCATTAGGGTCCCCTAGGTCCTCATCACCGTAATTTTATATCAAGAGAGACCTATATTGTTTCAGGGGTTAACCCTGAAGCAACTGAACTTTTGTAACAGGCTTGCCCAGCTTTGAATTTGAAACAGTCCATTTTGAAAATCAAACAAAACAATTGAGCTACCAATTACAGTTACAACCTCAGGTCACTCTGATCTTATCTTGCTCAAAGGCTAGTCACTTTGGTTTCAGTATGTTACAGGTTATGTCAATGACAATAAAATCATGCTGTCCAGGATAGTTATATGATTTCATTGAATTCAGATTACTGTAAATATGTTAAAATATTAATAGTATGCAGGATCATTACTGTATAATCATTTACATGTAAACTGAAAGTTGATTATTATAGATGCGTGTTTACAAAGGACTACAGTAAGGATCAAGGCCAGGATCATAATTTTTATTTCGCAACAGTTGGCACTTTAAAGAAAATTCTGTGAAAAAAAGTGAACTTAACAGTCATGACATTAGATGATTAATTTTTAGCTCCACTTTCAAGAATATGGAGAGCTATTGTAATCACCCCCTTATTTTCTGTAATTGTCTTACACGATGGGTAACTCTAAGTTAACTTTAACAGAGTTATGAACCTTTTCTTAGTGTCAAGCACTAACAATAGTGTAGTGTATGGTGGCTGATTTGGTACGCTTTTGTGCGACGCGTTGGCGCTAGCGACAGAGCGCCAAACGGTTGTCTTGTCGTCCTTTCTCTAGCGTGGCATATCAAACGGCGCTTTATGCGACGTGTTGTCACGATGTCACATTGTCGCTCAGTTCAAACTGAAGGATTGGCTTATAAGCCAAGCGACAGGATGACATTGCGACAACACGCCGCATGACAACGTGCCATTTGGCGTGCCACTCTAGAGACAGGACAATAAGATGACAGCGTGACAAAACGCTGTTTTGCACTTTGTCGTGTGGTCGATAAAGCCAACTAGACACACAAAAGCGTACCAAATCAGCCACCATAGTAGTAGGCTGTCCTTTGTCAGCTCTTGTCAGGAAAACAAAAATGTAACAAAATGTATTAGCTTAGTGTGTCCATAGGCTAATGTGACTGCATTCAATAAAAAAAAGTTTATTTTTCATTTGTAAAAATGTAGTAAAATATTTGTGGAAAATATAATTAATATGCCTAATGTTAGCTATAGAAAATTGAACCATTTATAATATGTTTGTGTCACTCACGTTTATTATTTGTTTAAATGGTTAATTTTGGTTGTATTAACGCAAGAAAATATTCATATATTTTAGGAATCCATGGAAGTCGGTATATAACTACCCATGGTGTATCGTTAAATTGTAACACAGACCTGGACTGGTTCAAGCACATTGTTCCTTGCGGTATCATAGGAAAAGATGTCACGTCATTATCTCGTGAACTTAACAAAGACGTCAGTGTTAATGAAACAATAATGTTCTTTCTGGAGGCATTTCAACAAAGATTTGGGTGTGAAATTGACGATAGCTTTTTAATGCAAGATCAGCTGGGTATTGTACCAACCAAAGAAAACCTGGAGAAGGTAGAAAATCTCCACCACAAGATAGCACACAAGGCTGTGGAGACTGAAGTCTGAAAAAATCAAAATTGTGCGAGAAGTAAATTGATAGTTATTAAACCAGTATAAGACGTTATCCCGAACTCAACGAAGTGGGTTTTTCCCCGGCTAATCTGTAGGTTCAACTAACTTTTACCGTCACAATAGATTAGTCAACCTGTTTCCCTTATTTTAGAAGCTGTTACTGTAAAAGTTTGTTTGTACATGTACCTATGTTATTTGCTGGGAAAAAAAAAAAATTCTTAAATCCGGAGTAAGTCCATTATAATTCAGACTACAATTCAGACTACATAGAAATCAATCTGGTATATGAATATTTGAACAGTCTAGCAATCATTGGATTTCCCCGACTCGGCTGAAATAGCATGATCTGCCTTTGGGTAGACTTCATAAAGGCTGACTACTGAAAATGAGATTAAATTTGTACATATAGTTTTTAGCTCCTCTATAGGGAGAGCTATTCTACTGACCCAGGTTTTGGCGTCACATTTTTGTTAAGAATTTTTTTCTGCAAGTTGATATCTCCAAAACTACCGAAGAGCATTGGTTAAAACTTCACACAATTATGTAAGAGCATAAAAGGATGTCACTATCCAAGGCCGATTTCTAACATGGATTTAGACAGAATTATGGCCCTTTTTTTAAACTTCAAAAATTCTACCTTATCCAGAATTATAGCTGTTTACATCATCCAGGCTCTTTTTTACTATCAAGCACTGAGAATAGAGTATGTCAACAGCTTTTGTTGTTATCCTATTTTTCATTGAAATGATTTGACTTAAAATCATTATTGTTATGGTGTAGTTATAAAACTTGTGTGTTATACCTTGTTCAGTTTGAGATTGTCATAGTATAAAAAGCAAATTGTCCTATCTAAAATTAATCCAGAAATATAATGTACATGTACAGCATAACACAAATGCAGTATAAAAACAACATGGAACATTTTATTTTGAAATAATAATAATATGTTTGAATATTGTACATGTAGTTGCTATGGCAACAAATTGTATAAAACGCTGTTTTAGTTTTCAAAATGTAGATTACTCGGATTTTTTCAAAAATAAAAAAAAACTATATAAAGAAAAAGGTCTTTTTTCATCTTTTAATGTTTTCAACAGTTTTTGCATATGAATAAGATTAACAAACATGATTTCAATTTTAATGAAACCTTTTTAGCTCAGGGTGAGCTTTTACGATTGTTGAATGTCCGTCATATATCGTCTGTCCACATTTGTTTGTTAATGCTAGTGGTCACATTTTTGCCTCAATCATCATAAAACTTTGTCTGAGGATGCTTTTTCTAGGTAATTGCTTGGATGAGTACAAATATGGGTCATCTCAGATGAAAAACTAGGTCACAGGGGCTAAAAGTAGAAAAATCTTGTTAACACTCTAGTGGTTTCTGTTTTGATCCAAATATCCTGGAAATAGGTCTGAAAGTTTGTTTAGATGATTTCTAGGTGAAGTTCAAATATGGGTCACTTGGGTTCAAAAACTAGGTCACACCATCCAAATATGGAAAAGCCTTGTAAACACTCTAGTGGTCACATTTTTGTCTCAATCATCTTCAAACGTTGTCAGGATGCTTGTCTAGGTAATTGCTCGGAGGGTCATTTTAGATGAATAACAAGGTCACAGGAGCTAAAAATAAAAAATCTTGTAAACACTCTAGTGGCTACTGTTTTGGTCCTAATATCCTGGAAATTGGTCTGAAAGTTTGTTTTGATGATTTCTATGTCAGGTTGGAATATAGGTCATCTGGGGTAAAAAACTAGGTCACAGGCCCAAATATGGAAAAACCTTGTTAACACTCTTGTGGTCACATTTTTGACTCATTTGTCATCAAACTTGGTCAGGATGCTTGTCTAGGAGCTCAGTTGGTCAGGTGAGCGATCTAGGGCCATCTTGGCCCTCTTGTTTTTGAAAACCTTTACCTCAGTACAATTCCTACAGCTTAGATATTTGGAATGTAGCATCACCATGTGGTCCTTTACAAAAATAAAGTAAATCATGCCACTTGGATCAAAATTGGCTCTGTGTAGAGGTCACATTAAAGTCTGTGTGTTAAAACAAATTGCTTAGAGCTAAGATATTTGGCATGTAACTTTGTGTAGTGGTTTTCTACATTGTGAGATCATGTCCCTGGAGTTAAAATTACATGTAGTCTGCCCAAGACATCTGTGGCTTAGGGTTAAGGTTACTGACTTTAAACCACTTGCCTCTCACTTTTAAATGTTGTAGGTTCGAATCCCACTAGGGACTTAAGAAATATGAGGAAGCTATCCAGCTAGGTTATGGAACATTGATGGTTTTACTCGGGTGCTTGCTCATGCTAGAAATAATGCACTGAGGGGTTTTCTCCACTAGTAAAGCTGGAAAGTCGCAATTTATCCCAATAATGTTAGACAACACATCTTAATTTTCTTGGGAAAAACTAGCACTTAGATACTCGGCATGTAGCATCACTTTAGGGCTCTCAAAAAATGTTTCTTTGGGTCAATATTGGCCTTAAATTTGTCCCAATGTCACTAAAACCTACGTAGAAAAACATGTTTAAATCTTCTTGTTGAGAACTGCAATGCCCAGAGCATAGTTGACATGTATTATTGCCTAGTAAAACTCTACAAAAGTATTATAATAATGTACTTTTGCTTAAAAAAAATTGCCCAACTGATGGCTGTCACTTTTATATAGACTTTTATAGTAAGCATATACCTCGTTAATTATACTATAGCAGAGACATAGATAACTATGCATGTTATCTTTGTCTCTGACTGTAGTATATATACTATAGAGCAAGACCATGGTAAATACCACATTTGCCAGGTCCATAGACTAGGATATTCATCTAACATCACACAATAATTGACATGACGCCGGTCAATCAAGCTGGCAGGGGTCTTACAGATAAGCCAATCGGCGATCGTTATCAGTTTCACGCTAAGATGTCTGCAAAATCCGCCATTTTCCTTAGACAAACTATTTGTATAAGACAATGGTGCAGCAGTATTTATATTGAAATTATTTTGATTTTTTGTCAATTTAAAGCTATTAAATCGGTATATCAAAATATCCTGACATATTGACAGATGGAGTCAGTTAGTTCATTATACAAAAGAAAAATATCAGTAACTTTGTATATATGAAGATAATAAGTTATATAGCAGGTACAAAAGCAGAGACATAGATATTATCTAGATGTTGTCTACATCTCTGACGAAAGTTAAAATAGAGAGAAATAAAGAATCCATAAAGAACGTACAAAACGACAAAATTGAAAATGTTGCAGGCTCGGTTTGATTGAGTCTGTTCATGGACGGTAATGGAATGTGCAAGTAACCGTCCGCGCCCTCTAGCACCGGCTTAAGCTGTATTCAACATTTAACGTGACCTGGTAAAATTTGGAATTTTGAAACATCCGCAGATGTGTTCATATGGTGGTTATCATGGAACCTTCAATGTGACACGTAAGTGCCATTCCATGAAAAGCGGCATAAGGTCCCCAAGTGGAAAAAATGCGTTTGCCCTAAACGAGAAAACAATGGGCGGAACTAAATAAAATGGAATTTTGAATGGCGATCAGAGGTTATGAAGCCTGGCTATACCACAATGCATTAAACAAGGAAAAAATTAAACAAATACTCTATTCCTTCCTTTATCACAATTATGTCTATTCATAATCACATAATATATTATAAGGTCTATGACATTTTTTGTTCTGTCAATAAAACGCTGCAGTAGAAAAATAAAATGAGAGAATATGCTATGAATATTTTATGTGAAATTATCCTACCTAAATATTTCTATTAAGCTCAATGAATTCAGATTAAATATTTCGATACATCTGCTTCAATAACATCATACCTGATCACGGTTTTAATTTAAAACCGAGGTCTCACCGTCTGGTGTATGCGAAACTTATTTTGAAGTGAATAATATTGCGTTTTATCACGAAACATATCTAATGTACAAATATACATATAATCATACATCATAGTACAAAGTTACGCAAGGGCTATTTTCTCATTCAATTTTAACAATTTATGCACAAATGCATTATACATAAATGATTTCGCACATAAAACCCTAAAAACATTTGTAAATGTTACTGTGTTATTGATATAATTTTACTATTTATATGTTCCGCTACTTAAATTTTAACTATCTTTGAATTTGTAAACTAAAATGATATTTTGTCAGTAACATCTCCTTGAAGTCAACGAGAAATATAACAAGATCTTTGCCAAACGCTTTATTCATAATTAATGCATGAATGAAGTTATTTGTTACTTTTTTAAATACCATTAAACATTGAACTATTCAAGAAAAGCATTATACTTTTATATATACCAAATTATATAAGGAAAATTCATTAGTAACTTTAGTGGCATAATAGTTTCCTGTAAACGTCGGTGTATACCGTGTTTTGTCTAAGGTTCTGAATGACCGGGTCACGTGAATCAGTGGGCGGAGCAATCTCTTCTCTGGCGTAATGTCAATTGTATTTTATCTATTTTCTTTCTAATATACAAACATACAAATAGAATAAATGGAAATATAATAAACTTTACTCAGCAGTGAACATCACTTAGTTAAATGAGGATCTTTTTTATTTGTCTATTTGTCTGGTTTTTACGCTGAATTTAATTCCTAACCAGCTTTCATTGATAACTGACCAGTCTATAGAAATATCTTCGTAGTGATCTGACTATAATTCTACATGATTCTAAATCAATGGTGAGAGAAAAATGAACCACTTGGACCTTGTTTGAAAATGTACGTAATGCTCACATACTTAGCTAAAGGGGCAAACCCTTTTGATTTGTCCATGTTGTGCGCTGATAGTGGAAAAAAATATGAATAGTGGAAAAATAAATAACAATTGTTTAACATCTTGACATGAACCTCACATAAATGTCTTTAAAATGAAAGGTCTTGAGTAAATTGTCTATAAAAAATAAATTTATAGTAGTTTTTATACATTTATGACTTTTGAACAGAACAAGGTCGTGAAACTTTATGTTTTTTTATAGTTTGTTTTTTGAGTACTTACATTCTGACCTAGTTCTATGCAAAGGACTTATATTAATTACTTTTAACATATTTTGAAAGATAATTAAATTTTCTGTCCAATAGCATATCTAAGAAGTATGTATTTTAATATTGATCTTTAATTAAGGTCATATCGACGTGTTTTTTTTCCGTACTTCTCGCTAAGCCTTCGCTATAATAAGTAAAAGTGTGCATCGGTTGGACGACAAGATGAAATCTGTTGTGCTTCTATTCACCTTTAAAGTCTTCCCAGAAGTGCAGCCCGATGGATCAAGCAAGATTATGGTCAGACCTCTAGCGTCAAGGACATGTTTCACTCCCTTTATTTTTGAAAACTGGAACTCAGACGTGTAGATGGTAGATTATTCCTTTTCTACAAGATTTGCCATGATCTGAAGAACGTGCGACACCCCTCTCAGACTATTATAAATTCTCTTTCTTGACATTATGGAAAGGCGATGTCTGGCCTTCATATGTTGTCGTTTCCAATATTGCATATGCCCAACAACTACGTTCTACGTTATTAAGTAAATCAGAAACAAGCAAAAAAAAAAATAGTGAAAAACAGAACCCCTAAAGAAAGCCCAACACGGCAAAATTGAAAATGTTGCAGGCCCGGCTTGATAGAGCATGTCATAGCCTCAAACAATAAAGTTATCAATTTCTTAAATGCCATTTCAAAGAAATTTCAAGACACAAATTGTGAGAGTTTACGGGAATATAGCCTGTATAAGTTTGTAAAAATCCTCTATCCAAAATAAAAAACGGTCTGAAAGTTTGAGTGCGGGCCGTTGTTCTTATTAAAAGAACTCCACCGAGGTCTTGTTAAATAAATCAAGTGAAGCACTTGGAAAAACTGCGAAGAATAAAAAAAAACTGAAAGCCGACTTTTTTTGTGTGATTCGATATGATTAATTATTTTGCACAATGAAAAATACGATGCTGGAAAACGGTGAGAGGGAATAATCAAACGTTATTTGTCTAGAGATAACTTAAAATGCACAAATACATTTTGTAATGAAAAAATATTCCCAGTTCTGTCATGTCATGTCAAAAAAAAAAACACACACACACATAGTTACTGGGAATTATCGTATTTTCAGGTAAAATTATAAAAGGTGTAAATATGATTTTTTATACTATGATGGTTTCCTCGTGGGTCGGTCCAAAAGAGAAACAGAAAGAATAAAGGGTAACACATTTTTAAACACTACCAAAATAGATCGAAATCTTATACTTTGCCATTTTCTCTAGGACCATCTTATTAAAGTCCTAAATTCAGATTGGGACTTTTTAGAGAATAGATAATAAATAACCTGTAATAGAAACGAAAATTACATGATTTAAGTTAAACGCGTCTAGACCTGTCCATTATCTGGCAAATTACTGGTGTTTAGGAGGAACCAAAATGTTGAAATAACTTTTTAACATAGTCCTAAATTAACAAATAAGCCTGTCTTTTTCTGGTGAATAGCTTAATCTTCAAATAGTGTTTGCGGCAGATTTCTTCTTTTTTTTTCAGTTTAATATTCCTACAAATTGTTGAACAATTTAAATGATAATGATTAATGAAAAAAAAAATAATTCCAAAAGTTCTAATAATAATCACTGAAAGAAATTCAATCTAAATCATATATTTAAAAAAGTATTACATATTTGACGAATATTTTACATAAAGATACTCTTTTTAAATGGAAACAATAAAAGAGTCTTTGATTCTGGTACTTATATTTGTGATGTCTTTACCTTGCAACATTATTACATTGTTTTAAAATATCCGTAGGTTATTTTTTAAATATCCATTTTGACCCTTGCAATGTTTACGGTCATTTTTTATAAAATATATATGTTTTTATCATTTTTATAAATGAGTCACAAGGATGTTACCGAGATGTAGGGAAATCATGTCAATTTATCTTTTTATGGCCGTATTAATTAATCTTGGATTGTAGTTTGAATACTTAATGGATGCCACTGGATGATTTCAAAAAATAATGTAGGTCATCCGTTTGTTTGGAGTAGTAAAACAGATAAAAACTACACAGGAAAACGAAACTTCTTTCAATGAAATGAAGATCACATTTTGATAAGGTTTCAATGTCGTTTAAATTTAATAGAGTACGACAACATGTGAGACTTCTAAATGGTCAATCTAAAGTTCTTATCCTATGTCAGCTAAATGCTCGGACATAAAGTGATCGTATGACCCAGCTAAAGGTAAGCAAGAAATTGAAGTTTATCTGAGCCATGTGACATAGTTATTATAATATTTTAAGCCAAGTTGTCATTTCGTTTGGGTAAAACTGAGTGCAACTATTGAACTAGGTTTGTCGTTTGAATCAATACCCATGCAGGTCAGTTATTCATAATCCAATGGCAGGTTAGGAAAAATATGTAAATTAAAGAATTTCTAGTCTCCTCTTTTAATTATTCCATGCCGTACGTTTTGAATATATGCTTCTGGTCCTTGGCTTAACAGTTTAAGTTGGCTTTGAAATCATCAGTTACAGGTTACCCAAATTAAATTGATATGGTTTGTTATGAGGCATACCAAAGATATTAAATACGCTTTAATTGTTCATTGGTCACACATAAGCCATGATAATTTTTTCAGCGGGGTTAATTTCTAACAAGGTCTACCAAATTACTCATTTTCTATTGAATTGTACATTCAAAATTCCATCCTTTAACCTGGGAAGTCGTCCCATCCTTAACATAGATATGTTTTTTGACATTACCTTTTAACCAGGAATGTTTGTTGACAGTTTGTGTAGCTCTTATATATTATTTGTCATGCAAATGCACATTTTCTTATTCAAATAAATCTGTCTATCTTTCAACTGGGAGAACAGGAAGAGATAATAGAGAGTGCAGCATCTCCAACGCAGCATCTCCAACGCATCCTTGTAACCTTGTTTCAGCTTATTTCAATCCTCAGTGAATCAGTATATAACCCAAACGATAAAAACATTGCAAAAAACCTACTAAGATTTGGGCAACATTTACAGCTAACGCTAGCCACGGATTTATATTACGTGCGCTAGCTAATGTGAGAATAAAATGAAAACATGTCTAATTTTCAAAACTTAAGCAGTCGGAAATATATCTCTATAAATAACCTAAATTCTATAAATCAAAATCGACAACCCGTACCACTAAGACTGTTAAATTAAAATGTACGGCACGGTACGGATTTACGTAAAAGCACACGCGTACGCATGCGCATGTATTTCTAAATCCAAGATGGCGGAGAAATTTTGGAAAATTTGTAAGTTAGATGATTTTGTTAATTATTTCATAAATGTGACATGAAGAGTAAAATTGCAATACTATTACGAATTAATCCTGTTTTATCCTAACATTTTCTGTTATTTATTTCTTTACAGCTCCTTAAGATTATTTGCATTATTGGTTTAAATGTGGTAATAAAAAAAATCACAAAGAAAAGCAAGAACAGGGGGCCGCCGTTTCATATTAAAAACAATTCTGAAAGTCTCTCTCCTCTCTTTCACTAAAGATAGTCGATCAGTCATTTTAAAATGGTTTAAAGATTTGACTGTCATAGATTTGTATCTAAGTAAATCAGCCTAAACACAAACTGGAACCAAACACCCTGAATACCTACGGACTGAGATATCTGGCCACTTACACATCCTCTCCTCTAAATAGTGAACAGTTCTGAACTGTGACATACCCTCCCCCCCCCCGCTTTAATGAAATTCATACCCTTATTCCTCAGGTTTACAGAGCATTGTGAATTAAACTCTGAACACTATTCAGTCACAGTCCCACGTTGGGCGCTAAATGTCACAGGATGAGAAAAATGTGCAGCCTGACCGGGACTCTAACCCAGGACCCTAGGAAAACCATACTGCGGCTGTACCAGCTGAGCTATCCAGCCACTTAAATCCTATCCCCTTAAATAGTGAACAGCTCTGAATGGTGATATATGGCGTCCCTGGGTTGGCCTGTAATTGGATATATGGCTGCTTTTCCTTAAGTCGTTGGTTTTCCTTGAGTCGTGGGTGGGTTAAAATCGTAGATGACTTTTTTTATGGTTAAAAATGTATTTTAATTATATATATTTCTTATAATTTGTTGTTAAAAAGTTGTAAATACTGTAATAATCGAATAATTTGGCCATTTGTACGGTTTGTTTACATTTTTTGACAACAACAACAACAACCTACTGGTTTCCGGTGTTTGGAACAGGTGCGACTTAATTTCGCGCCAAAATTGGGCCCACAGAAAGTCTCACTGAACTATTAATTGAAATATAAACTAACACTTGGTCATCGGCATCATTATATCTATTATCGATCCATTATCCATCTTGAATAAAATTTTGAAATCATTTGTTGTATCTCCGTCTTTTTGCAACTAGTTATGTTTGTTTATAAAGCAAAATGAACGGTATAGGATACATTTGAAAACCACATTGCTTTATTAAAATATCATTTGTAATTGTTGCTACAATTTTGTTAATGTATAAAAGATTATGAAGGCAGAATGAAAGTTGCCCTGATGTTTTATTTTAGTTTCATTACAAACTCTAATAGATCTTATTGAATATTGTTAAGTACCGAATAAATTAATCAAATCTGACTATAAATCGCTTAAAGATAGAAGTTTCTAGTCATATAATGATGTTTAATAAATTGGTTAGGTAACTTGAAATAGTTCACTGAGATTTGACCAATGTTTTCTTACACTACTGTTGACATACATGTTAGCCAAGACTCAAGGAAAAGCAAAATGCATGTGAATGCAAAATGGTACCTATATAAAATGAGCTAGATAATCGGAAATAAGTCTTAAGAGATGCATAAAAGATCATGACAGTGCAAAATACAAATAGTTCAACAATTTCTGGTAATTTCCATGCTTGTTCCTGTGACGTCATCATACGTCACTGGTCTATTTTTAGAAATGCCCACGGCTCTTGGTAAATAAAGCATATATATATATACGAAGAAAAAGTCCTGAATCAAAAATTCTATTAAAAATAAACAGAATTTATGTATTAAGTGGACTCAGTATATCTATACTCGTAAGAGAATAAAGACAAAGTGATCTGGAGAAGGAAAGTTTGCAGGAATTTGGAAAAAAGGAAATGTTAAAAACCAATATGTAAAACTTTCTCTCAAATCCCTTTCATAACAACGTACAACACAATTGGACATACAATAACAGTTTACAAAATTTCATAAGATACGGGCATAGTTTAAATGTCCTGGATGTTTCTGTGAATCTGCTGATAAGCGTACGTTACGGTACCATCCAATACAATACAATGGCAGACAATAACAGAGGCCACGGAAACAAATGACAATCAAGGCATGTGCGGACATTAAGAATACTTTTCCTGCAACTAATTGACGAACAGTGCACAGCAACATAAATAACAAGTAACATAAATAAATTGACCAGTGACAGTAACAAGCATTAAATTTTTAATACATAAACCAGATATTCCTGGACATTGTAAATAATAAGTAAATGCAGCTATTTTGTAAAATAGATATTTTGTTAAATAGATATGAATTGGTGGTGTTCCACCTATCACTGAAGTTTTCCCAGTGTTTCCTGTACCTTGTCCGCTAATTTTCAGTAATTCAGAAATACCGCCGGACCCATGAACCTGTCGTAGTTCTTATCAGTGATAATATTATTTACTAAATATCTTCATCATTGTACTTTAAATGTAATTTAGGATAGAAGACTGTGGTGTCTTGTAGCAGCAGTATACTTATGTCATTTGTATTTGTGGAACAGTCAAGACTTGTGTCCCTCGGTATCAAAGATGACATTTTGAACTGTTGCTGTCGGCAGGTACATACGAGAGCAGCAGACGTATTATATTACTCTAATAGTTTTAATCCACATTGTAATTCTTCTGCACTGTTGTGAATGAATATCTTTTGTTTATCTTTCTAGAATTTAAGTTGTTAAAGATTTATCAGTTGCAAGAATGTGGCCCGAGTTACTTGACATGACTCATGAGGAGTCAAAAAGGATATTGAGGCGTGTAGAACTGGAAGCTTACTCTTCCATTGTTTCTGCTTTCCGTGCTCAAGGAGACTTGAACAAAGAGAAGAAGAAAATTCTGCATGATCTGCAACAGTTTCTCAGGTTTGCTAATCTTTCTTTGCAGTTTGCTACATTGCATAATCAAAAACTTTAGAAAGTATGCATATTATTAATTTAATTTTGCTCCTCGAAGAGAGGGGGTAGTGTTGACCAACTGTCTGTCACACTCTTGTCCAGAGAATAACTTAAAAAGTATTTAAGGAATTTTGTTTCAACTTAATAGACTGAATTATAACTCTACCTTTAGTACTTATTTTGTCAATTAATATCTCCCGTACCGGAGTATCTTTGATATCTCATTGAAACTCCACACAGTTATAGAGACTACAGAAGTGAAGTGCAGTGTCAAAGAATGAATTTTATTAAATCTTTACATCAGTCTGATCCAAATCTTTAGGATATGTATACATGTGAAATCATGATTACTCAACTTTGATAACATAATTCTTTAATATATCAATTTACCTCCTATTCAAGACATGCTCAATACACAATTTTAGTAGGATATCTTACAAATCTATACAATATTTTTTTCTTATCTTGCCTATTATTGTTTTCAGTATCTCTACAGAACGCCACAGAGCTGAAGTAAGACGGGCTGTAAATGATGAGAAACTTGCAACAATTGCTGACAAGTATGTTGTTCTATAGTCACTTTGGTTAAGACAAGATATTTAAATGTTAAAACACAGTTGTTTAGTTGCCTTTTAAACGGTTAGCACATTTGTGAATTGTGACCCCTTAGTAAATTTAAGCCATTGACAAAAAATGGTGAAATTGGCAGCAGTTGTTTTATCATGTCATTTTAGTCACATGAATGATTGTTATGACATACTTTTGTAGAGTAAGATCTCATGATTACATCATGTAATGATGTCAAAATTCTCTTAAGTCTACTTACCGGTATATGTTATATGTTTTAGTATGTCACCATCAAATACGACACAAGAATGGTTAATTGAGGGACGTAGATTGGTTCCCCTGATGCCCAGACTGGTACCCCAGACTGCGTTCACAGTGACAGCAAATCAGGTTGCCAACATGCAAGCAGAGAAAAATGCCTCCCTGCCTAGTCCATCACAGACAGGAATCAGGGAAAATATTGGTATGAACATATTTCAGACTGATACTTTAATGTATGCCATCCTACTGAGTGCTTGAAGTATAGAATTTATGGCTTGGATTTAAAATTTATGCATACTGTTACAGATTGACATAAAATTAGCTTTCAGTAATTTTTTATGCAAAAGCTTTTAGCTTTATTTTGTCTACTGTCTAAGTTTTGTGGAATAGAAGATATAGATGTATAAATAAAATGTATTGTGTCAGTATCATATGAGACAATATAACACTTGTCTATAACTAAATGTTATATCTAATATAGACTTATAGATATTATATCTAAAATAGACTAATAAGCATCTTATTATGTCATTGTTAATAAAAGTCAATAAATTGATGGAATTATTCTTTGCTAAAGGTATATAAAACTTGATCTGGTATATTATTTTTTAGCTGCAGCCTCCTCAATGTCTTCTCCACCATCCACACCCTGGACATCTCGACCATCAAGTCCTACCTCCAATGTTGTTGTTCTTCCCAGTGGAATGTCTATTCACATTAAAGGTATGCAACATTCAATTCTAATATATTATTTTCCGTAAGGTTTATGAAAAGTGTTTCATACATTGATCAGAGCTTTACTAAGTTTAGTTTCCAGTTGTGAAAATATATATTAAGATTTATAGGATCGTCTCACAAAGAACAATAAATCCATGTGTTTATGGTTCATAAACTCTATTAACCATTACATGTCTTTTAATTTTGACATAACCATTGTGAGTGAAAACTACAAGATAAGTACTGACTGAATAGTGTACAGTGAAGACCATATTCAGATGGCATGGGTGCGCCACGATGACTGATCTTGGCCTGCACTTTTTATGCCTTATTTTAACCTGAAGATGTATATAACCTTTATACAGGAGTTTGTCTTGAATGTAAAGAAATAGAAACAATATATTGGCCAATCACTATTGTCTGCTGATGATAGTGTATACTGTTCACTATTCAGTCAGTTGTTTTATGTATTAATATATAGCATTTTCTTTGCTTAACTGTAGCAGGAATTTGTCAGTTAACTTAGATGTTTTGATGGGAAGAGATTTTTCGAGAATTCCCCTCAAATATATGTACCATTATAACATAGAAACATATAGAAAAACATGTATCGTTTTGTTGCTAGGAGGTTTAAATACCGAGGAAGACGACGATGTACAGATTCGTAAACGAAGACGTAGCACCTCCACTGAGAGTATGTTTTCTCCAACCGGAACTTCGGTGCCACAGGTCACATATACAACTACTATGAGTAACACTTCTGCCATATCACCAAAGAAAATCACAATTAGTAAGAGTCCACAAGCCCAACCACGTGTGGTAGCTAGTAGCAGTCAAACTCAAAAGGTGAAGGTTATTTTGTTTACCTTAAACATATATAATTGTGAATTATTTCAGGTCTACCATAAAAATCTTTAGTATATATGAACCTCTCAAGTTTACATCCTAAACCAGTACTGGTGTTATATGGGGAAACATGTTAGTGACTCCATTTAAGCTCAAACCTAGGTTCCTTACGAGAGGCAAATCCAAGTACCTCTAGTCCTCTGCTAGTAGATTAATTTTGTTGTCACATTTTCTGATTCCTTGTCAGGTATTTATTATTTGAGTGGCAGAGTTTGTTTACAAATTATTTTTAGGTGACAATAATCACTAGTGTAATAGTATTTGAAACCAAACTGATTTTTCCTATCCACTTTGTATGTGATCTATAAAAAATTGTGAAAAGTTTGGGTTTATATTTATATATTAAAGGTAAATACACCCATTTGCATGTTTATCGGAACACAATATGCAACTATTGCCAAAAATTAATTGAAACATTTTCATTTGAAACATAATATAACAACATAATGTATAATCTTAGAAGCTAATTTTTGTTCAACTGCAATACTAAATATCAAACATTCAGGTTATTTTGGTATCAAGTCAAGGACACTCCCCACAAGTAACTGTAGCTCAAAAAACAACGATGCCAATGGGAAGATCTACTGTATCGACTGGTACTTCTACAACAAACCTTCCCAAGTCTGTAATACTGCCTCTATCTAGTTCTATAGCTACAGGTACAAACACAGGAAATATATCAGCAACAGCCCCATACTTCACAAACACAACTTCTACAGGTAATTATTCTCATTTGAACTTAGAAGTAAGAAGTAAGTACAGTATCTTTGACAAATTTTGAGATAGATTTATGTTAACGTATTGAAATATGGCGGCAAATAGTGTTAAACCATAACAGGGATTTAGTTTATACAGAATTTCAATTGTGTAGAAAGCTGTACAGGTATGTTAATAAACACTAACTGTAATACATTCCTGGACCCAACCAGTACTTAGCAGGGAGTGCAATGTTTCTAGCTCAAGGAAACAAAAGATTGCCGTTGGTTGGGTTTAAACCCTTCTGGCTAGCATTCCTTGAATAACCAGTCTGACATATTAATCCCTCTGCCAAGTCGCCACATTAGGGATTTTAGAGAAGTCTTCACCTTAGATACATAAGTTTTTAGTAAAAAATTTAAAAGATCTTCCCAGAATCTGTTGGAGGTTTGATAGTGTCATGAAGATTTGTTTCAATAAGATCTAATTGCACTTTAAGGTTTGTCAGAGAATTATGCATTGATTACCATATTGTAAAAACATCTTGATTAAGGTTCAGTGAAGAACCTTAGCTGGTAGAAAATATAAATTTTTACCACCAATCAAAATGGTGGTGAAGTGTTGTTTTGCTTTCATTCTGAGTATAGAACAAAATGATATATCCATTTACTCTATATTTGTTTCCAATTGTTGAATTTTTATAAGAGATTTCATTTTAACTTTTACCACTTTATACACATTCTATATGATTGATTTTATTGCTGCCAACAAGCTAGGGGTTAATGAAATAATGTATATATCATAGTTTTGATTGTGCTATATTGTATGTTTCAGTTGTAACACCACTAACATCTACTGGTGTAGGCACATCAACTACAGCATTCCTGACACCAACAATCACTGCCTCTAGACCTAGATTCAAAACTGTTCCAAGGCAAAAATTAATGCAGGTTTGTGCTCTCCCCTGTTTACTATTTATGATGGCCTGATATCTGACATCCATAATATCCTTGATAAACCACCCTCATTGTAGGTCAAATGGTCCTTTTGTGTGTTTTCTACATTAAATATTGGAATATTTCTTGTTAAAGGCATAAGTATGTTTGAAAAGGTTGATATAGATTTTAAAAAAAATCTTTTTTGTGTCAGAAACTAAAAAAACAAGCTTAATAACCTATATATTAGATACTTTATTAGTAGTAATTCTAGTAGTATAATATTATAGTAGTATTCTTAAAAACAAACCAAAAAAAGAAAAAGAAAAAATTTAAAGACCTGGAAATTTGATTCTTTTATGTTGCATTGTCTACTGATCTGCTAAAAAAGTAAAATACGCTGATAAAAATGGCCCTAGCGTTTTAGGAATATTTTTCTCCTTTTTCATAGGCTCAGATTTGCAGTATAGGACAATATGGCCCCTTCGTCATGCTAATTACTTTAAAATAAATGACAATGTTACCTTATTCATAGGTACCATCCCCTAGACCTGGTATGGTGATACCGATGAGTCCACAACCGGTACAGCCCTCACCACAAACTATACAGGGGATCAAACCTGGACCGAAACCTACCATACAGATCAGGCAGGAGGGAGGTATTTATTTAGATGCTCATTTATTTTTTATAGTAATAAATTATTATTACAGTCAAATCTGTGAATAAAGATCATCAAAAGGAGATACCATACATGACCTTAATAGACAAGTGGTCTTTAATGAAGTTTTCTCTGTTATATTTTTAATCTATGAAGGTTTGTCAAAGAGTGGTCTTTAATGACATAGTGGTTTTTATTTGGAGGTAGTCTTTAACACTGGCTGAACTGTCATTTCATTCAAAACTTGCTGGTTTTGTCTACATTTAAACTTATGAAAAATTATTATTTTATGTCATTAGGGAAAAGTTAAATCCTGCTTTGGATGTGCTTGATGTTGATTCTATTACTATCATTTAGTTTTAATGGATTTTACAAGAAAGAATCACACTTGGAATTTCCATGCCTTGTGACAACCTGTTCTTTCAAACAGGTTTTTTTTAATTACTATTTTATTGTATGTTTGTCTATGATATATAAACACAAATAAATGTTGTTGTCATTAAGCATAAATACAAAGTACATAAAAATGGTTTGCACCAAAAGTTATACCAACATTATCTGGGGTCCTTCCCTATAGTATGATTTTACTGGCATTGTCGTAACATAATAACAAAACCCACTCAAAGAAATAAAATTTTCAGATAAAAATACTGTTATAATAACCCTATTGTGTTGGGATTACTTTAAGGTATGAGGATTATCCCCTCTTACAATAACAAAAGTACATTTGGACTACTTTTCTGCTTCATTTTAAGGTATGAAGATTATCACTCAGAGTGTTGGAAGTGGTACAAGCAAGATACTACCCAAACCAAGTGGTACCCCAGTTGTTGTAGTCAGTGCTGGAAGCAGTACACAATCTTCCGTTGCTATGGTGTCAAGGACAGGGTCATCTCTCACAGGTAACAAACTTTAAAACTTTTTGAGTAAATAAGTAAAGCTGAAGTCATAGATAATAAAAAACCAAATGTGTGCTTTCTCATTCTTCAAATAGCGAATGGTAAATTTAGTCATGATATTCCTAAAATTATGTTTTCTGTCAGTTTAAGCCATCTTGATATTCTTAAGCCAATTTAATCATTTGCAGCCAATTTGCTTGTTGGCACCTGTCAGAGTGAGCCCTGGGTTTCCAAGTGAATATTTGGATGAGATTGTAATGTATTTGTTGTGATATACATGTAAGCTGTTCATTAATTCAGTCTTATTTTCGCTTAAAATTTATGTAACTGTTTCTTACTGTGTTTCTGCCTTAGTTGTCTGAACATAATTTGAAATCAACAATGAAAAGGTGATCACCAATTTGCATTGGTGCTTACAATTTCATCTTGTGTATAAAATATTGAATGTAATAGAGATCTTGTGCTTTTTTTTTCAACATGCTTAATTTATTAAAAAATGCTAGGGCTTGTGTCCTAGGATTAAGTTTATTGTGATTTGTTTTTGAAGAATATTAATGTTATATATTTTACAACAGCTGGTACAAAAGTATTAAACATACAGACACAAGGTGGTAAGATTATAACGGCACCAAGGGGTTCCAGTGTTGTGACAGTTAATCCTAAAACTCTACATTTAACTGCTGTCAAAAATGCTGCTGGAATTTCAGGTAAACAGATCCAATTTAAAGATATACTATGCTCATCTTAGAGTAAAATAGTTCTTTCCAAGAAATTAATTGAAATCTTTGTAATTCTTTCTGAATATGTCTAATTTTATTAAAAGAATGTACAAACTGTGTGTGAGAAGCTGCATATCCTATGATAGGTTAAGTAAAGTTGGTCCTTTCTTAACAAACTGCCAGTTTTTTTTAATGACACTATATATTCTAATTGTATCTAACTATGTGTAGAGTATAAAATATAAGCTATCTTCTTTGTGTGTAGTCAAACCATGTTTACTCTATATTTACAAAGAGACTGTTTAGCAATTGTCAATTGTTATAAATATAAAATTTGAGCATATTGCCATTGCTATGATTTCTTTATCAAGTTTTATTTTATATAATATCAAACCTCATATATCTACTGTGATACTATAAAGTCATTATTTTACAGGTGCTAAACCTAATGTGATAGTTGTACAGAAGACCCAACCTAGAAGACCCGGGGTACCAGTGACACCTGGTACTAGTACTGGTGGGAAACAAACTACAGCAGTTATATCTAGCCCTTTTGAAAAGGTTAATTAGAAAGTTTACAGCTTCAATACAGAATGTATAAAAGAATAATTGAACACAGGCATGAGAAAACAACTTTTAACTTCATTTTACAAATGATGTCAAAAGATATTAACATTGTCAATGATGTTAAAAATAAAAAAGTAAATTACCCTTGAAATACATATGAATAGGTAACGGTAATAAGGAAATTTCAGAAGTTTCGCGTATATTTATTTCAAGGACTAAAGATTTGATCTTAAAGAATTTGAATTGAGAATTTGAAAAAATACTGAATGGCATTAAGTGATACTTTCTCATTTCTGACCATTTAAGATTACCTATATAAAGGCACCTTCCTTGTAAGATTGATAGTTTCAAAATTGTATTACATGAATTTTGAATTTTTTTAATCTCTTCAAGTGTTCATTTTTCTGGTAAAATGGTTTAAGTGGTAATATAAACATATAAAATGATATTATGCATTTAAACCCAGTCTATGTTATAACCAACCAATCAAGAAAATGGCAGCATAGCCAAGTGGTTAATACATCATACTAGTAATCTATGGAATGCTGGCCATGTTGGTTCAAACCCCGTCAGTGATGTGTCTTTGAGCAAGAATATTAACATAAGTTGCTTAAAAGAAACGGATTTGAGAGTGTTTTCAATAAGCTTATAGCTTTCTACACAATAAAACTAAAATAAATTAGTATAAACTAAACTTATCAAGAAAGTAACTATTAGTATGCTCCTGATATATTAGGGTGTATATAGTACATAACATGTTTGTCTGCTTTTTTTGGCAACATACTATGGTTTACATAGATAAAGTCAACATACAACAATGTTCTTATATGATTTAATCTTAGTGCCAACATACAAGAGTGTTATTGTATGATTTGATCTTTGTGTCAACATACAACAGTGTTCTTGTATGATTTAATCTTTGTGTCAACAAACATCAGTATTCTTGTATGATTTAATCTTAGTGCCAACATACAATAGTGTTATTGTATGATTTAATCTTCATGTCAACATACAACAGTGTTCTTGTATGATTTGATCTTTGTGTCATCATACAACAGTGTTCTTGTATGATTTGATCTTTGTGTCAACATACAACAGTGTTCTTGTATGATTTAATCTTAGTGTCAACATACAACAGTGTTATTGTATGATTTAATCTTAGTGTCAACATACAACAGTGTTATTGTATGATTTAATCTTTGTGTCAACATACAACAGTGTTCTTGTATGATTTAATCTTAGTGTCAACATACAACAGTGTTACTGTATAATATATTCTTTGGGTCAACATACAATCTTGTATAATATTATTTCAGGAGTTGGTGAGTTTTTTACAGAAACAAGACCCAACAAAGCAATATGTTGTAACAACAACTACAGCAAACATTGGTAGATCAACAGATACACAGAGAAAAGTTATAGTCACTACATCAGGTCATGGAGACCTTGCTAAACAGGTTTGTATATAATCATATCTTTTGCATGAATGTTTTCTCCAGTTGTCAAAAATGTACACTTTCCCTATTTGATCTGTATACAATCATGAGCCAAGGTTATAAAGAATATTCTAATCTCAAACTCAGATCTCGGTATTTTGATTGGTCAAAAACAGATTAACCGATGAAAATCCTTAGAATCGAGCTTGATCTCGGGAAAAGGTTTTATAACCTTGGGGTCATATCTTTTTGTGTGAAAGGCTGAATGTAGGCTGAAAGTAGGTTTTTTGACCAAAAAATGAATCTCTATTTGATATTAAAAATTCCCGAAAATTTCTATATAGCAGTTCCACTTAGAAAATCGTTTGTCATTGAATTACTTATGTCAGTGGCATAAAGGAGGAGTACAAAGTAAAAGGAACAGTTACTAGGTAGATGAAATCAGGACAAGTGTAGCATCAAATTTTTTTAAAATAAATTTGTGGGAAGAAGGAAATATACAATGCCAAAGTAATGGAAGTAGATATATTTGACTAGCTTTGGGGAGAAGCTCCAATCGAGCTTTGGTATCAGAACAAGATCAGGGGGTGTTAATCACCATCTATGATGGTTTTAATTAAATTTGTTATAATGGATGAGCTTTTGTCTTTCATTTATCAAGGATTATTTCTGGTTTTTGTGATTATGGTGCTTTTGTTACTGTTTCAACCATATTATGAAAAATTCATCATCATGTTATTTTGTAAATTTACAGATCAGTCAGTCACTGCAGAAATCAAAATCTGATACTTCACAACCCTCCTCTAATATCTTACAAGACCTTATAACAGCTGCTGGCATTGTGCCAGATGGTAACCAAGACAACCAATCAGGGGAAGTCACTCTTAATCTGGATGAAGCACAGTTAGCAGCCTTGACATCTGTTGCACAGGATAGTACACAAACTAAAGGTTTACAAACAATATTTTCTTACAGATAAGACAGTGTCTATTCTAGGATTGGGGATGGGGTGATTCACTCATATTTTTGAAAATTGCCCCTATTTTTTCAGAGGCAGGGGGATAATTTTACATAGAGAAAGAAGAAAAAAGATGAACAAATGTAATAAATTCTCACTTTTTGATAAAAATCCCCCCCTGTTTTTCGAAACCTAGAATAGACACTGTAAGAACATCCTGATAATTAAAAGATTTTATACTCTCAGGAATGTTTTCCTTAGAGCATACAATTAATGTTTCATCCTTGTCACTTTTCCATGCTTTAGTCATACTAAAAAGTACGGTTTCTTATAACACTTTCATTTATGTACTTTAAATATTAATTTTGGTTAGTTTCTTGTTGATTGAGCAAATGTCTCTGAGGCAAAAAAAAACCCAAAGAAAACAAAAACAATTCATCATAGTGAAATCATGTTTTAGCATAGTTAATGCCACTTGGGGAAAGTAATCTTACACACAATTTTATTAAGAAGTGAAAAATTTTGATTAGTGTTCTGCAGTGATGATTACTCAACAAGATGTAAGCAAAAAAGCTGTTATAAGATGTAGCAAAAAAGCTGTTGAATCTAGGACACCGTTATCATGTTCATGGATAGATTATAATTTGTTTTTGAGACACTTTGTAGATATAATGTTTGTTTTACAGTGACAACATCTATGCCAAATAATGAATGGTTTGAGTATGACGTCACAGATGAGCAGGGTAATACATATACCCACACGGCCGAGTCGGCTGACACCGCAGCGGCCATACAATCATTATTAGACATGCAAGCTAATCAGACTGCGGCTAAACCAAAGGTGACGGTTCAGAGGTCGTCCAGTGTAGATCTGAGTCAGTTATCTGATCATCTTAATCAGCAGCAGTTTTATACGATCGAGCAAGCTATGAGTATGTTGAATCAGAGTGAGAAAGACACTGCAACGTCATATATTCAAAGTGAGGCTCAGAACGTAGTGGCAGGTTTGGATGACAGCGGGGACGAAATTCTTACTGCAGTACCGTTGTCATTACATCAAGACATTCAAACAAGCACTGTAACCACGGCATCTCAGGGGAAAACCCAAGAGCCTGGTGGCGGTGACCTTGACCCTCAGACTGGAATGTTTTATGTGCAGAAAGGTGGTACAATAAGTGGTATTAAAATTGCTGATGGACAGCAAGTTATAGTGAGTGGTGACGGTGACGCAAAGAAGTACGATCTCTTAAGTAGCTCATTAGCTCAGGCACAAATTGACCTTGACCCATTCCAGTTTATAGATGATGGTAACCAAGGTAACAAGACAGTGGAAAGCTCATCTAGTGCACCTGTACTTAATGAAGTATTAACTACGGAGACAGGTTTGTTTATTCATCTATTAATTAATAAATTAAATTTAGGTTTTGCTGACAAACAATTTAAAGCAGAGTAGTTGTTTATTGAAATTTTATTTTATGTTGTGATTTTCCATGTTGTGATTTTCCTTTAACAGGAAGTTTGTATTTGGTCTTCATGGCCTATTGTTCAAGACTACAAGCTTGAAATCATTTGCACCTAACTGCTATTTGTAGTCTTTGGATTCTTTCATATGTCCAGCTAGCTAACATGAGTTGACCTTGATATACACTTGCCTTAAATGATTCTTTTATATATTGCAGGCCCTGTTAAAACTAAAAGGCTGCTTCTCCATGGGAAAATTCTTTAAAATCTTTCAGTTTTCCTTTTTAATTCAGTTTATACCAAGTTTTTTCTTCCCGTTTGCTAAAATGATGTGTTATTGACTTATTGTAACCGAAATCAAAGGGAAGGACCCAATACCTGTACAAGAACAACTATCTGAGGTCTACCTTTACCAGCTTGGATGTTTTGTTTTGACTGGCCTTAACAGTGTTGATGTGGCTTTAAACTTTAAACAAAATAAAAAAAGGAAAGAAAACAATAAAAGTTTTCTTTTGTAGAATGTAAAAAAAAAAAACACCCCACAGAATGTCTCCTTTGTTTAGGCCATCCTTAAAAAAATGTTTGTTTGCAGTAATGTGACCGACTCACAAAATTTGCCCCTTCTCAAAATTTTTTTTCATGGTCAGGATAAAAATATTTTTTTTAAATCAAAAAATTTTACCTTGTGCTTTGTTTTCGTTCTTTTAAAGGTTAATAGAAGAAATAAAATGTAGGTCTTATTAAATTAGAATTCACTTATCAATTTATTAATTGTTACCAGATTATCAAAGCATATATTGTCCAGCATTTTGAAATTCCATGTTTTAATATTTGGGAGTACAGTTAAATAAAAAAAAAAAATCGACCTACCTACCCACTTTGAAAATTCTGGGTCGGGTTACTGCAAACGAACATTTTTTTAAGGATGACCATAAATAGATAAATTAGAATAATAAAATAAGATTTATTTCTTGATAATAAATAGTACAAAGAGTTCTATGTCATACATTTTTCAGGATATTTTACTTGATTAAGATGAACAATAAATCACTTTGTTATAATTTACAGTGTCAACAGAGTCAAATGTTGGCAGTTCTTTGCTCGGATCCTCTTCCGACTCGATGTTGATACAGAAAGTTGTTGGTACATCTCCTATCACAACTTCCACACCAGCCATACGTATACAACCGAGCACGTTCATACCTATACAAGATGTCATCAAATCATCTACCGTTAAAACATCAACCATTGGTATTACATCTACTAAACCTGTAAGTATAATTCACCAATCAAATGTAACATATATCATGGTAGTTTACTAAACACTGATGGTTTAATTTGTATCAATGCAATGAAGTGGTAAATATGTTTACCTGTGTCGGATAGCTTCAAGTCTATATTGGTCACAAATTATTGATTTTACGGCAGAGATACATAAATGTTTGCAAGTGGTGATATCATGATTTGGAGTCAAAGCAGTATAGGCCATTCATGGTCCTTAATGCGTGTGAACTCTCCCACTTTTAATTAGCTTTCTGCAGCCATATTTTCAAAGATTTTTCTTACAATAAGGAATGTTTTCACAATTTTAAGAAATCTCCCTCTTTTTGATATCAGAACTTTCTTCTTTGTTCATTTCAAATTCTAAAATCTCCCTCTTTTTTGAAGGAAAATCTCCCACTTGATTATCAAAAAAAAAGTTCACATGTATGTATGGATTGTGTGATGTTAAATATAAATCTTGAAATTTTTTGGGTACTTCAATAAATAAAAATGGAAAAAACAACAACAAGAAAAGACAATCGTGCATTTTCTTTTTTATGAAAGCAACAACAACTTCATGATCAGTAAAACCTGATAAATATAAGATTGACCATGAACATGTTAATTATAATGCAATCAGACCTGGGGTAATCATTAACTGTAATCATTGATTTTGTAATTGATTACATGATTACACTGTAATCATCATGTAATTGATTACCTTGCCCAAAACTGATTACATTAATTGTAATTAATCAATTACAGCTTTAATTCAGTCAGTAATTATGATTACATTTTGATTGACATTGATTACTTTCAGATTTAAAAGGAAACTATTTAAGTTCAAAGGATGCCTTTATTTTACATTATACAGTTTAACGTTTGTTTTTAGCTCACCTGTCACAAAGTGACAGGGTGAGCTTTTGTGATCGCTTTTCGTCCGGCGTCCGTCCGGCCGTAAACTTTTACTTTAAATGACATCTCCTCATAAACCACTAAGCCAATTTCATCCAAACTTCACAGGAATGTTCCTTTGGTGGTCACCTTTAAAAATTGTTCAAAGAATTTAATTCCATGCAAAACTCTGGTTGCCATGGCAACCGAAAGAAAAAACTTAAAAAATCTTCTTTTAAAGAACTCAAAGAGCTAGAGCTTAGATATTTGGCATGAAACATCTTCTAGTGAGTGTCTACCAAGTTTGTTCAAATAAAAGCCCTGGGGTCAAAATTGGCCCCGCCCCGGGGGGTCATTGATTTTCCCTATATGCATATAGTAAAAACTTAAAAAATCTTCTTTTAAAGAACCCAAAGAGCTAGAGCTAAGATATTTAGCATGAAACATGTTCTAATGGGTGTCTACCAAGTTTGTTCAAATAAAAGCCCTGGGGTCAAAATCGGCCCCGCCCCTTGGGGGTCATTGATTTTCCCTATATGCATATAGTAAAAACTTAAAAAATCTTCTTTTAAAGAACTCAAAGAGCTATGGCCAAGATATTGAGCATCAATCATGTTCTAATAGGTGTCTACCAAGTTTGTTCAAATACAAGCCCAGGGGTCAAAATTGGCCCCGCCCCGGGGGTCATTGATTTTCTTTATATGTGTTTAGCAAAAACTTTAAATCTTCTTTGAAAAAACCCAAATAGCTAGAGTTTAGATATTAAGCATGAAACATCTTCTAGTAAGTGTCTACAAAGTTTGTTCAAATAAAAGCCCTGGGGTCAAAACTGGCCCGGCCCCAGGGGTGTCATTGTTTTTAACTATATTTGTATAGTAAAAACTTAAAAAAAATCTTCTTTTGAAAAGCCCAATGAGCTAGAGCTTAAATGTTTAGCATGAAACATCTTCTTATGGGTGTCTACCAAGTTTGTGCAAATAAAAGCCCTTGGGTTAAATTGGCTCTGCAACGTTGGGGGGGGGTGGGGGTTGGGGGGGCCTATATACAGGTGAGCGACCTCAGGGCCATCATGGCCCTCTTGTTTAGTTATACAGTAAAAATCCTCAATTAGACTGATAAAAGTGAACATTCTTATCATTGCTTACATACTTTAAGACCATGGTCTACTTCAGTCATTTTGTATGAATAAACAATATTGTTTATTTATATGTAATCTACAAAATACATTATTAAAGAAATTCAAAGATGCCTTTAATTTATACAGTATCACAAAAGGTAAAACAAAAAGAATTTTTAATTCAAAAAAAAAATGTGCTGAAAGCAAACAGAACCCACCAAGAAGCCCTTTTACTTTTTTATACAAAACCAATACAGTTTTTCAACCTTTAAAATCAAGTTCATGCTAAAGAGCAACAGCAGAACCACAAATTTGATCTAATTAGGTGTTGCCCCAATCGGTCTAGACATAAATTAAAACAAAAATTTTGGGCTGTATATAATTGGTGGTCTTAAAAAGTTGAATAAGCCAGGACCTGTGTGGTATAAATTTGGATCATGAAACCCATTTGACGTTAAAAGAATCTTTTTAAAAATGGTCTTAATAGCAGGGTGGTCTTAATTCTAGGGTGGTTTAAATGTACATTCAATGTGATCAATTATCAATCAATTACTCTCTTAAAAGTAATTGTAATTCAATTGATTACAGAGGCAAATGTGAGTAATCAATCTTAATCAATTACAATAAAATCTGAAAGTAATTGTAATTTAATCAATTACTGAATCAATGTAATCATCCCCAGGTCTGATTGCAATAACAACATGATCAGTATAGAACCTGTAAATATATAAGATTGACAGTGAACATGATAATTATAATGCAATAACAACATGATCAGTAGAACCTGATAAATATATAAGATTGACCATGAACATGATAATTATATGCAATAACAACATGATCAGTAGAACCTGATAAATATACAGATTGACAGTGAACATGATAATTATAAAGTGCAACAACTCCATCAAAATCGTTCATTCAAGTTTGTAATTTATTGATAAACAAAGTCATGGTTTCTCAAATATGTTGAAGTGTCTGAGTTCCCTTGACTTGTTAACACACCTGTCAATTTCATTATTATGAATAAAATTATAAAATGCATGTACATATATATTGATTGAGACCAAAACTTTTGTTGGTTTTTTTTCTCACTTTTTGCCAGATGACAGACTATAATATTTTGTATGAGATAAACGAACCATTCTGTGACTGAAATTTCATTTTAAGATGAAAAAAAGACAACCCCAAAACATTAAACATAAAAAAGTGGATATAAACAAATATTTTCCAGACAGGTTATGGTAAAGAAGTGGGGGAAAAATCAAAATACTGAATCAAAAATAGAGATGACCAAGAACTAGTTAATGAGAGCTGAGATAAAATTATCTTGTTATTAAGTCTGACAATGAATTTCTTAACACAAATATATATTTTTGTTGTGTAGTTATTTATAGCTCAATTGTTAAAGCTGGTCAGGGTCTATGCCAGTTGCTTTAATGTAGAATAAATATCTGGAAAAAGTGATCTCTAGGAAGAGTTAAAAAGTTTAAATAAAAACAGCAAAATTACATGAAAATTGCAGACTTGGTTTGATTGAGTCTGTACATGAAGGATAATCCTCAGTGTCTATTCTAGGAATTCAAAAATAGGGGGGATTTTCCCCCCTCTATTTCAAAAAAGGGGGCAATTTTCAAAATCAAGGGGTGCCAATATAAACTGCCAATCTTAAATCGTCTGCATTAAGTTTACACTGAGGCGTTCAACCGATGAAATATTTAAAACAAAAATATTCATTTAAGGCAGCAGAAGTTGTCCTCCCTTAATTTATGAATGAAAACAAATTATTAGAGAACTGTAGCGATTGTTTATCAAGGGATTGACAATACAAACAATCGACCTATCTTTTACGTCTAGATCGTAGCCAGGGTCTTTCAAATAGAAAGACCCTGTCGTAGCCAAGCTAGGATTTCTTGATTATTTACTACACTAAAATGGCGCCCAACTGTCAGACCTAGCACACTAGTTCCGGTAGGTACGAAACATTCCGTTAATTTCCGTCAACTCACGTAACCAGTACCATACGGTACTAAATTATTATAATGAGCTTACAATTTCCGGTGTAAATGTAAACAAAACAACCAAATAAAATGCGAGATGGAATAATGCTTGCGAGGGATCACTTTGTTTCCAGAATTTTTTTACGATTTTATTAACTTTTTTATAGATGCGCGATTTTCACTCACATGATTTTGAATTGTGCGCAATCTTTGAAATATTAGCGTGAATCGTGCAATCGCGCGTCCTAGAATAGACACTGAGGATTATGAAAAAGTGCAACCTCCCTCAGGGCCCCCTAGCACTGGTTTGAGCGTTACTCAATTCTAAAAACTTAAAAGTGCTTGACTTAATGATCCTGAAGAACCAGAAAAATGAGTCTCTTTCACTGTTTTTACAGAGTTCACATAATGATTTCACATTGCAATTATTACCTCTCCTGGCTGCCAGTTTGAGGTCATTCCCAATATATTATATGCTTAAGATAAGATAAAAAGTTCTCATAATTTTATCATCTTCATGAAAATTGATAAAAAATCTTTTACATATTGGTGCTATTATGATATTTTGCTGCATATGTATAAATGGATTCACAACAATCGTAAATCAGCTGTTAATTCATCAATAATCAATATTTCATTTATAAGTATGTAATAAATTGAATTATTTCAATGAAAAAGCATAAAAGTAAACAAGTACAGTTGACTTTCAATAAGTCAAAATAGCTTTACTCGAAATTACGCGTTAGTCAAAGAATTTCTAAAGTCCCATCAAATTTCCTTCTTTATCTTTGTATTTTAACTTTTCTTAGGTCAAATTTTGACTTACCGAGACTCCTGTTTAGTCGAAAAGAAAATTTGGTCCCGTCAATTAAACTAAAGTCCAACATATTTTCGTCTCAATTAGTCAAAGTGTAAAAACAGCCGACTGATCAAAGGTCGGCGATATCAAGGTGAGATGTTGTCTCATGTGATTCACTTGTTGAATAGTAAATATAATTACCGGTCATCATGTATTATTAACACGTCGTAAAAGCGGCTTTAATCGGTTTTAGGACTTTATTGGTTTTAACAGTTGGATAACTAAATTAAGATTTAATCATCAATTCACTTCAATTATTAGATAAACTGTTGTTGAAATAAATGTGTCATTGTGTTTTTATTGTAATGAATTGAAATGAGTGCTTTACTGATGAATACTGACAAACTTGCATTTATGTCATTGCTACGAATGTTTGTGTTTATGTTCCACTATTAATATACATGTACATGTATTAAATTTTGAATAATATAAATTTCTTCATTTATAATTTGTAGTTGTAAGTGATTTTCTGTCATTTCAACGGTTAAATATTGCAGCATTGCCGCTATCAAAAATCACAAACCTACTTCTTTGCGCATTCAATCAGGCACATGTACGAATGTCAACGAAACGGCAGATCCACGTTACTCGAATTCCGTTTCTCTCAAAGTAAAATGCCCAGTCCCTTGAAATTCGAGTTACCGAGAGTCAACTGTATATAACAAAAGAAATAAATACATAAATTGACAGGAAATGTTTTATATATTAAATTAATGTCACAATTATCCAATGAAAAATGAAATTACAGAAGTGCTTTTTATTTAAAAAAAAAAAGCTTGTACACTTTATTAAGCGAATAAGTAAGTAACGAATGCCGCATTCTATTGTGAATGCTGAAATTCTGTGTATTCACTAGATGTTGTTTTTGTTGCGCTTGTCACAATGTCAAATATTTGATACTTCATGGTTGCTGCCTTCTTCTCACATGTCCTGAATTTGGAAAATATCAGTAACAGTTGCATCTGACTTTCTTTAAACCACATAACATAGAGAAATGGGTCCAGTAAACAGTTCACCATCGAGATACCTTCCAGTGAAAGACGTACGTAAAGGACCTCGAGGTTCATGAATTTGATGTATGTTAAGATAAGTGCATACGTCAGAGAAGTTATTAAGATCACCAGTAAATAAATGAGTACAAGCGATGTGGACTTGTAGCTCCGCAATAAATTTGCCGTTGATGCAAATGATATTTTTCTTTTCTCGGTATTTGCAAGTTGTCTGCTTACGATGTTGAATATCCCCCAGTAACAGGTCATAGACACGGCAAGAACAAGAATAACGAGTGAAGCGTAGTAAAATGTTACAATTTGGTTACATAGTCCCGCTTGAACAAAGACATAATGTGACTGAAACTTCATGTAGCAAAATCCGTATCTGACAGTCTGAAAAACGATGATTGTTGTTAGCCAAAGTGTAACAGCTATTCTACGCAGAAATGTTTTTTTGCATCTTTTCATGTATACCATAGGCTTTTTAAACATCATGTAACGCTCCAAAGACATCAATGCCACTGTTACGTAGGCTAACTGTAAAAATTGTGTGGACAATACATTTATACTTGTATTATAAAGCGGGTTTTTAATAAATTTTCTCACCGTGATCGCTGTTATATAAATTGAATCAAAACATAAAAGTCCAGTTGATAGAAACTTTGCCGAATAAGGAATCCTTTTTGTACGTCTGAGAGCTGTGATGGAAAAACTGCTGATAATAACAGATACTAACCACAGACAGACATACAAGATAATCACGTAGTCGGGTAAATTCTCAATGAATATCTGGGTTTCTTTATTTTCATCCGTATTAAATGCTTCAACAAATACAGTCTGCTCTTCCCTTTGTTTTGACTGGTTCCCACTGTTTGAGATATTTGAGAATTTCTCCATTATTTGACTGCTCGCATAATTCGAAATATTCTTTAACTCTGACACTTGACTGGTTCCATTTTCAGTTAAAAACATTTCACTGTTCATATTAATTTTCTTGATATTTTAAATATTCTCTGATTTTCCTGTCCATCTCTTTATTTCTGTTCCCATATGTTTTTTCAATAACAAACTCCGTGGTGGTATGAATTATTATATATGATTCATAAAGTACAGTAGTCATGATTTTATATGACCGATTAAACACGTTATTTGCTTGAAAAAAAAAAAGGCGTTGTACGTCATCTTAATAGTGTGTTGCCATTCTCTCTACTCAAAGATGTGCAAATAAATAATGATGTGATCAGGTTTGTAAAAGAATGTTGAAAACCATACTGAAAGGAAGACTAATTGTGTAATTACATACATGAATAAAATGTTATTTATTTATTACTGGGCAACAAAGGGTCAGTTATCATCAAAATAATTGTTTACAGACGTCACTGGTGAACAAACTGTTAAAACGTTTTGAGATACAAGAACACGTTATAGGTAAAAAATGATTCTCTAAGTTATGATTATGAAACACCTTCACATGATGCTAATAACTTATGATTTTATATTATAATTGTGCATGTTATTATTGTATGGATTTGTTGTAAATTGTCATGAATTGTGATAATTGTAATCCTGATTCAATTGTTTGTTGTATATAACAAGTTTGATTGTTCAGGGAATATTCCATGTGATGGTCATTTCATACCTATGGTTATAGTGTAATAATACATAATGATAATAATATAATAATACATTATGATAAATCCAACGATGTGTAATTGCTGAATAAAGAATTGAATTGGATCGAATACAGGTAGGACTGGTGAATGTTTGTGTGTCTTTTAGCAACTAACCAAACTGGCAGCCAAACTGGTTTTAGGGTAATAGATGAAATGATGAACGTTTATTGACTTCGTGTCATAAACTTTAAAAGTCATGTACTTGCAAGACATTGCTTTAGAATGAAAGAGTTGTCAATTGCCCATTATGATCTTCATAGGGTCCACTTCGTAGGGTCCATCTAACAATTTCAACTTCAAAAGAATAAACCTATATTACAACAAAGAAATTATCTAAAGACCTCTGACCTTTGATTTGATTTTGTATACACTTCTGTCAGTCTTTACAATTATTTTTGTATGTGAATCTCAGGGTTTTCATTTTCATCTGAGACAATATATGTGCCAATGAAAATAATCGATTTAGGGAATGTTTAGGGGAATGTTTCAAGCTGAAAATACAACCCAAATTTTTAATTTTTCAATTTTAATAGAAAGATTTTTTTTAATTATGAAAAAACCTGCCAAATTGGAAAAAAATTTTAAAATTTTAAACCCTTTCCTACATGGGAAAAATCATTGAGCCAGTAATTTTGATTCTTTAAATAAGTGGTTCATGTATTATAGAGTTATTTGGCCCCCCGAAAAAATCCCTTTCAAGCATTTTTTTTTGTCCCTGTTAGGAAAAGGTTCATTTCTTTAATTATTGCCCCGTGTGAAAAGTAAAAAAAACAAAAACCCCATTTAGGTATTAAAGTGGGAATTAAATTTTTCACTTTTTTTTTGCTGTTTCGAAAAAAATTGTAAATCACCGTGCAGGGGCCCCTAAAATTTGTCATGGATAAAATTTAAAAAAACCTTTTTTAAAAACCCTTTTTGTTTTATTAAATTATTTATTTTAAAAATTTTTGTTTTTTTTATATATATAAAAAGTGGCGTAAGTTCAAAACTTGTTCCAATGTAACGGTAGGCCCCGCGGGTTTTGGGCACGGGCATTTTATGAAAATGGAGGGTTTTTGAGGGCAAACAACTCTCTGATAAAGGCGGGGCTTTGTAACTTTTGTTGGTTTTAGATTAATGGGAAAATAGCCCCTGAAAAAACTATTCCCCTGGTGAAAATGAACCCTTTTTAAAAGTTTGAAAAAAAAAATTTTTTAAAATCAAGGGGTGATCAGGGATAATTTGGATTTTAGTGTTTGATTTATTGGGGGCCAGTGCAAAAGGGGTTTTCATACTTGTTTTTTAAAATTTCTTGTTATTATTAAAAAAAAATTTTTTTTTACAAAGGATGGGGTACAAGTTTTTGTTGATTTTTTTTAAACTGGTAAACTCAGACTACTGACACTCAAATAGAGGGATTTCAATCATTAGATGCCAGTGCTTTACCTGGTAGACGGAAAAGAAAAGTATTATCAGGGGAAGAAATAGCTAGCTCACCCCCTGCTGGAAGTGGTGCCCCAGGGGGTTGGGTGAGAGCAGCTCTAGGGTAAGTGATGGATTTAAAGATAAATAAGGAATATTACATAGGTGTGCTATTCTGATTGGTATTATCACAAGTGTTGATTGTGTAAAGCAGTACTCCCACTCACCTGTGAAAAAATAACTTATAACTAATAGAGAGAGCTGTTGTACCCACCAGGGTATTTGTGTCACAGTCTCTGTCACACATCGGTTAAGTTTTTGTGTGCAAGTTGATATCTCCAAAACCACTGAAGAGAATGGGTTGAACACTTATTTTGGAGCATAATAGGAGGTTAGATCCATTACTGTAACACAGATTTTGAAAGAAATTTCTTAATTATCAATGCTTTTATTTTACTGTCAAGCACTGCAGGGACTACATTTAGGGTGGAGTTGGGCATGATCTTTTCACTTGACTGATTGAACGGAAGAGCAAAATTTTGGTTGCCCAAAAATTTTTATGAAAAAGTATGACATATATTTCACTTCAGGATAAATCTACCTGAAGTCAGATCTAATTGTGTAATTTGACAAGATAAGGACATGCACTGAAGTGTGGCCATAGCTAGAAACTGTCCTTTTGTTTAGTGTATTAAAATATGGAGTGGTAAAGTTGATAATCGATAACTTTTGTAACCAGTTTGTTGTAGTTGTTTATCTCTTGTTATTGCCATTACTAAAGATAGTAGCTAATTTTGACCGTATGAAATAGCTATTATAATCACACATGTTGGGTGCATTGATTGGTCACAACCCTGAAACCTAGCTATAATACGCAAACCTTAACCAGTCAGTCTAAACTGTAGTGTTTTTTCATGTGACATGCTTTTAAATATTATATATTTTATATTATAGTATACAGTTATTGTATGTGATAACTGATAAGCAATATGTTGTTTTAATGTATGCAATTTAATTTTGTTTTTCAGGGTATTGAATAAAGTATCCAAGTATCGAGGTTTGAACAGAGATAAAAATGATTTAAATGCAGCTACATGGTTCACTCAACCAGGTAAGACTGGTTTTGAAAAGTAAATAAAGTTCGTTCAGCCATTTATATTACAGTGATGTAGGATAAAATTGTAGTCTTTTTCAAAAATGTTAAATGAACATCTTTTGAGTACCCACAGTGAAGATGTTTTAACTTTATACACTATGATTTTGAAACTTAATACTTTACCCATTACCAGATATACATGTCTTAACACGTCTTTTTCATCCCCGTTTTTTGTTGTTGTCTCAAATGGTGAAAAAATGCCTTATTTATGCCCCCAACACTTGTTTTTGTTTGAGAAAAGTTGTTTAAAAAAGTGATCACTTTTTCGACGCTGCCCTCTATCCAAAAGATACATCAGAGATATCCCCCTTCTGTTTGGGGATTTGAAAGGGAGAAGCAGCCCCCCTCATTGCCAAGAAAATTTTGGACTTGTGAGAGGCTAAAAAATTTCCCAAGGTCAATCATAAAGTAAAATGTAAACATCTCTGAAAAGCCTTTGACTCTCTTTCAATCCATTTAGAAGTTGCAGCACTTTAAAATCAATTTGGATGGAAAAAATCAACGCAAAATAGTGATTTTCAGCAAATTTGAATTGTCCCCTCATTGCCATGGTAACAGTAAATTTAAGACTGGCATTTTTGTTACAAAGGCAATGGTCCAGTCATCATTTGTGCCAAGTTTGATTAGTATTGAAGCAGTGTTTATAGTTTTATAGCAATTTGAACTGGTAACGGGAGACTTTTCAATGAAAACAGCCATTTTTCACAAAATGCTAATGAAGTAATGGGTTAATTAATTTAGATCACAGACACTGTCAAGGACTTGAGTGTTTTTACAACCTTCTGCATTTCTTGAATTTTTTTCATGGCTTCTGTTTAACAATCAAGCATGCGGAATATATGTAAGGGTTGGCATTTGCAATGTTTGTTTTACAACTTTTGTTATTTTCCTGGGTAACATTTGTTCCCCAAGTTATTTATCTTATCAGATTTCATGCTGTAATTGACTGAAAGATAAATTTTGACATGTTTTATAGTGGATCCAGCTGATGCCCCAGATTACTACACTATTGTAGAAAATCCCATGGACTTTGGAACTATCAAGAAAAAACTTGAAGTAAGTGTATGCATTGGTTACTTTACAAAAGTTTTTTGATTATAGTGTAAAATAATAGAAAAAAAAAAATCTGCTTGTGGTAATTGGAGTTTAATCTACTGACTGAGAAGTGATTAAGGGGTGTCAATGGCGGAAATGGTTAAGGTCATTGAACTCAAAACATGAGTGTAAAGTTACCTGATCATGAAAACTATGGCTTGCCCCTGATGGGGGGTTTGAACCCATGTGATTAACAATCATTAGATTTCTAGTTTGATGTGTGAACCACTTAGCCACACTTTTAAGTTTTTAGTCACACTGAAGATGGTGTGGTCATTCTTTCTTAATTCATCAATGTACCTTACAATTTCCTGTCATTTGTTATTTGCTTATTATGTAAATATGTTGTATAACTTCTTATACATGTATATGATATATTATTACAGTCGTGTAGATACGATGAGTTTGAAGATTTCCATAGCGACATGATGTTAGTGAAAGATAATTGTTACCTATATAATCCGGAACAAAGTCTCGTGCGTAAAGATTGTGACGAGGTATTCAGTTTCTACATGTCAGAGCACGAGAAACTCATGGAAAAATGGCAAAAAGTAAGTTTACTTGTTTTTGTAATGTTTTTTCAATGAAATAATTCAGTTTTATTCATACTTTTAAAAGGTTACTAATTAGATGTCTAGCATTTGCATGTGATCTTCCAATATAAATTATTATTAAATTTATTCTTTTTTGAATAAAACTTAATTGCAAATGTCCTTTATTGTTTCTTTTATATTGTAAATTTTTTTGTGAGTTTTAAAGTATAAAAAAAAGATATTAATTTTACTTTTTTCATATTTTAATGAAAAATTAATCTGAAGCTGGTAATTACTAAGAAGAATAGGTAGAATCTTGTCCACTGCTGTCATTGAACACAATAATTGAAACAGAGCCTGTACTATTTTTAATTAAGCCATGTTGTATGACCTTCAAGGTCTTAACATTTCTTTATTTCACTAATTTCTTTATCTCACTAGTTAAGTACGAAAATGATTTAATAGTTTGAATATGTTAAATTTATATTGTTCCTTGTTGAGCTCCTTATGGAAGATTGATATGCTGTCCGAATGTTTTCTTTGTTAAATAAAGTCTATATTATTATTATTATTATTATTATTATTATTATTAACACGAGCACTTTATTGACTATTTCAGACTCATATTGGTTCCCCAGTCTCCAAGAAACCTCGGACAGACAGAAGCCCTATCAGACCATGAGTTTATCTGGAATAATATAAACATTTACATCAAATAATTATACAGTGCTTATTTGTTACATACAAAGATTTTTAGTGTACATGTATGTTTACACATGTATGTTAAAGCTACATGCCTTCAGATTCATACTAATTTTCATGAAAATTTTAAAAATGTATTTAAAAGTAAAATATTGTGAAGCTAAGATAGTAAATGACACATTGCAAATGGCACTTACATTCTATGTAAGTAATTCAAATGAGGTCATAAAAATGCAAAAATATTCTTTAGTTTACTGCATTAGTCACATAGTGTAAATATAGTGATAAATACTGCAAAATCAGTCATTAATCGCACATAATATGTAAATTATGAATCTTTTTACCTTTCTTAAAATCTTCGTACATTTTTCCTAAGTTTGATTTTTCTTGAAATATTTTAGCTCATCTGGAGGCATGCGGCTTTAACTTTGAAGCTGACTTAAATCATAGAATATGATTTTTGTCATCTGATAAGTTTTTTGTCCGAGATAAACAACAATTTCTTAGGTACAGAATTTGTTTTGTTTGTCTATTGCAGACAATTTAAGTTCATGAGTGCCATCTGATCATGGTCTGGAACTTTGCACTGTTCAATTTTCAGTCTGTAATTATCATGAAATTTTTCTGAAAATTATGACTTGTTCTGTCCAGATTGAAATGGGAACGAGTGAGACTAAAAAAAAGTTTTGGTGCACCACATTAAATACCGTATTCTGGTATATACCGGACAAGACGCTTGAATGGTATAATGCTAAAATCTCGTCTTTTTGCCCACCGAAATGTACTTTAAGAAATCTAAGTCATTTCATTTTATATATAATAATGAATATAAACTGTAAAGTTTGTTGAAAAAGAAAATTTTTTTCTACTTTGTGGTCTTGATTTCTGCAAGCATCTAGAGGAAGCTCCAGTGCTGCCAACATTTTAATGAGTTAAATCTACATTTAAGATATTTAACGTTCTATAGTTTAAAACTACAGGTATATCATTACAGGTGTACAAGCTTTAAAACGGTGTCTATGATTAGTTTTATACATACTTAAATGATAGTTTAGGATATATAAATTGTATACATGTATGTGTTGTGTATGTTTTTATTAAATGTTGCCAAAATGTGTTCAGCTATTGAAAATAGCAGCAGGTTTTTATATCTTGTCCAATTATGTATGTAATTTTACACTTTACCAGTCTAGTTCTACAATTTGTGTTGTTCCCAGTTAAAAGAAACAGCAAATAATGCAAGAGAATTCATTGAAAAAATGGTGCAATTTTTAGTCCTGAAAACATTAAGTGTATTAGATTTTCACAACCTTTATCTTAAACAGGAATTGAAATGTGTATTAGTATGAAATATTTGAAATTTTCTCAAAATTTGAACAAATATTTAAGTCAATGAGGTCTTGGCTCATATCAAATTGATTTTATTTTCAAGAATTTATTCCAAACCATTTTCCTTGACCGTTTTTCCCCACCTTACATATAAGGGTCATAACTCATTATTATGTCAATAAGGTCTTTACTTAAGTTTGCTTAAGTCGATTATTCGAGAATTTAAACCTTCAATTTAACTCCTACATCATATAATTATTATAATACTGGATTTTTTTCTTCAGAAAATGCTATCCTTAATATTTTCCCTGTATAATTAATTGTTTGCTTACATAGATGGTATTCTTTGTGGACAATTAATAAGTATGTATTTTAATTAATTCTTTTGAATTATTGTTGATTACAAATGCTGTATTATGGGTGTAAAATATTGTTGTTCATTGTAATTTTACACATAAGACTTTGACTAATATAGTCTTTTAAATCTATTGTTACTGGATATTTTTAATTAATGATAAATTCTTAAACCTTCTTATATTATATATACCATACACAAAGTAATTGTTATCCAAATCTTTTTAGTTTATTTGTAAACGAGTCACATGAAATTAAATAGAACCATCATAATACTTCAAGTTTTGTTGAAGGATAAATTCATTGTGTGTAGTAACAAAATTACTGGTTAAGTGATTCAGTTGCTCTAGAACAAAACTTAAATGTTTAGCCAATTAAATAACTGCACTTTGTTAGCATGAAGACAAATTACTTCATAAAGTTGTTTCTTTTTTTATGCCCCCGCCATGTAATGGCCGGGGCATATAGTGTTACCCTGTTCCGTCATTCCGTCCTTCCATCCTTCCGTCATTCTGTCATTCCGTCATCATCAGTTTCCGTTCATTATCTTAAGAACGGTTGGACACATTCAACTCAAATTTGACATATGGATATGTCATGAGAAAATACAGGTCAAGTTCGAATTTGGTCATGGTTCGATGATTTTTGGCAGAGTTATGCCCCTTTTACTTTGAAAATAATATGAAATTTCAGTTTCCGTTCATTATCTCCCCAACGGTACAACACATTCAACTCAAACTTGACATATGGATATGTCATGAGAAAATACAGGTCAAGTTCGAATTTGGTTATGGTTCGATGATTTTTGGCAGAGTTATGCCCCTTTTACTTTGAAAATAATATGAAATTTTCAGTTTCCGTTCATTATCTCCCCAACGGTACAACACATTCAACTCAAACTTGACATATGGATATGTCATGAGAAAATACAGGTCAAGTTCGAATTTGGTCATGGTTCGATGATTTTTGGCAGAGTTATGCCCCTTTTACTTTGAAAATAATATGAAATTTTCAGTTTCTGTTTATTATCTCCCCACCGGTACAACACATTCAACTCAAATTTGACATATGGATATGTTTTTGGAATGCCCAGGCCAAGTTCAAATTTGGTCATGGTTGGATGATTTTTGGCAGAGTTATGCCCCTTTCACTTTGAAAGTAATATGAAATTTTCAGTTTCTGTTTATTATCTCCCCACCGGTACAACACATTCAACTCAAATTTGACATATGGATATGTTTTTGGAATGCCCAGGCCAAGTTCAAATTTGGTCATGGTTCAATGATAAAGCCCCTTTCACTTTGAAAATAATATGAAATTTACAGTTTCTGTTCATTATCTACCCAACAGTGTTACATATTCAACTTTAATTTGACATATGGATATGTCAAAGGAATGGGCAGGTCAAGTTGGAATTTGGTCATGGTTTGATGATTTTTTGGCAGAGTTATGTCTTTTTCACTTTGAAAATAATATAGATACATCTTAGGAATAAGCAGTTTAAGTTTGAATTTGGTCATGGTTCAATGATTTTAGACAAACTTATCTTTCCTGAATGTTGGAAAAATTTTGAACTTTCAGTTTCAGCACTCATTCTTTTAGCCATTATTTTGGCTACAAATATGCAATATGCTATTTCTAAAAGGTTAAGACTGAATAATTTCAGTGCCTTGAACATTGTATGGAAATGGTTTGTGTTAACATTGAAAAGTTTTAAGCGCTTTGAACTTAAAATGAAAAAAATAATTAATGCACCATCTGAAATTTTGGCTGCATGCGGGGGCATCCGTGGCATGATGACACATTTCTAGTTGCAGGATTTTTTAAGCCCATTTACTGTTACCAGATTATGGCATGCGATTTTAGATACCATATTTGGTGTTATGGGAATGAAATGGGGAGTTACTCCAGTCAATATTTTAATTGGTGTGTACTAACTTTTACTTTGGTTACATTTCAGCATGATACTCGTTTTGTTTTGAATTTTTTTTGTTGCTTTATTTACAATTTCTATGTATGATTAAGTAAATGTTTGCAAATTAAATTTAAATGCAAACATTAAGTGATCATTATTTGAGAAGTTATGAAAAAATGTATGGTTGCAGATTGATGGCACTTGTTTACAAATGAATTATCAAGACATGTATATACTTGCTGGTATATTATTAGTACAAATAAATTTTTTGCATGTTCAAATGTAATTGTCATTTGTTGTTCATCTATCAACTCAATGCCTCTGCACCCCTTGTGACTGAAAGTTTGCCTTTAAAGGTTGAGGCATCGAAATTGCAGCCAGTTTTTTTTATCCCTGCGTTTTTGTAAGAGGCGACTTAAAGGGGTTGAATAATTGGAGTCTGTTCCTCTCTAAGCTTCTAAAAGTGAAGAGGTTTTAACCCCCAAGTGTTGCTTTAAGTTTGTAACTCTCGAGGTTAGCCAAACCACCTTTCCTATCTAGGCACCATATGACCTAAATTGTGTTAGTGCGCCGTGAAACCATACCAAACAATACTGCTAGTAAGTGGTGAATTAGAAAGAATATTAACAAGTTTTATAAGATTATTGTTTTTTGGCATGTTCGATGCTTATCACGTGATATTATTTGAGCCGCGTCATGACAAAACCAACATTGGGCGTTGCGACCAGCATGGTTCCAGACCAGTCTGCGCATCTGCACAGTCTGATCAGGATCCATGCTGTTCGCTATCAGTTCCTCTACTTGTAATAGAGTTGTAAGCGAACAGCATGGATCCTGATCAGACTACGCGGATGCGCAGGCTGGTCTGGATCCATTCTGGTCGCAAACCCATTATGTTGGTTTTGTCATGACGCGGCTCATTGAAGTAGCAAAATGTAAACGAAGTAGTATTTTAACTCCCATTCCCATTCATACTAAATCACTTTATTTGCAGTCATTTCAAAAAAGCTGCAGAAGAAAAAAGATGGAACCTAGCATAGAGTTCCTCTTTCACTAAAGCTGACAAGTATGTGTGTGGTTATGGTTATTTACCCTCGCCCATTTAAATGTGATTATCATTTATTTGAAATTGCCACCGGATATACATTTGGGCGTTTTTTTTTATCTGATTTCGAAAAAAGCCGAGCTATTGTGATCACTGCATTGTCGTGCAAAGAATTTAATGAAGCCAATTATTCAAATATTTTAGAACGTATCAACATAAAATTGGAGGACTTGCTATCATGTGAGCATACATTTGTAAGACAAGGGGTATTATTCTCTAAGTTGTGTCCCTTTTTAACCCGAGTTAACTAAAGATTACAAAATTTGACTGAGTGCCATATGGAGATTATGCATGCCATCTTCATATGTCTGTTTGTCAGTCCAAAGAAATCTGGATCTTCACACAACTCAAAAGGTAAAGCAGCTAGGTTAATGATACTTGTTATGTGGACAACACTGTGCATGCCATTTTATGTGAGACAATTCTTTTATCTTATCAATATATATATAGGTTGAATATAATAAATCAGACGGCATCATACGGGCGGGGCACTGCTACAATTATCTGTGACAAGCTCTTGTTTTTGTTAAGAGTAGTGAGGGACTGACTCGTGATCCTTGTATTTAAGACATCTTTACGACTAGACCATATCACCTTCTCTCTGTAAGCTTACATTTACATGTTCTGTGTGACTTTAAAGCCAAACCCATTATTTAGCTTCATTAACTTTGTCACTGGTCTTCATTTTTGTAAATATATTTGACCGTCTGTGATATAAAAACATACCGCTTGACATGATCATTTAGTTAAAGAAATAGCCATTGATTTTATTTCGTTGGTTACATTATGTCCCGTCTCTTTGATGCAACGTTGTTGTAGTGATGATTGATTAAGGGGCATATGTGGCCCAACTGGTTAAGTCACGAACATGTTGCGGACGGAGAAACGGAGGCCAAGGTATAAGACTTAAAACCATATGCCTCAAACCGCTGTGGTTCAAACCTTCACAGGTACTTTAAAAAATTTAATGCAAGGAAGCTATCCAGCTAGCTTTCGAAAGGTCAGTTCTTTACTCAGGTGACGGTTCGTGTCACTGAGTGGCACCTGAGATCTTCCTTAACCAGTAAAGCAGGAAAGTCGCCATATCACATTAATAGTGTTTGTGCGACGTAAATCCCAACCGAAATAAATAAACAAATAAATAAATGAATGTAATATTTTAATGTTTACTTCTTTATGATAATACCGGTAGCTTAAACAGGTCATCATTTGAAAAGCAAAATAAATGTAATAATGTATAAATATTTGCTGAAAAATGTAATTTTTCCGTGCAATAACAGTTATTTCTTAAATACACTTTAATTGTTAATTGTTTTATTATGTAATTGAATTTGTCGAATAATTTGTCTTCTTAAAGTAAATTATACAGCTGACGTAATGATTTCGCTATGCGTAGTGACAAATATGGCAGATGTATTTAGAAATTGTCTTTTTTTATTATTGAAAGTGTTTAAGCCTCTTCTTCTTCCTCATCGAATTCTCCCTCCTCCTCGGCGGTGGCGTCCTGGTACTGTTGGTATTCAGAGACCAAATCGTTCATGTTTGATTCGGCTTCAGTGAATTCCATCTCGTCCATACCCTCACCAGTGTACCAATGCAAGAAAGCCTTACGACGGAACATAGCGGTGAACTGTTCAGAGATACGCTTGAAGAGTTCCTGGATGGCTGTGCTGTTTCCGACAAAGGTGGCTGACATCTTAAGACCACGTGGTGGGATGTCGCAGACAGCTGTCTTGACGTTGTTTGGGATCCATTCAACGAAGTAGCTGCTGTTCTTGTTCTGGACGTTCAACATCTGTTCGTCGACCTCCTTCATGGACATTCGTCCACGGAACATAGCGGCGACCGTAAGGTATCTGCCGTGACGTGGGTCGCAGGCAGCCATCATGTTCTTGGCATCGAACATCTGTTGGGTGAGCTCAGGGACGGTAAGAGCTCTGTATTGCTGGCTACCACGTGAGGTAAGTGGAGCGAATCCGGGCATGAAGAAGTGGAGACGTGGGAAGGGGACCATGTTGACGGCCAATTTACGGAGATCGGCGTTCAACTGACCTGGGAATCTGAGGCAAGTTGTGACTCCAGACATGGTCGCAGAGACGAGATGGTTCAAGTCACCGTATGTTGGGGTGGTGAGTTTCAAGGTTCTGAAGCAGATATCGTACAAGGCCTCGTTGTCAATGCAGTAAGTCTCGTCGGTGTTCTCAACGAGCTGATGGACTGAGAGTGTGGCGTTGTATGGCTCAACAACGGTGTCAGATACCTGAAATATCAAAATTGAAATTTTAGTGATAGATAATGGCCTTTAATAGATGTAACAAACGAAAAGTAATATTATGTGACAAAATATTGTTGACATATATAATTATATATACATTTTTGTATTCTTGCAAGAGACGCATATAAGAATATTTGGATTTTAATAAAATGAATTTTTAAATGACATGTTTTTTTTCAGTCTAGTTACGTTCGCCCTCCAAGTGGACGAAAAAGAACGGGGAATATGTTTATCGTTACAATAAGTTGAATATAATAGTTAAATTACCTTTGGTGATGGTACGACGGAGAAGGTGTTCATGATTCTGTCGGGGTATTCTTCACGGATCTTGCTGATGAGGAGTGTTCCCATACCAGACCCGGTACCACCACCAAGGGAGTGTGTAAGTTGGAATCCCTGAAGGCAGTCGCAGCTCTCAGCCTCTTTCCTGACTACGTCAAGGACGGAGTCGACGAGTTCAGCTCCCTCTGTGTAGTGACCCTTGGCCCAGTTGTTACCGGCTCCGCTCTGTCCGAACACAAAGTTGTCTGGTCGGAAGATCTGTCCGAATGGGCCAGATCGGACGGAGTCCATGGTACCTGGCTCAAGATCGACAAGGATTGCACGTGGTACATATTTGCCACCGGTGGCTTCATTGTAGTAAACGTTGATTCTCTCGAGTTGGAGGTCAGAGTCTCCGTGGTAGGTACCAGTGGGGTCAATACCGTGCTCGTCGGAGATGACTTCCCAGAACTGGAAAAACAAAGAAAGCTAATTTAGAACAGAATTTATGCAGTATTGTGACTTGAACCCGACACGGTCACGATTTGTTCTGTTATTGATCATAGTCTCTTAATAATATCTTTCAGCAAAATCAGAATTGTTTAAAGCAGCAGGAGATAAATAATAAAATAGTATTGTTCTCATAGCTAAGGTATTTCAGTTGACCCTAGGTTGTTCATGTGTTAACTCTATTTCAACGATAATGTATTATATCAACCAAATGTATAAATATATTAGTTACTTAAAACATTGCCAACTGTTTTTCATAATCTTCTATTGTTAAAACGTTTCATTTTTTTTTTCTCTTTCTATTTTAAGATATCTCACAGCTCGCTGTGGGTATTTAATTTATTCCAACATTGTGTACAAGCGGAAAAAGACAATAGTCGATAATTTCGCGTTCTGATAATTGTTAATCAAACGTTAAAGTCATGTAACTTTATACTACCTATCACTACCAATATATCATACTTGTTGGCGTAAAATCAAAAAGAAAATAAAGTAAGGTGAAACAAATGACAGTTTAACAATTATTTGATAAGCTTTATTTCAAAATCAATCAATTTCATAAAAGAAATTCAAACGTTGACAAAACGGCAACGGTAGTATTACGGAGACACTTAAAATAGATTTGTTCTAAATTACAAAATAATGACAGTGGATGAAATTTTTGCGACAGTAATATTGACTAGATCAAAGTTTGCCCATTTTTTAAATTGAACAATAGAGTTAAGTAAATGTTTAATAGATTGAATCAAGAGCGCTCCAGGTATTTTTTGAATACAATTACAATACTTTTGATCAGAAGATAACAGAACAGAAAATTTATTCATCCTTAAGCATATACAACCAATAATACATTTGTGACAACAATGGCATAGTTATATTAGCATAATTATATGCAATTTACACAATCTAAGAGAGTGTAACAAAAGTTAAATGTCACTTTTTTTTATCATGGCAAACGATTTTAAAAATATCTTAAACTTTATATCAAGTTAACAGTTATTGTCTGGTGCATCATTTTCACAAAATTGAAATGAGAAGAAAAAAGTTTTTATCTCATAAGAAATGTCCCCTGCTAGTTTAAAATTGACCTGTAACGTTTACATAAAAAGACCACATTTTTTTTCTTACAAAAAAACTTAGATAATTCGTAACACGACCGTTTAATGACACATTTTGTTGTTTTTTTCTATCTTTTTATTTCATTTATCAAATTAAAGTTAAAAAAATTAGATATTTTCCTCAATGATTTAAAAAAAATCTCTTCAATCTATGATTGTAATTTAGAAAGGAGGGTCTATATACATGTGTACAAGGTGTTCCATTCCAGTCCTTTGATAATTACAGTTATAGGAGTAAATGTACTTTTAAGTCTTTTTTAACTAGCCAATACAATTTACCACAAATTAGACAGGTTCTTATAAGGTGTGTGCATTTTTGTATAACAAATTTTGATATTAATTAAACATGCGTAATATTTTACCATCGATACATTTTTCGTTTTTGATAATTGTAAAGAATTGTTATTTAAAACAGATCACAATTTAAAAATAATTGAGAACAAAAAAAAAAAAAAAAAAAAAAAAAAAAAAATAAAAGAAAAATAAAAGAAAAAAAAGAAGACATACCTTGGCACCAATCTGGTTACCGCACTGACCAGCCTGTATGTGGACAATTTCACGCATGTTGAGAGGTTTGGTGGAATGACTTGAAACACTGAAGTGGAGACACCTTCTCTTTGAAGAGTTTTATAGTCGACTGAATAAACTATCTTGTGCAGGCGTGTTAAGTTTGGAAACGTTGTCATGTAACAAAATCTTCTCTTGACAACAAACCCAAAATGTTTTTGTTGGTCGCACGGATTTGCCGAAAACAAAAGCGATATTTAGTGGTCGTTATTCGCGTTACGCGCGAAAGCGGCTATTCAAAATCACTTGCGAAAAATACGCCCATTGTTCAATTAAAGTAGAAAGATTGTTAACTGTGATTAAAAGGTGATTTTAATAATCCGTTTAAAAAGTGTAAGGATTGTCTTAATGACATTGTATGTGTCTGTACATTATTTTAACTTGTCCCTTTTTTATTTTGTGACTTCACTGTACAATTACAATGATATACATAAAATAAGCTTCAATATAACGAATAAAAATAGTTATTTATAATAAAAAATAAAAAAATTTAATAGTCAAAGGATACAAACTTGTAAAATCAAAAAAAAAAAAAAAAAAAAAAAAAAAATAATATAAATATATATATATATAAATATATATATATATATATATATATATATATATATATATATATATATAATCAGGACAAGCCAAGTTGAAGCACTATGGAGATCATAATATAGTTTTAAATTTTAAGTATACATATTTATGTATGTAGTTAAAAGGAAAAAAATAAAATATTTAAGAAGAAATATCGGAAGTATAGTGTACCAAAATTATTAAGTTAAAAATGGTAAATACACGGAATATATACAAAAAATTATCACAACTCCGACACCTTAAATGTTAGCGTTACACTATAGGCGCGTCAATGAAAGAATTATTCTTTTTCACTTTAAACAGTCTTTAATTTGGATATGTGATAAAAAGAATATAATTTTCGTGTAGATTTATTACTGAATTTATTGAACTCGTTGAATAAAATCATATTGAATATATATATGGTGAGTATAAACATGTTAAATTTATACATGTTCAATGTTTACATGTTTACATGTTAAATTTATACATGTTAAATTTATACATGTTGAATTTATACATGTCAAATTTATACATGTTGAAATTATGCATGTTAAATAATGCATGTTGAATTTATACATTTTGAATTTATACATGTTAAATTTATACATATTGAATTTATAGATGTTTAATAAATACATATTGAACATACACTTGTTGAATATATACGTGTCTATAAAAATTGGTACGAGAATGATAAAAGGAATCATTGATTAAAAGTCTCATTGTTATACTAAGCGGTGGCCATATTGTGTCTTGAAATAACAAACCGAAATAATGTATATTATAGTACATAAAAAGGCTCTTATTTAACCTGCTGATTTTGTTGTAAATATTTTGCTCTGCTTTGAATTTAAATCAGTCCGGTCTTTGAATGTAATCCTTTCCTGCAAAAAAATCTAACATCGGCCAGTATCGCAATAAATCGGTCATTTCACGAACGTTATTTTTTCACAATCTCTGGTATTCAATTATTCTTAGCCGTTTAAAACCGAAATTTAGAATCTAGTACATGTTGATAAAAGATTTGTGATTGTAAATAATATAATTCCTAAGATTTTGAAAAGATAACGTTTCGGAAATAACCGATTTGCTACGATATTGGGCGATGTTAGAATTTTTTGGCGGGAAGTCATTACAGTAAGACTACCTTAAGTGATTTTATTATCAAAATACAAATACATGTATTCAGGTACTAACAGATTAGAGTCTAGTCTGACTGCATAGATGAGTAGACCGACCTGTCCCTAAACTGACCTCAAAGGTCAAGAATTTATGTTCAGACAGGATTAACTATAACATACTGTCATAATTGGCAGAATTTTAAACTATGAGATCATGCCAAATTTAGATAATATAATCTGAAAGGCCATTAGATTAAGATTATATGAAAAAAATGTTCAAAGACATTAAAAGTACAGCTGTATTAGATTAGGATTATACGAAAAAAATGTTTAAAGACATTTAAAGCTATAAATTAAAAGTACAGCTTTATTATGATTAACTTTGGTTTAAGTTATTAGGACATACATGTATTACGAAACATTCCCAATTTAAGCGTGATAAGACAAACTATTTAGAGTTAAAACATGAGAAACATTCCTTAATATGATTTAAAGTTTATGAAACATTTTGATAGGATTAAAAGTTCTATAATCAGTTTAAACTATTAACCTCACTGGCATTATTGTAATTTGCACTGTAAGAAAGTGGTTAAGTACGAACAGCCGTTTTAAGACTGAAAAAAAAATCTGTTATGTCCTCACCTAATTAAAACAGAAATATACGACAGAGTCTAAAACACGTACATAAAAGCTAAAGTAATACAGTTTGTATGATTGAGACTAAACTAAATAAGTCATTTCGGAGCTTAAAATATGCATATGTTTTAAATATTTCAAAAAATCAAATGTAAAATTCGTTAATATGCTCAATGTCATAATCCTTATGATTCTAATTCCATGTTTCCTAGGATGCGATATGCAAATAAACCAATTTTAGTTCGGCCGAGTATCTTTTTAAGATACTTATTGTTTATTTTTGTATATATGATTTAAACTTTTATTTACACTTTCTACATCAAAATCATTAAAATAAACACTAGATTCACCTATTCAAGACTGTGGCTAAAATAAATCAGTCATACATGTCTGAGGCTAAAATAGATCAGTCACATATGTTTGAGTCTAGATAAATCAGTCATTTTTGTATGATGCTAAAATAAATCAGTCATATATGTCTGAGGCTAAAATAAATCAGTCATTTATGTCATAGGCTAAAATAAAGCAGTCCTTTATGTCTGGGGCTAAAATAAATTAGTCATATATGTCAGAGGCTAAAATGAAGCAATTCTTTATGTCTAAGGCTAAAACACACCAGTCTTGTATGTCTGAGACTAAAATAAACCAGCCATTGATGTCTGAGGCTAAAATAAATCTGTAATGTATGTCTGAGGCTAAAATAAATCAGTCATTTATGTCTGAGGCTAAAATAAACCAGTCATGTATGTCTGAGGCTAAAGTAAACCAGTCATATATGTCTGAGGCTAAAATAAACCAGTCATTGATGTCTGAGGCTAAAATAAACCAGTCATTGAACTCTTTAGCTAAAATAAAACCGCCATATATATCCGAGACAGAAATAAATCATACATTTTTATCTGAGGCTGAAATAAATAAATCCTGTAAACTTTTGGTTTAAATAAACCAGTCATTGATTTCTAAGGCTAAAGAAATCAGTCATATATGTCTGAGGCTTGAACAAATATATGTCTTAGGTTGAAATAAATCAGTCGTCTTTGCCCAAGACTAAGATATACGAGTTATTTATGCCTGATTCTAAAATATTAGAAAGTTATAATGCACGAGGCAAAAATACAGGTCAGTAACCAGTAATCCAAACCATTAGTATAATATATACCTCGGTTTTGATTCAGTTTAATGAATCAATTATTAGATAATGTGTTATATAACATTTTAACTTTATAATTACATACTGTTCAAAACTGCATTATATATTCGTCATACAGTTGTGTATTGCCGATGAATATTGTACATGTTGATGACATTTAAAATATTGATAAAGCATACCAATCAGTTATGCTCGAAGCTTACAAACAAGTTCAATCATCACAAATTGTACTTATTTTTTTTAAATGATCCGGGCTTTGCCGGGGCTCTACCGGGATCAACCGTAGCTCTACCTTTATCCTCCGGGGCTCTGCCTGTAGTTACCGGGGCTCTGCCGGCATATACCGGGGCTCTACCGTAACTCTACTGTAGCTCTACCGGCTATATTATACCCCGGATCATCCCCGGTTTGTGCCGGCAGAGCTACGGTGCTTTCCCGGTATCATCCGGTCGTTCCCGGCAGAGCTAAGGATGATGCCGGCAAAGCTATACCTTCCCGGATCATCCCGGACCACCCCGGTGATATTAAATATTTTATTCCATCCGGGGTCGAATGCCGGATGTTCCCGGATCATCCCGGATCATCCCGGATCATCCAGGACGTTGCCGGCAGAGTTACGGATGTACCCCGGTTGTTCCCGGTCGTACCCCGGTCGTTCCCGGATCACCCCGGACGTCTACCGGGGCTCTGCCGGGGCTCTGCCGGGATGTAAGTGAGACTGTAGCTTTAAAAGCCTTCCCATTTCCCTTCTATCCAGTATGGCATAAGGATTTTTCAGAAAATCATCATGAATTACTATTCTGGAACAATAGATATTATATTAAATAAAAATTATGTATCAAAGTTATCATTTTCGGGCGTTTTCAATCCACCGGGGTTCTACCGGGACTCTGCCTGGATCGTCCTGGGCTCTGCCGGGGCTCTGCCTGGATCGACCGGGGCTCTGCCTGGGTCAACCGGGGCTCTCCCGGCGTCATCCGGGAACGACCGGGGAAGCACCGGCATGAACCGTAGCTTCACCTGGGCTCTGCCTGGATGATCCGGAGCGCATCCTGGGTGGTTAGTAAGGAACTACCGTAGTGCTGCCGGGGTAAGTGTGACCGCAACAATAATTTCATCCCAGATCGTCCCGGATCATCCCGGTAACTTACCGGGATGTTCCTGGGCTCTGCCGGGAGTAAGTGAGACCGAGGCTTAAGATGAACTAAGATATTATGACCGGAGATAGACGTCAAATCTGTTATTTACTAATAAACCGTATTCCGTTTATTGCTAAAATAACCAATAGGCTACTTTGAATTAAATATCTTGCATAAAATTTATTTTTCAGGAGAAATTGCTATGTTATATACATGTACATACATTGGCATAGTATATACCGGTATATAGTAATTTTTTGTTAGAGGATAATATTACGAGATATATAAAATGTCATTACTGACTAGATAAATGGGACACATATTTGCGCCCATTCATTTGATGATTGTGCCATAATGATGCTAGTAGGCTCTCAGTGGTATAAGTTATGTGTAATAATTGTAAAAGTCTGGTTACACACGAATATCAGCTTCAAACATTTATTGTCAACAATTAATAAACAACAACAACAACAACAACAAATAACAACAACAACAAGGATTATCTTAGAGTTTGTACACGTTTTTATAGTTCATTTTTTTTTTACATTTTCTAATGCTAGGTAAACACACTATTTACAACAGTCAAACTATATTTTGGGCTGAAAAAGTATAAATCATTCGTTTTTACATTCGTCAACAAAATAATGCTTAGTCAGCAAAAAATATATTTCGACTGAATGTCCCGACAGAGGCCCTCTGAAAGACCAATAACTCAAGAATTATTATATGTACCAGTGTCCTTAACAAATATCTCACGTTATTAAACAACTTTTTCTCTTAGTTCCTCATTACTTCAAGTCATTTCACGTTCCTTCTCGTGGATTCACGTCACAACTCGTGGTTTTATTTATATTGCCGTAAATTACATATTTCACATAGGACAACATCGGGACACGCATATGAAATAAACAAAGCCGCACAATGCGGTAGTCGTCAGCCATTTTCCAGTCCGAAAATTTTAGAAATGTGCATTTTTTTGTGGTTTGTTTTACGTTACGTGACATGTTTAGAAAAGACGTCTTGTCAGGCTCGCAACAATCAACAGACACATGAATAACACATATGGTACGTTCATTCCTGAAACGTGAAACAACTATATTAACATACCGTCATAGATTAGGATCAGTCGGATATTTGAAATTGTTTCCCAACAACGAAAACCACCCATATTTAAATATACTTGAACAGTTGTATTGATTCTCCAAACTTGAATGAAAATTAGAAAAATAAAATATATATATTTGAATCATGATATCATTTATAAAAAATAAGAAATATAAACAAAATTTGTCCAAAATGGAATTGTTTTTTTTAGTCAAAAGGACTAAATGTATTGTTCGAATTTAAAGTTATTTTAATGTTTTGTAAAATAATAATTTTTTTATAGCCCCCGAATCAACTGACTTACATAGTATCATTAAAATAAAACGGTATCGAATGTTTTACCTGGTGCACTATTTCCGCACTGAGCTGCCAGTTGTGTTGGACAAGACGCCCAGTTGTATGATTCGTCACTTCCGTCGGAACAGTCGTTTCCGCAGTCACACCGGAACTCGTTAAGGATACACGTTATCTTACCACTCTGACACGTGAAAAATCCGTTTGGACATTTCTGAATGGTAAAGGAAGTATCATTTTGAATAAATATGTAATAAAACACAATTTTCAAAATAATTATGTAAGAAATTAATAATAAATTCTATATCAAATAAAAAAAAACAAAAAACAAATTTTTAAAATAATTATGTAAACAATTAATAAATTCTAAATTAATTATTTTTATTATTTTTTTTTTATATGAATCTACATTTGAAAAATAGTCTATTAAACTTATTTATAAGGAGTAAATATTTTTTCTAGTTTACTATAATATATATAAACATACGTTGACATATTGGGCTTCATTAGACGTGCCAGATCCCGATCCCGATCCACTTCCGGTTCCGTTTCCGCTTCCTCCACTTCCGGCGCCAGTACAAGACCCTGTGTTACAGAAAGCAAGTACAAAGGCATCACCGACACAGGGGTTTCCATCGGGCGTTGGTGCAGGGTCATCACACAATCGTACACGGCCTTGTCTTCCGCTGTTACATGTCTTCGTACAGGTAGTCCATGCTCCCCAATCTCCCCAATTTCCGTGCACTGAAAGAAGAGTAATTACATGACTATCAGTAGCTTGATATATATTATTACAAAAGCATTCCCAAAAAGAATGTTTGTATGCATATCACAGCCTGTATGTCGCCAGGGGAGTGATAATAACATGGTACATTATAAGACCTCATTAAGGTGTTCTAATTGATTCTAATATCACGTTATTTCCTTGAAAACCACGACTTAACCAGTCTTAATTATGTTTTTTTTTTTTTTAAATACAGTAAAAAATCTGAAAAGCGGACCCTCTGAAAACCGGAATCCTTAAAAATCGGACCATTTTAAAAGTCCCTTTTTTTTCCTTATATGTTCATTGAAAAACATCCTCTGAATATATATAATTTTTTGTCACTTGTAAGCATCTTATAAGATAAAAGTATTAAGACATTCCCATTTCGGTATTTTACCTGTACATGTGCCATTGCAAGGCTGAGAGTCTTGTATATCCCCGAAACAACCTCTGCCATTGTACTGTGGAAGGGGATTTGTACAGGTGCGATCCCTGGTGATGACACCTGGTCCACATGTGCTGGAGCAGCCACTCCAATCGGTCCAGTCAGTCCAGCCTCCATCAACTGTTACCAAGAAAAAAATGAAGAATTTACATGCGGTTATCCTTTGCTACTACCTATATTATATGGTTGCTTGATTTCTGTGTCGGTATTAAACTATGATATTATATGGAATGTACCGTTTTATAAGCACTTGGAAACAACAATTGGTTTTCATATTTACATTTAGAAAATCAAAAACATTCAAAGTATGTTTAATCGGTTCTTGTTGTTAAGGACATATTATAGTTTTTATCTACTCTTGCAGTACAGAATTGGATAATTGAACCCAAGGTATTAACATGATTTGAAACAAGTATAGGTTTATATGCGAGATATATGGGCAAGAAACAGTTTAAAAACAATTAAAGCAGACAATATTAGATGTATTGAAACAATTACAGCTTCACAGAATTGGGCAATGGAGTATATTTTAAGAGGAAAAATGAGCTGCAGTGCCACTTTTGCCGTCACAGTTAGATTGAAACCGCTATCTGACGTAAGACATCTGCATGTGACCTTGACCTTTGCCAAAGGAACTCAACAAGACGCATCACAATATTTAATATTTGCGCTAAGTCATAAAACAGACCTACAATCATCCTTTGTATGTAAAAGTTTTACAATAGACAAGTGTATTGATTGTGATCTCCCGTGAAATCTAGTGCCGCTTCTGTTTGACCCAGATTTGAATAATTATTGCCTAAAATGTTAACTTGTATTTATAAGATTTGCAACTGATAACAAAACATATTGTCTGGCGTCTTTTAATTATGTCCATTTTTTAACTTCAAACATGTGTTATCTTATATTTTTTTACAAACTTAGTCACGGCAATAGGAGGTGTCCAAAGAACCATTGGCGTTTTTTTATATATCTGACTTGTTTTTTTTTAACAAGCGCATTATCACAGTCTACAAACCTGAACAATGAAATATATTGAAACAATATCATACTTGGACAGTTGAAGGTGTTGCAATCCTGCCTCTCACTGGTTTGTCCGACACAATCTGCTCCAAGGTATTGAGGGGCGGGGTTTGTGCACGTGCGCGTTCTATCCTGTGTCCCTCCTGCACACGTGACTGTGCAACTATCCCAAGCGGTCCATGTTGTTAACCCACCATCAACTACAAATTATAAAAAAAATGATTTTTTAATGTCAAATAAATCTTATAGTCGACTGAATCTTTTAGATCTTTTATGTCATCAATTTTGGTCGATTTATTAATTTATATCTAACTCTCATTACCTGCTGAATCTATTTTAATAATCTATCCATTTTTTCATTTGGGACAATCCATACAAAGCTGAAGGGTTTTCAATGTTAAGAACTACAGCAAAAAGTGGCTTCCAGCAGTATAGAGTATTGTAAGATTGTACGTATGTGCAAGTTGCTCTGGTTCTATACTGTTGTAAATATGGACCATGATTCATGGTATGTATAAACAAAAGTAAGCTATTTAAGTCAGAATATTTCATAATGTATCATGCTATGTGAAATGCACGAGGTTCGTCCTTTTATAGGCCTTCTAAAGTCATCGTCTTATTGGCCCTCTCAAAATGTTCATTTATAGGCCTTGTCATCTTCATAAAATATTTCTAACTTAATGCTGTATGTTATCTTATTGAAAATTGTACACTTATATTATACTTGAGATGTTGCAGTATTTAAACAAGTGGAGAAGTTGTTGTCCTGTAATTAATTCTAATTCACTCTCTGACATTTCTGACTAAGTAGGGGACATTCATACAAACATGGATTTAACAACAAAAATTTTGATATCAAGATCTTACTCGGACACATGACTCCACCATAGCATTGTTGTGTTTCAGTAAGGTCACCGCTACAGTCTCGACCAAGGTATTGCGGTGCCGGGGAGTCGCACTGTCGGCTTCTTGACTGTGTTGAATATCCACAAGTTATACCACATGCTGACCAAGCTGTCCATTGTCCGAAACCACCGTCAACTGTTGAATGAAATCAAAGCGTTATTTTAATCTGACAAAGTACTATTTGAATTTAAAAGTCAAGAAGCCGTCATTAACTGTTAAAATAAGTGATAAGTTTTATTTTGAACTGATATTTTACTTAATGAAATCAAAAGCCACCCTATATCAAGCGGTCAAAAATAAAATGTTATATAAATAAGATGATTTGTCCTGTTTAAACCATGCTAAATTATGGTATTGGTTAACTTGTATGAAATATGTTATTGCTATTTATCTGGTACCGATACACTAAAATAACTTTAAAAATAAAAGAAAAAATATTACAAATCAAATTAGAATGCCAATATTGCATTCAACTGGACATTAATTACAAACGGCATGCCGAAAAGCGTTGACTTCAAGTTACATTTGAATAACATTTTAAACAGAGTTATGATTCTTGAGCACTGCACTCAATTTCACTGGGATTGACCATTGTATGAAAAGTTATGCACTGGACAATTACAAGTAATAAAGGGCAATAACTCTAAAATGAGTCGAGAAAGCGTGTGATCTCTTACTTGGGCAATTGTGAGTGTTGCATGACCTAGATTCATCCGTACCACCAATACAATCCGCGCCGCCATGTGCTGGAGCTGGGTCTGTGCACGAGCGCTCTCTTTGGCTGCTACCTGTGCCGCACGTGACTGTGCACGTGGACCACTGTGTCCAGTCGGTGAAGGCACCATCAACTGAAATTATACACACAATATTTTTTTCATTAAACAAAATAAAAAAAGTATTCCTTCATGTACTAGAATCTAGTTTATTATGAAAAAAAAAACGAAATAAATAAACGGACGTTTGACTTCGTTCACTAAGTAATAGAAAGAGCACCGAAACACTCGGCAATCTGATTTATACTCGGGGGCTACGCCCCCTCGTACAAATCAGATAGCCTCGTGTTTCGGTGCTCTTTCTATTACTAAAACAACTCGAAATTTGTATTTTTAAGTGTTTCTTAAGTTTAACACACAAGAGTCTTGTATCCTGGAAAAGTTTTCTTGTTCTTGGTTTTAATTTTGAAGGTAAAAACCTACCTTCCAAAACAATATATCCTTAAAAGTAAACACACATATTGAATTCTAATTACAAAATTTCAATTGCTCAGTTAACTTACTTGGACAGTTGCCAAGGACACAGCCTTTTGACTCGTCAAATGCTCCCGAGCAAGGTTGGCCATTATGTTGAGGAGCAGGATTTGTGCATGTTCTAGCTCTGTATACTTTACCGCTACCACAAGTGACCGGGCATGAAGACCACGTGCTCCATGCTGAAAATCCTCCGTCAACTTTGAAGAAATGAATAAAAATACATGTAAGCGTTGTTGATAATAACTGAAATATAATAAATTCTTGACTGAAAGTGAAATACCCTCAGTCGTCGATCTGATTTTTATTAGAGATTAAGATTGATCATTAGTAATTGTTTTCACATTTGACAAGGCCACATTGTAAAGGAATTGTATAATATTTAACATAAAGTGTGTAGAATCTTATTTTATCACATGCCTGTGCCGCTTTTGCGACTCCATAAAATGGTCAATAATGAATATAATTGACATTACGTCATAGCGTTAAAGAATACACTGTAGCCATCAGCCTTCTTCTAAAGTACTTCATCTTTTGGGTATGTGATAAATAGAATATCATATTTGTGTAGGTTCACTACTAAAATTATTGTACTCGTTGACTAAAATATTGAATATGATAATACTCGCCAGATGCTCGCATAATACAATTTTATTCAATTCGATTTTACACAGAGCAAAACAAATATCATCTATATAGCCTCGAGGTCATGGCTACTTTTTTGAAAGGGAACTACATGCTTGTAGTTCAAGCAAGGGAGATAATCTCTATATTAACACATACTTGGACAAGCTTGAGTGTTACAGCTCTTGCTCTCGGATAGTGCCCCTGTGCAGGCCGCGCCATTGTACGCTGGTGCAGGGTTGTTACATGAACGGGTCCTTGCCGAAGTTCCACCACCACACGTTTTAGAGCACGATCCCCACCTACTCCAGGTACTTAAGCCACCGTCAACTGCATAAGTGAATTGCAAATTATAATGTACTCAACATTTATCAATCCATTTTGTAATTGTTTGATAAAAAAAAACGTATCAATAAGGCGAAATGATAATCCTATATTCGGTTTATACATTTGATTCTGTTCATATATAATGAAAAAAGTTATCTTAACAATTTACATAATAAGGACCATATTCAATTAGTTAGATATGAATCGTGGTTTTCACAAAAAGAAAAAATATGTAAAATTAAACATCACTCTACTCAAATAGGAAATTTTAGCTGAGAATCAAGAAAGATGAACAGAATTGAACTGAAGACCGCAAGATAAGGAAAATATTGTAAACAAGATTAACAAGGAAAAGCGGCGTTCAATGAACGCAACACCCGAAAAATGTTCATACCTGGACAATTTATACCCGCGCTACAGCTTTTAGAGCTTGTTGATGAACCTGAACACTGTGCTCCATTATGCTGTGGAGCGGGATTGTTGCATGATCTGATAATAATTAAACAATATACATGTATATATATATAGCATATATATAATTGCGTTGCTATCAACTTATTTCAAACTATTTTTAGATAATAGAGGCTGGATCTATACCGGTCGCAAGGACCCAGAACTTTTGGAATACGAGTGGACATCACATTTATCCGTTTAAATGGGTACGGACAGTTTTTAGCTAAAACCGGTTCGAAAATTTGATAACCTGCAACCGACGTTAGTATTTAACAAAGAGGACGATATGTTTACATTGATTCTATACATTACCTATTGTTTTTTTTTATAACAAGATATGACAATTTGTTTGTATTCAAGTTGCACTCAACAATGCACTCTACAATGTACTTTTTTCGGTCTGATCGAGTACGGTACAACCTTTACGTTATGTAATGTAATTATTTTTTGTACCAAAAAATGAGAAAAAATTTAATATCTCGTCATAAAGATACATCATAAAGAAACACAGTTAATGTTGTTGAACATCTTAGGGTTTTTAGAATAACGATGGTGAATAAAATATTTAGTTTGTATTTCCTATATAGTAAAAATCTAAAAAGCGTGTCATGTTTTGTTCCGGAATATTTGATCTTGTTAACATACAATACACATTTGTGTTAAATACCAGAGACAGTCTGCTACAATTCTTTCAAGATTCTACCATAATATCATGGCCACAATATGATTTTACTGCTGGATTTGGTGGCTGATTTGGAACACTTTTGTGCGTCGCCACTTAGCGCGTTTCGTTAGCGACAAGAGGACAAGATGAAAAGGCGATAATGATCTAGCCTGTGTTGTCGCTTCCGACAACATAACACACTTAGTGTACCAAATTAGCCACCATATTATACGCTTTAAACAAATGTTGCTTTAAATAGTACAGTGTGCTAAAGTAATTAATACTGAAAAAATGAAAAAGAATACCTTGATCTTGACTGAGTTCCGGAAGCGCACGTTACAGAGCAGCGTCCCCAACTTCCCCAATTTCCCCAGTTTCCGTCAACTATTTGATAAAAAAGTAAATACTCGTACATGTACATCATTGGCTAATTTTATAATAATCATTATGCTATGTACAAATAGTTATGATTTAAATTTATTGTGTGAACATGTTTTTCCTGTGTATAATAACATGACATGTTAAATGAATACGGACAAATTTACTATTATTCAAATTATCTATGCCGTGTTTAAAATAATATGACATACACAACTACTGCCAAAATTAGATCACATTTGCATACTTAAACTGAAACATATCACTTTTTCCGCTCAAGTGTTTATCTCACTTTTTCCGCTCTAGTGTTTATCTCCCTTTTTCCGCTCAAGTGTTAGATCGGCTGTTACAGTTTAGCTGGAAAAAATGTTAACAAGACATGTATACGAGTATATTGTTGAATTGATTACTCACTCGGACATGGTGTTGAGCTTGAACATGCTTCAGTGATTGCCGCACTTCCTACGCACTGTTTCCCATCATATTTTGGTGCTGGGTTGGTGCAGGTGCGGACTTTTGATCTCGTTCCAGAAAGAGTGCCAGAATTGGAGCAGGAAGCCGAGCACGCTGTCCATGCTCCCCATGCTGTATATTTGCCGTCAACTGTCAAACAAAATATTCATTTTAATTTATAATTCGATGACAACAAAACGTAATAAAAGTTGACGTTGTTTTCATGACGTCATACGTCAAGTTGATAACATTCTGGCATTCCTGGAAAAGTAGAACACCGAGATAAGAACACCAGAAAAATGACTGTGTTGAATGAACATGTGTTTGTGTTGAACATAATAGCCTCCTCGTAAGAAAATGACGCCACATCAGTATCCTCTTGTAAACAGACATACCGACAGACGTGCGATATTTACGAACGGACGAACGAACGGAGAGACGATGTCCGGTCTGACAACACTAAATCTATGTGCTTTTGATTTTTGGTGGGTGTTATAATAAAGATACTATATAGATAAAGAATTACTTGGTGGTGGCGTGGCACAATCCTCTTCAGCCCTACCATCCCCGTCATCATCTGAAATAACAGTTGTGTTCATCATTTGCAAAAAAAAAAATAAAATAAAAAAAAAAATAAAAAAAAAAAAAAAAAAAAAAAATTCACATACAATGTATTAACAATATGTCAAAATGTTAGATGCCGTTATCGTATCGTAACGTCAATTTGTATATTTTAATGAAAAAAATTGTTGATTTTACCGGTCTATTAATGCAAATTTAATCAACACAAATTTCGTCATGTGAACAGATACCTTTGCCTTTGTTTTCGACTGTACACATTTCCTCGTCAATCAGACCGTCACAGTCATTGTCAATACCGTCACCTACAACTGTTGTCGTTGGCACACATACCTATACACAAAAGAAAAATTCCAATTATTACATCTGTGTCTTTAAAATTGCATTTGCGAAAAATAAAACAAAAACAAAACAAAACAAAAAACAAATAAAAACAACAAACACACAAAAAAACACACACAAGCAAACTACTAACTTAAAACGTTTTGGAAATTGCCTCTTTTCTGTATAAATTAAATAAGCCACGTCATGACAAAACAAACAAAATGGTTTGTGCGACCAGCATGGATCCGCGCAGTCTGATCAGGGTCCATGCTGTTAGCTATCAGCTTCTCTGCTTATAATAGAGTTTGTGAGCGAACAACATGGATCCTGATCTGACTGCGCAGATGCGGAGACTGGGCTGGATCCATGCTGGTCGCAAACGCACTATGTTGGTTTTGTCGTGACGCGGCTCAAATTATTACGTTGGAGTCTTCACAATTACTTCTACACAAAACACAGATTAACTGAAACAATATGAGTTTCCTGACATACCTGTATACAAATAAAAGAGTAAAACATTATATCTAAGTTTTCAAAAGTACTTGTACGCCATAACACAAATGTTCGCATAATATTTAAGTCTTCATATATTCTGGTACACAAAAGACAAATTAAATTAATGCATGAAAAAGAACAAGCGAACTATTAACTATTGCGTGATTGCCGAGAAGCCAATGGCTAATAATTTTCCTAAGATTTATTTAATCATTTGTTGGTTTCAATTTGACGACCTAGACAATTCGTGCCAAATGATCACTTCTCACGAGTCCTTACCACTCGTATTAAAACCACCTACCAGCGCGGAGGAAGCTGAAAGTGAGTCGCACCTCTTGTTGGATTCGGACCCGGGTTAAAATCCGGTGCTCTACCCCTACGCCACTCTCCTACTTACCGTATTAATCGGTGACATCCGGAGACCAAGAGGGGTACCATATGTCTCATATCTGTTGGCTCCGTACATAAAACAACCAAAAACAGAAATTGGCGAGTCGTGGCGCACTGTGTGAGTTCCTGGCGCAACCTGAAGAAAAGGCATCGTTCCGAGAAAATGTCAGATAATTTTGTCATAGCAAGTACAAATCGTAAAATGTCTTACTTGTTAAACAATTAATATGATGTTGTTTTTTTCTTTATTTTTTGTTATTTTCAATTTCATATTCAACAAGTTACCTATTATTTAATTGCAAATTCAAATTCAGTTTCTTTTATATCACAGAAAATTAATTTTAACAATATTCATGTTCTTGAAAAGACACTTATGTATGATATTTAGGTGTTGTCTTTTTAATGAAATGTTAGAAACATTGATTATCTTTATATCACCTATTTTCATTACAGTAAAATATATTATATACGTGTGTGCCTTCTTGAGTTATACATGTATAATAGAATGTGCCTACTTACGGTAGCGTAACCACCGCAATAGATGGTGTTAGGAATATCTGTAAACGTGACAGAGGACCCCAGGGATTTGCCGTCCAGTTTAAGGCCGCTCTTCTCGGATTTTTTCACAATAAACATGACATAGTTGTTGTATTCCCCGTAAGAATATTTTGGAGTAGAGAACGTGTAATCAGCTGCATATTGTTCTATTGGTGGAATTGTGATCAATGCTGGGTCAGCAGGTTCGCTGTTATAAAGTATATACATGTACAATATGTGTTATAAAGTATATACATGTACAATATGTTTTATAAAGTATATACATGTACAGTATGTTTTCTTAAGTGTTTACATGTACAATATGTTTTATTAAGTATATACATGTACAATATGTTTTATAAAGTATATACATGTACAATATGTGTTATTAAGTATATACATGTACAATATGTTTTATTAAGTATATACATGTACAATATGTTTTATTAAGTATATACATGTACAATATGATTCATTAAGTATATACATGTACAATATGTTTTATTAAGTATATACATGTACAATATGTTTTATTAAGTATATACATGTACAATATGTTTTATTAAGTATATACATGTACAATATGTTTTATTAAGTATATACATGTACAATATGTTTTATTAAGTATATACAATTACAATTTGTTTTATTAAGTATATACATGTACAATATGTTTTATTAAGTATATACATGTACAATATGTTTTATTAAGTAAATGCATGTACAATATGTTTATTAAGTATATACATGTACAATATGTTTATTAAGTATATACATGTGCAATTTTTTTTATTAAGTATATACATGTACAATATGTTTTATTAAGTATATACATGTACAATATATTTTATTAAGTATATACATGTACAATATGTGTTATTGAGTATATACATGTACAATATGTGTTATTAAGTATATACATGTACAATATGTTTTATTAAGTATATACATGTACAATATATTTTATTAAGTATATACATGTACAATATGTGTTATTGAGTATATACATGTACAATATGTGTTATTAAGTATATACATGTACAATTTGTTTTATTAAGTATATACATGTGCAAATTTTTTTATTAAGTATATACATGTACAATATGTGTTATTTAGTATATACATGTACAATATGTTTTATTACGTATATACATGTACAATATGTTTTATTACGTATATACATGTACAATTTTAAATTTTGTTATAAGTTTATACATATATATACAATATGTATTATAAAGTCTATACATGTACAATATGTGTTATAAAGTATATACATGTACAATATTTGTCACAAAGTATGGCATGTATAACATATTATAAAATTGAACATCAAGTACATGCATTTTTCCTGAGAAATCTTATCGCTAAAATTAAATTAACAAATATAAATCACCTGGATTTCGTCTGGCTTATAACAATAAGGATCACCATGATCGGCTTGGTGGATTCCACATAGCACACTTGGTTGCTTGGGGTAATTACTACTTTAAACGTTCCAGCATGTAATGTGAATGACGTACTGAAAAATTAAACATTCATAATTATTCAGAATAAGTATCCGTGCAACGGTGTGTGAATCAGCGAAAAAGAAAACTGATTTGTTACATTTGTAAAGTGCTTTCCTGTCATTTTCAAGCATTTCAGTTCATCAGACGCATCGATGATAATATCTGTCGAGTTACATTTAGTTCATCAGACGCATCGATGATAATAAATGTCGAGTTACATTTCGTTCATCAGACGCATTTATGGTAATAACTACAGAGTTACATTTTTTTTTTATTGATGCGTTTATTTAAGGTCGCCGCCGGAAAGCCCATATGGGCGACCGTACACTCAAGTCGGGTCAACATAGAGCGTCCCGCCGAGATTTTTCGTCGATTTTTTCCAGGTTTATTGGTGGAGGAAGACCCCAGGTGCCCCTCCGGGCATCATTTCAGGCACGAGCGGGCACCTGGGTAGAACCACCGACCTTCCGTAAGCCAGCTGGATGGCTTCCTCACATGAAAGATTTCGACCCGAGTGAGGATCGAACCTACAGTGGTGAGGGACCTGTGATCTCAAGTCAACGACTTTAACCACTCGGTCACGGAGGCCCCGCAGAGTTACATTTAGTTTAGCTTACGCATTTATGATTATACCTGCCGAATTATATTTAATTCATCTGATGCATTTATGATTATTATTTCCGATTAACATTTAGTTAACCTTGCTATATCTTATTTAGAGTATTATGTAATTAACCAAAAAACTGTCCAGTGGGATTGAACGTTTACCTATTATATTAGAGCCTATATATTATTAATATAACTTACCTGAAAGACCCACTGCATTTTATTTTAACATTTGTGTTGGCCTCGGACCCGATAAAGCGGACACTATCACCAGTGGTTCTCTTGGGTGTCGGTACTATTGCGAACTTTGATCCCCATGTATCTACTGGCATCATCTGGTCTACCAGGGTGTCACGTGACGTACCAGGAAGTACGCTGGTTCGTCTGTTTCCGGAGAAAACCGTAATGACCTTATCGGAAGTGATGTATGATCCAGTCAAGTCACCATATGTTTGAATCTGAAATGATTTTGTATAAGTTCTACATGCTTTTTATACGAAATCATAGACATTCAAATAATTATATGCTTCTGAATTATTCATTTTTATACTAATGTATACTCATTCAATTTTTTTTTTCAAACACAGATAAAATTATAATGTTTGCATAATTTCGTTTAAATTCGAAATAAGAAATGTTCCATACAATGTATTGAACCCAGGGATTTTTCCAGGAATTTTTGGAACATGATCCATACCCATGGAATTGGAAATTTCAGCGATATTTTGTTAAAAATTGGGAAAAAAATTATGTCTGAAATTTTGTAGTGATTAAATTACTGTCTAGGATGGCATCTTTAAGCATGTAAGTACTATTACAGTGGAGAAGCCCTTATTTTTAAAGATTTTAGAATTCTTTATTCAATATTTTTATTTTATAACTTTCTTTTGGGAATATTTTCCTGTGGATTGTGAAAATGATATACTATTTTCAATTGGGAATATGACCCAATAACGGCTATAAAATAAGCCAAAAAAATTCCTGGAACCAAAGTATAAAATCAAACCTGGAGAGTGTCGAATCTGTTCATTCTAACCGATATAATTTCATTCTTGTAATACCATTTTCCATTATAGTTTACTTCGATGGAGGAATGACTTCCGAGTTTAACATCCACTTTGGTGCCATCATGTACACCTATTGAGAAAACGAGCCAATTGATAATATCCTTTACTCAAGTTGCTATGGCAACTCAAACTTAAGCATAACCGTAGGCGATTATCACTCCAAACAAAATAACTTATTACTCGTAAAATATCCAGTTATATACATAGAGACATTAATTCATTTAATTCATTTATAAATAGAAAGCAATATGGTGGCAGAAAAAAAAATAATTTCTGTCTTGTTTGAAATTATAAGGATTTAGGTAATGCTGGAGCTTTGAATATTTGAGCAGCGTCATGACAAAAGCAACGTAATGCGTTTCCGACCAGCATGGATCGAGACCAGCCTGCCCATCCGCGCAGTCTGATCAGGATCCATGCTGTTTGATTACCAACTCTATTACAAGTAGAGAAACTGATAGCGAACAGCATGGATCCTGATCAAATTATTTATATGGCAGTGGATAGCTTTCTTAAAGAAGGATAGCTGTTTTTTTTAATGGTGAAGAAAATGGTGAAGAACTCGTCATACCCACGACCATAAAGTTGCATTCCTTTGTAGTAGGATGATGTGACACTGTGTAGTATTCTTTTCCGAGTACATCAACAGGAAACCCGAGGTAGGCATCATTTGAGTAAATCTCAATGTTTGTTCCATAAACAACAACTTCTTGATCCGCTGTTAAATGAATAAATTTATTTTTTTATAATATCTAGATTCATTGACATTTCTAGCGTCATTTAAAAAAATTGAATAAAAGAGTAAAGTGAACGGATGAATTGTGATCAAATTATGCGAGATTTTTATTTGAGGATAAAAAGATCACAAACCAACACAATTTATCAATATAAATAAGTTACATCAGTTGACATGAAAATAACAAAGGAAAAGATTTTTATAAGGTAACCTACAGCACATCCTGAGTATGTTGAGTATATAAAATGAAAAGAATCTTTATACTACATGAAATAAACACTGTATTCAGGTATTGTCCAACAACATTGACCTGGCACTCTTGCATTTGACCCTGTAGTCGGTATATTCCGTAAATGTTACGATCTACTTGTAAATCGATATAAATATAAATATCAAGTGGTTACAATATTGTAAAATAAAATTCCTCTTAGCGCAGTTGGTAAAGGTATTTCACTTGAGCAATGTATACGTTAACTTGTAGGTTCGAATCCTATTTCAGCGAATTATTTTTTATTTTAATTTTAAAATTGCCATTCTCTTAAAACTATTGCAATCGTTTTTGTTGTGTGTAATATCTGTGTTGTATCTTTATAGCGTGTAGGCGCTAAAGAGTATACGATTGCATAATCATGCCAAAAAGAGAAACGTTGAAAGATACTATAATAAATTAAAAATATATGACTGTGTAAAAAACACCTCTTAAAATGTATTCTAAAACCAGTTGTAGTAAACCAATTTCAAATTAATTCTTGCAAATAATCAAAAAAAAAAAATCATAACATGATGTTAGTAAGGAATCGAACCAGTGACCTTCATATCATTAGTCCGACATCTATACCAATACACCACACATCACTGACGAGTAAGGTTAGCAAATATATCAATATATTCGATAGATACTGGTCGTTGTTTATTCAAATGACCTTAACGAAAGTTAATGAGGTGCCAGGTCAACATTGTTGGACAATATATTAGAGAAAAATAAAATCTGAATGCATCCAAAGGCGTGACGCCAAATATATACACTAAATAAAAAGCTTGATTTAAACGACAAGCCTGTGTCGGTTTCGTGCGTGCACAAATGTTTAAATCCTTGTTGAAAAGCACGCGAAACGTTATAAAATTTATATAATTTACTAATTTCAAATGAAAAAGGAAAATACATTTAATTTATAAACAGATATAAATTGTCTATAGTCAATACTGAAGTTCGAAATGTTTGCCAAATACATACTTGATATTTTCTCGATTGATATTCATTTTCATAGCCGAATCGTGAGTTGTTCTTATTCTTGTTGAACAATTTTTGTTAAATAAGGGATTATATAAGGTTCAGGGTCTTTCAGGATCTTTCTTTTTTGAAAGACTCTGGTACGGTGTACGATACACGCGGACAACTAAGGACACTTATTTCTTTACCTTCCACAAGAATTCCCTTTGTGCTCATTTCTGTACCAGCTCCACGGATAACATTGTTGATGTCAATCTTCTTTACCTGTCCAGCAGTGACGGTGAATCTTGTATCCAATTTGGCTGCAGGGAATCTTGGTGCTGATACCTTATAACGAAAAGAACGTTTTCAGTGGTATTTTGAGGTATCACCAGACTATAGGACTTTGATTAAATTCTTTATCTCTTAAAAAAATGTCCTTAGTCAATAAATATAATGATAAAAAGGATGTTTCAAAATCCTGCAATGGTTCATTTAAAGCGGCCTTCAGTTTTGTTGTTGTTCGAAAAACAATTCTATTTTGTTTCAAACTAAGTATTTCAGTAATATCAAAGTTGATCTTTCTGGGATTTGAACCCACGATTTGCAGTATCAATGCAATTGACAGTAATTCTAACCTTCAAAGCGGGAGTTCTGTATGTGGAGCGTCATACATTAACAGTTACATTAAAATATACCAGTCAGCGATTAGTGTTACCTTGAAAGTCTTTGAAAGAAAATCATTCAAATTTCAAAATTAACACTGTTATTACGAATGAGTTATGTTTCGATTGCGCAAACGACACTCTGACTTACTAAAAATGGCATACTTATGATTTTGTGTAAAACTTGGGTAATTTTTCTACATGAACAATGCCAAACAAAAAGATCGATTAAACAGATTGACCGGTGAACTGAGAGGTCATTTCTTTTGTTTCATATGTGCTGTCGGTCCCTTATCAGTCATAACGGACTAAAGTCTATTTTTGTTCTGTTTACAGTTAGATCACCACACCCATTTTTAAAGCCTCGGCAGACAAACGAATGCACATAACAGACAAGCATCCGAAACAGACACAACAAAATAAAATTATGCTGAACTCAAGTCAATACTTACATGGACGTTTACTACGGTTGTTTTGGAAGTTGTAACATAAAGTTCTGGCTTGTAACTAAGGGCATAGTTGGCCGTAAAACCGAGCACAAACTCTGTCCCACGGTTATCAGGAGCACCTGTTGTCAGAAAATTAAATGTTAGTCTACATTTCAGCACCATTTCAACCATCGTCGTCGTGGTCATCATCATCATCATCATCATCATCATCATCATCATCATCATCATCATCATAATCATCATCATCATTATCATCGTCATTTTCATCATCATCATCATCATCATCATCATCATCATCATCATCATCATCATCATCATCATCATCATCATCATCATCATCATCATCATCATCATCATCATCATCATCATCATCATCATCATCATCATCATCATCATCATCATCATCATCATCATTATCATTATCATCATCATCATAATCATCATCATTATCATCATCGTCATAATTATTATCATCATCATTATTGTCATCATCATCATTATTATCATCATCATCGTCATCGTCGTCGTCGTCGTCGTTATGTGCGTCGTCTTGACCAACAAAAACAGCAGCAACAACAACAAAAAACAACAACAATAGTTCAACAACGAGTATACGTAAACACTGCTTTTCTTATTACATTTGACAACAAATCTTAGAAAATACATCCGTAAACATTATTAACATCAATTAATTTTTTTCACTACAATGTTACGAACAATATTATCCCTATCCATAATTGATGATATGGATGATATAATTATGATAATACAATAAACTTACCGAGTACAACCCCAAGTGTGAGAGACAAACAGATCAGGTATAATGTAGCCATGGCTGTAATTCAGGTAAAATACAACAATTAAAAATGAGCCGTGTCACGACAAAACCAACATAATGGGTTTGCGACCAGCATGGATCCAGACCAGCCTGCGAATCCGCGCATTCTGATCAGGATCCATGCTGTTCGCTATCAGTTTCTCTACTTGTAATAGGGTTTGTAAGCGAAAAGCATGGATCCTGATCAGACCGCGCGAATGCGCAGGCCGGTCTGGATCCATGCTGGTCGCAAACCAATTATGTTGGTTTTGTCGTGACACGGCTCAAATAAGTATCTTTAAAAAAGGTAATCGACCGAAGTAAAACTGTTTAACATGCAAAATTATGTTATTTCTAAGTTTTCAATACAAAAAGAAATGTGAGCAATACTTGCATAACAATTACATGATAATTATCTCTTGAAGCTAAGATAATACCAATTTTGTAAACATTTAAATATTGATTTTGATGATTCTTCAAAGTAAGATAACTTCTATCTTAGGGGTCCTCCCTTTTACTTGTTTTACATTTGACTTTATAAACTTTGTTAACAAAGAATTATCCTTTACAGCTTATTTTATAGTGGCAAAAACTGTCCCTTACATTTTATTTTAGAGCTATCTTTTAAAATTCATTTTAGAATTGTAAGTACTATCCTTCACATTTTATTTTAGAATGGTTTGAACAACCCTTTATTACATTCCATTTTAGAATGACCAATGAGATTCACCGATTCAATGAGATTCACTGATTTTAAAATGACCAATGGAAATTCTTCTTATCGTATTGTTAATTTCACGGTGTAAAACTGATAACAGACGGACTTCGTCCGAAAAAGAACGAAAGCACCAACCCATATTATATTTAATAATTAGGAAATTGCAATGGAGACTATATATTTAAAGTAAACAATGTTTGTGTGTTTCATTTTATTTTTGATTATCAGAGTAAAACTGAAGTTCGTCATACTGTTAGTAAATAGATATATAAATAGATATTTAAATAAATAAAATGCTTAATACACGGAGCTAATGCATGTAAACTAGATTGTCCTTACACATAATTTGTTTTATTATATACTTATAAATGAAATATTGAGAAATATTGATGAAATAAAATGCGTATTTTCATTTTCCGTATTTTCACTGTAAAAATTTATTTTTCACTGCAGTGAAACATATTTTCCGTATTTTCACTGGTGTCTTGCCGGACTACTTTCTTTTAAATTCTGCCAGTACACAAAATTTAAGCGAAAGTCTTTCAAATTTTAATGTCAAAAAAGTAAAAATGTTTATAATAAACAGAAAATTCAAGTTGTTTCTATAAATACATGATTTATTTTCATCTTGTGGCATGAAAATTGCCATATTTCACTCGTGGCTACCGCCACTCATGAAATATTTATTTTCATACCACTCGATGAAAATAAATCATGTATTTATAGAAAAAACTTGAATATCCTCTATTTATTACATGCTTTTCGGTGGGTTATAGAAATATATCAGTGATATAAAATACCAGCGTGCACAGTACTGGGTACCAACTAAATGACGTGACGTCGTAAATGACGTCATGTTGTATTATTATTTGGCGCGCTTTTCATTCATTATTAGGTTTAATGTCTTTTTAAAACGTTTTTTTTTGCATGAAATAAAAAGAAAATTTGTTTAGTTTAGTGTAAGATCGAAATATATATCACCTTGTGAACACCAAAAGTTCATATTTCACTCGTGGCTGCGCCACTCGTGAAATTTACCTTTTGGTGCTCACTCGGTGAAATATATTCCGATCTTTCACCGAATTAAACAAATATCCTCTATATCATTGACTTATGTTAAACTAAAAGATTTTAGTCCCACTAACTTCGTGGATATCCTAGCCGAATTTGTGTGTGCTTTTCTTTTCTTTTTGAAAATCGGGTCCTTAAAATCATAGCACGTATATATAATATCGATGTTTAAACTATAACCGTTCAGAGTCAAATCGATATATCGTTAAATTTTAATACGCGATGCATCGTTAAGCATTAACTATCGGGTATATATTTTTTTTATTTTACTTTTTAATATCTTCATTGTAATTAACTGCAGCAAAAGATAAAATTTTATCCTGTTAAAATACTCGCATTAAAGATAAATTTCTTCAACAAAACATAAATTTCTGATGATAAACAAATAAATTAATTATAAATTATAAAAATAGATAAATAAATAAATAAATAAATAAATAAATAAATAAATAAATAAATGGTTAAAATAACATCACCAATCGTTTAGCAAAAATTCAAAAATAAAATATTAAAGCATTTTTCTTCATATCAATGTTATTTAAGCTTATTTAAGTTGAAAGTAAATCATAAAAAATATATACAATAAAACTACAATCAAAAAATAACTGTTAAAAAATAAATAAAATATCTTACCGAAAAGTACGCCCGGATTTCACTGCCTCCTTGTCGCTTCTGGTGAAACTCGGGAGCTGCCTTGTTATAAAGATTGGCATCTTGCCTAAACCAGATCAGGCTGGTTGGGTTACTTAATCTGTAATCTATGCCATGCCCTAGAAATTACCCGACTTTCGCTGAAATTTTGATTAAAAATATTACGCATATTTATTTTTATAATAGTGCCAAAGTAGACATCGTTGTGAAACACATTTGTTATACATGTCCGTATATTCAAACACGTGTCGCTGTTTGGTTTTTAACTTCCATGTGCCATTTAGTCAGCAATCTGTGCAAGAGTCATCTTTTACTTCTTTTACGTTTTTGGCAATTATTTTACGTAATTTATATAATGATTTTATGGCGGCTGATTTGGTATACTTTGTGCGTTGTGTTGTTGATAGCGACAACACAGCCTATATCGTTATCGCCTTTTCGCCTTGTTGTCTTGTCGCTAGCAAAACGCGCCAAACTGTGTTTTCGCACTGTCATCATGTTGTCCTGTCGCCAGCGAAGCACGCTAAACGACGCGTTGAAGTGCGGCGCGTTGTCGCGAGGTCACCGTGCCGCTTGACTTTTATATATATATATATATATATATATATATATATATATATATATATATACAAATAGCCAATCCTTCGATTTGAGCCGAGTGACAATGTGAATCGCGACAACACGCCGCACGACAAAGAACCTTTTAGCTTGCATCGTGAGTGACAAGACGACAAGACGGAAGTCCGATAACGCGCCGTTTGAAACTTAATCGTTCTGTCGCTAGCGACAAAACACGACGCACAAAAGTGTTCCAAATCAGCCACGATATGATTTAATATTTTGTACGGAAGTAAAAGAACAACATTGTTTACACGTTATACGAGTAAATTATTTCGCATTCCACTCAATTTTCTTGAGGTGATATCTCATTTTCTAAATTCAGTTTATTATTGCATAATAAAACATACAATTTCCCTATCTACTGAAGTGAAAAACAACATTAATTCTTGAGCTTAATGTGTCTTTAAGAAAAACTGTTCCCTTAAACAAGGGATTTCCCCCTTTGCACGATGTGTTTTTTATAATATGGTGGCTGATTTTATGCCATTCGTGTTTTTGCCCCGCGACCCCGCCAAGCGAAAACACGCTAATTATTATATGAATTTACACTGGCAGCCGGTACAGAACGGAATATCTAGCTCGCAGGAGGCTCTGCCGAGTTTCCGCTAAACAGTCACCCGAGAGCTAGATATTCCGGTCTATAACGACAGCCGTTGTTTGATTCTTTTTCTTGCATATTACATTACAATTATTTTCAGAACAGAAATTACGATAAATGATATTCTTATTACGCACTTTTTTCATAGTAGCGTATGAACATTCAACTTCATTCATAACGGTTAAGTGACGTCATCCTAAAAACGCAATTCATTCATTAAAGGCGCGCTGCAATGACGTCATTTAAAGCACGCGACGTGGGGACCATACGCCGCTTTTCATGAAATGGCACGCAAATGTCACGTTGAAAGTTCCATGATAACTGCCGTATGAACACACCTGCGGATGTTTCTAAATTCCAAAATTTTCCATTTCATGTTTAAATGTTGAATTTCAGTTTAAGCCGGTGCTAGGGGGCGTGGACGGTACATGTAGTTTGCACATTACAGTACCATCCATGAACAGACTCAATCAAACCGAGCCTGCAACATTTTCAATTATGTTGTGTTGGACTTTCTTTAGGGATTCTTACTTTCTCTATTTTGTCTTATATGGGGGTGTAAGATAGGGTTTCTAGCACCAGTGTAAACGGTAGATAACCCTGTCTGATATGCAAGAAATAAATAAACATAACTTTGCCCCGCGCCCCCTCTAATATGCGTGTTTTCGCTCCGCGCCCCACTTCCCGCTAATTAGCGTGTTTTCGCTGAGCGCCCCGCCATTTTAACTTGTTAATTTTCGACTTTTCGGTGAAATCACGAATGACACAAATCAGCCACCATGTTATAAGCCTTATTTGAATCAAACGAAATGTATGTCTTTTGTTAAGTTTATAGCCATGTTGTGTTTTTTTGTGTGTGTTAAAGTAACGTCATGAAAATAACTGGAATCGTTACATTTTATCATTTGATAGGCTTAACTATTAAAAACGTTTGTAAATGTATATACTTTTAAAGTACTTTTAATGTCGACGACTGTAGAACCATTTCCATTATTAGTATACATACATAGTATTATAATCTGAATTTCATTCGCTTTGCCAAGGGATTGCCCTCTTGAACCACATTACCTAAAACATTGGCACCATTTCTGATAAATCTTATGTATGCGTTTATTGGTCAATGAATAAACATAAGTCACTAAAATAAATATCCGAGTTTTGTAGATACATATTCAATTTCTTTAAAAAATCAAGCACATATTTTTTCAGTTTAAAGAACATCTGTGGATCTCTTCGATACCAATGAGTCTTTTTCTAGGAGATAGCAAATGTGACATATCGTTCCCCCCCTGCACCGACTTTAACAGTACACATGTACTTAATCTTCAACGCTTATTGTATTTTAATCAATGATCTCGAACTGTTAGGACTATAAGGACTTAAAGTATTAACAAATTATCTAAAGCTTAATCGGGGCTGGTTATGTTCATAAATGCAAAGTTACATGAAAAAAATAGTTTCGGTGGTATAGTCCTGAAATTAAAGTGCAGGAAGTCCAGTGTGAATTTCTCCCCCCGTGACTGAAATTTGACCGATTTGCAACGATTAAGAAACCTAGGTGAAACAATTATGATTAAATACATAAGATTATTAATACTATTATAAGAGATTAAACTACTTTGATGATTTGTGTGATAATCTCTAATCTTGTACATCTTGGAGAAGTGCCACATGTCATAAATCGCACACATGCTGCTAAGGTGAAATATGGTGTCTATTGCATATCACTGATGATATCAGTTTAAATCCAGACCGAAATACACTTATAATAATAATAATAATAATAATAATAATAATAATAATAATAATAATAATAATAATAATAATAATAATAATGTAATAATAATAATAATAATAATAATAATAATAAAAGAAATAAGAATTAATAATAATAATAATAATAATAATAATAATAATAATAATAATAATAATAATAATAATAATAATAATAATAATAAAGAAAAAGAATAATAATAATAATAATAATAATAATAATAATAATAAAAATTATAATAATAATAGTAATTATTGATGTATTAGTAAGTAATGGTGATGATGATGATAATAATAATAATAATGATGATGATAATAATAAAAGTTATGACGATGATGATGATGAAGAAGAAGAAAAAGAAAAATAGGAAGAAGAGGAGGAGATAATGATGAAAATGTCAACACGTAAAAAAACAAGAAAGTACATTCAAATAAAAACTAGATTATAATAATAAAGCAACCATAAATACGTTAACACCTAAAATACATTTATCTAATTAAGATGATTGTTATTATTAAAGATTAAAAAACCCCGAGGAAAAGCCTGAATCGTCTAAATGCATTAACAGAGTATTTTTTTCTTTTTAAAAAACTAATTCTGCCAGATAAATGGGACATTTTTACAGCCAGATCAAAAGATAATCTATGATTAAACAGTACTTTAATCATTTTAATGAGTGTAAAACGCACTTGAAATAAAAAATAGATTAGAGATTGAAACGTTTGCCAGATTTTAATTAAAGTGTAGAGTTATATTAAGTTGTAACACAGTTGTTCAAATTGTACAATAAATAAATAATAAATATGACATATATTTGTAATAGAGGACGGATTTCTTTTGTATGTTATCTGACTTAACCTTAGTATTACTAAACATGGACTTTTTTGATATGATAATAAAAAAAATAAATAAAAAATAACCCAAAATTTACAAGCTAGTTTTTACTATTAAAATGAAGTTCATTTTTTTTTAACAAAACCGATGTTTATTTCGGGTTGAAATTCCATGGAGCAATTACTCATTTGTAACCATTTTTAAAATTTTTTGTAAAAGGCAGGGCTGTGTAGGAAGTCCGATATTTTTTTCACTTTTCGTAAATGATCTAGTTACTTTTCTGCATGTAAAATGTAATAAATGTATTTTTTATATCCAATGACATTGAAGAGTTAATTGCTCTTATGTTAGCTGATGATGTGTCTAGCTTTTCTGACACCGTTATAAATCTACAGCAGCAAATATATTATATTGAAGATTATTGTAAATCTGTTAAGCTAAAGTAAAACGAAAATCATTGTTTTTAGGCGGTGTTTTGAAACAAGCTGAAAAATGTTTTTTTAGTAATGAACCTATTGAAATTGTTCCATTTTACAAATATTTAGGTGTATTCTTCACACCAAAGTTAGTATGATCTAAAACACAAGAGATGCTTGCACTTCAAGGACTTAAAGCTTCTGCTTGTATATTCAAAGACAATTTGGTCACATTGATCCTTTTGATATGTTCAAATTTTTTGATTCAATGGTAAAACCTATATTGTGTTATGCGTCAGAAATCTGGGGTTATAATTATGTTGATAAGATTGAATCTGTACAAGTTAAGTTCTGTAAACAATATTGTAACTTGTCACAAAACACAACAAGCTATTTTGCTCTTGGTGAATGTGGAAGATTACCTCTGTGTACTATCTATATGACAAATTGTGTTAAATACTGGTTAAAATTGAAAAGAAGGGGAGATCATAGGTACCCAAAACATTGTTATTTGATGTTAAAACGACTACACGAATCTGGACGGTTTCATTGCTAAGGGACAAATTTTCATAATATTGAGGTTGAATATAATTTTTTCTTTGATTGTATACTATATAACTATATCAGAGCTGTCTATCTTAAAGATACATGGTTACATCACGATTCCCACCATTTATATTTTTACTCTCATGTCATCAACAATAACAAATGAAGTAATATCTATTGCTGAATATATATATTATGCAATGAATGTAAGAAAGGAAGAGCTAAATAATGTATAATTATTTACAAATTCAATTCATTACATCTAGTTACAAATATTTGTGTAATTTACCACTATATTGTTTGATTGTATTGTTGTACTTTGTATTTTGGGCCTGAGGCCTATATTACTAGAAATAAACTGAAACTGAAACTTAAATTTTTGTTCCTTTGATGACAAATGATTCCACATTCAGCGCTACTGTCTTCAGGCGATAAGCATTTACCTTGCTCTTAAAAAATCATTGAAACATTATAAAACTCATGATTGCACTTTCTTAAGAAGAAAAACATATTTGTGTCTCGGGTTATTTATGAATTTACCATGTATACTTAAAGTATGTCCATGTGTCTTATTTAGTAAGCGAACTATAGACGAACTTATATATGTAGGACTTACACATTACGTAATAGTACATCTAAAATAAGTTCAAATTTAAACTTGATCAGTTTACATTGCATTATATAGGACCGTATATTGTTTAAGTTCTTTTCTGCTATTGAACATTTTAAATCAATATTTGATATAATCTATGATCGATCATTTAATTATATTCGGTATTTGTACAAAGGACATCATCGCTGTTAATCATAAACAATGGTATATTATAATATAAGATATTTTATTGTAAATCTACTGCTTTTAAAATATAAACTACATAGAAGATTTTATATTGTAGATGATGATATTTCTTCTACTTATCATACATTATATTAGATACTTTTGCAAGTAACGATTATACCGCTTTTAAACAAATACTATATAAGACTTAATTGCAAGTAACGATTTTACCGCTGTTAAACATACACTTTATAAGACTTTATTGCAATTAACGATTTTGCTGTCATCAAAAGCAGTTTTACTCAAGTGCCGTCTAGACTAAGTGGCTGATATGATTCGCGGTTGGCACCCCAGGTTTCAACATCTAACAAACTGGGATCGAACATGTTTTGATACAGACTCTTCTGTAACTAAAAAGATTATATTTGTTACAAAATAATTTGATCACTGAAAAGTAATAGAATCTTGCTGTTTTTAAAAGTGGGATTTCATGAGCATTATATATTTAACGACAATCGAATCTCCCAATATCTCATTTTTATAGTGGTCATGCTTGAATACAAAACCTTAAACAGCTAGGTTATAACTGATTGCTTTATTCTACAACTTCCATATCGTTGAGCTAATCATGGCATATAAATGTACGTGGTTACATCTCTTTCATTTTAGATACTTTCAGACAAGATGATATAATCGTAATTTCACTCGTTTTTTAGGAGGTTTATTTAAATGTTACATATGATATTATAAGCATGATATTATTTGAGACAAGCTCAATTTCTTATCTTAATACAAAGTGTCAATCATTAAAACTGAAAATATATTTCAACATCTAGTCATTACGAATTTGAGAGTGAAACAAACTGTTTTTGGTTTTAAAATGCACATTTGATATCTAAATGAGGGATCAATATAAAAATTATTATATGCCACATATTGAGATGTGCGAATTGTTTATGAAAGATACGAAAGCACAGAATCTTTTATTCGACAATCCTTCTGAAATGGTGTCACCCCGGTACGGAATTAGACCTAGCCTGTTGTAGTCTAAAAATAGTTCTCGAACATTTTAAGGTGTTCCAATCTAAGCCATCTCTAGTTTGATTGGTCAAATTCAAAGTGTATTTGTTGCATCTGTATTGTTTTCGTGTGTTATAAAAGTTCTTTTTGTGTGTATTCTCCAGGACCTCATTTCTTGGCGGAAGGATTAAAGAAGTACTGCACAAATTGTGATCTCTCTATATTTACCTTGTTTGATAAAATAAATGTCTGAAATATATACGTAACAACACACATAAATAATTTTCACTGTAGCTTTCTCCTTGGCTAAGGGGAATTGAGTTCACAGTACCCATCATTGTGTCGTCCAGTCATAAACAACTGTTAGTCAGTGATGTTTGTCTGTCTAAAAACACATTATTTTTAAAATTAGATGGTCAAAAACTACTTGGTACAAACCGAAGCTAACGGTGGTTTCTATTGTCAACTAAGCAGTTTATCAAAGTACCGACCTCATGCATATTTTTTCATCCAATTCAATACAAAGCCACTGACTCAATATCAGTTTTGCTCTATCTTGGAGAAAATTTTATGTTTTATAAATGCGCCTGATCATGTCAGCATTGGTGGAGCAACATACCTTCATAGCATTGGGGTGCCCGATGACAGAATTAAGGTCGTGGGACGTTTGAAGTATGAGGTTTTCCCTCGTTACATCAGGAAAATCCCCTAAGTTATGTTCCATTTCCCCTATTTTCATTTTATGTCCATCAACTTGCAAGTAAAACATGAACATATAATTGTCTCAAATTTCAGGTAACAAATGTCTCTTGATAGCGCGATCCTCAATTGTTCACAGGGCCGAACGAGCTGCCAAGCCTTATGACCCAGAATTTGGAATTACAAAGTTTAACATGTCTGTAGAGAGGTCTCGTTATGGATGGTTTGGATAAACTTATGGACTCAGTGCTAACGGAAGTGCATAGGTTACAGTTTATTATGATTCAATGTGACTCTAATGAGTTCGCATTAGACAGAATCTCGAGTAAACAGTTATAAGATCCAGTGTTCCTTTTTGCAGTACTAGTATTTAGCAATGTTTTGGAAAGCTATAATGATATGGTCATCAGAGGAGATACTGACATTCCTTAAAGCAACGAAGCAGTATTCAATCTTCAAAAAAAAAAAATGTTTTAAAAAGCACTAAACTTTCCTTACATTCAAGCTAAAACCAATTAGTTTAAACTTAAAATCTGTTGAGACGACAAATCAAAATATTATATGCACTGTATGTGGATGGTAACATCCACCATGTACTTGGTACAGAAAACAGAGGGCATTAATTAATTCGCAGAAGACTTAATTTATACTCCATTTATGTAAAGTTAGCTATACCAGATTGGGTTTTTTTCAGCATGGGAGATATCTTATTAATTGATAAAGTTATTTCGACAAAAATAACTTAAAATATTAGAACAATTATTGTGCAATTGTAATACAGGTGGTGCAGACTTTTGCTCAAGTGTGATTCAAATATATTAAGTATCTTGAAAAACGCATCAATGGGTGGTAATAATTAAAGAATTGTGTAAATATCTTCCTAATTGTTGATGCTTGAAAGTTCAGAAAATGACATTGTATTCTCGTACAATGCTTTATAAGATTGTGATTTATCTGAAACCTGACAACATGCTTTTCATCATAAATCAGTCACTATCAAATAATAAAGTGTCACTGTTTTTTTTTTATTATAAAGAAGCATTCTTATGTGTGGGTAATTGATTCTGCAATACGAGGGCTGTTCAAATATGAAATCAACTAAGTCAATTATCAGAAGTGCTTAACAAACAGTGCCAAAATAATTATCTCTTGTCGACGGTTTTTGAATATTTATGAAGGACCTTGCATTTGTAAAACTTGGCATTTACAGATTTACCGTTTGGTACGGCAATTTAAATAGCAGGGCCTTGTTTGGTAAGAAAAATTACATACATGACCTTTTTGACGCTCATGGTGCATTTTCTTTGACCTCCTTTGGTTTCGAATCTTTCGCTTGAGCTCATAAAAGTGAACCCACGTCTGATCACCAGTAATGATATTTGCGACATATCGATTGTAATACTTACTGTTACAACAATTGTTTGGAGATTTTTGGAGATGAACGCAACTTATTCATTACTAACAAACTTCTTAAACAAGGTTATCGCTATCATAAATTGCATAATATTTTACTAAGTTTTACCATCGTAATTCAGATTTAGCTTTAAAATTTAAGTGTAATTCAAAAACTCTATTACGACTAGGTATTAGCAAACCCGATTTCTATTGACATGTGGTTTAAAAACTTCGTAGAATCATCGGTCATAGTAATTTTTCTGCCGTCTTCACTAAAATTATCAAACGGTCTATTAAAAGAGGTTATGACTCAATTATTTTAAGGCATACCGCATGCTTGGTGTTCAACCATTTTACAGTTATGGGGTATTAGATCTCCTTCAGTATATGAGCAGCTTTATCAAACACATTGTAAACTATTGGAAGTTATTTGTATACAAGCGGACTTCAGCTACAAACATTTTTCGTTTTCTTGCATTATCTGATATATGCATTGACTAAAAGGCTAGGTTTACATCAACCGGGAATACGGAAGGCAAAATCCTACACAAATATGTTGATATTGTTATTATTTATGGCGAAAAACTACATTTTTCGTCAATTGTCAATTGCGGCACCATTTCCAAGTCGAAAAATTCGGACTACAGGTAAAAGCAGTTTTTAGAATCAGCTGCAAATGCCAAGTAGCCCCCATATCCCACAGAAATTTGTGCAGAAATAAAATACTTACGACTATTTTCTTTTTTCGAATCGAACATTTTTTGTCTTGGAAATGATGGTAATGCTACACTGCTTCTCAAAATCCACAAACACACAATACAAACGTTTTTTGTTTTTACTATTTATCTCATTAAATGTATGCTATTATAAAGTGTTCGGCGTGGTATGACGTGTGGTATGTCAGCGTCGCCATTATTCCCAACAAATAGCAAGCAAATAAACAACTATAATTTTGAACAATTGACATTAAAATGAATAATCCATCGATACAATGATATAGTACAATACACATTATTCAGCTTTAAATTTAAAAGTTTGTAGCAGTAGTTGATCTTCCTTTTTATAAATCCAGATTTTGCACTTTCTTCACAAAATTGCATCATTCTTTTATTTAAGATAAATGTGACAGTCAACTAACTAGTGATATCCATCTCTAATCATTAACGTAATTTTGATCACCTTTTTCACCTTTTTTATACCAAAGGTGCTAGTGGCATTGATTTGACCTAAAATGTGTTTAACCTTGTTATTTATGCCATAAAATATCCATATATTGATAAAAATTAAAATAAAATTTTTTTACTGTTATATTTCTATAACAATATAACAGTAATATTTTTTTAATATATGGATATTTTATGGCATATATAAAACAAGGTTAAACACATTTTAGGTCAAATCAATGCCACTAGCACCTTTGTTTTATACAACTGATATATAAGACCTTCAGACCATGTGTCTGGGAAATACTATCAAGTACATAATTGAAAAATATCACAGAAATTCAACGATTAAAGGGACTCCACTGAGGTTTAAAGCCTAAAAACATAACATTTGAATTTCTTACATAAATGAGCTGGGGCACTTTTAGACAGAAATATATGCAAAGATAGTTTAGAAATAAACTTTGAATTAATTGAAAATCGTATTTATATGCTTTTCATAGTCCGATTTGACTGATTTTACACCAGTCTTATGTGAACAATTTTAAGACTAAATGTTACTTTTTTGAAATATACCATTTCCTATTTTGTTCTCTACTTTTTCTACCTTTTCCATTGTCTCTTTATCTTCACCATACTATTATAACTAAATAAAAGACACAACTGTCCCTAAGTCACATTGTAATCTAATTTGAATTAGAGTATTCCTACTGCTTTAGTTGATCTATGTGTATTTCACAGAGTCCGGCTGAAAAAAATCATGAATTTAAATATTTCATTAAATGATGTTTCCATATATGTTGTTATTGTTTAATTTATTTGTAAAATGCAAAAACCTATGTCAAACGTGGTAAGCCTATGTGAACGATGACGGATGATAAAAACGAAATACACAAACAGCCAAGTAAATATGCTTGAAAGTCCTAAACAAGCCCCAGTAGAAAATCTATTTTATGAATTGGATTTTCTACAGATATCAATCATAATCAGATGAAGACTCATCTCCATAAAACATAAAGGGATATGAATTGTCAGACGAATACTCGTCGTCTTCAGATGATACAAATGCTTCTGACGTTTCAGAAGTTTCAGACGTACACGAATTGTTTGAATTTGAGTCACTAGTCTTATCGTAACTCAAGAGATCTGAATCAGACAGGTCACTGTAATCTAGGTCTGGGTGACTAGCTTTACAATGCGGGCAATTAAGTTCACACCTTAGTCTTGTTTTTGGAATGTCTACAATTATCATAAATTCATCTTCTCTAACATTGAATAATGGTAGATCATCTAAATCCCCGATGTCATCCAGATTACTTGAAGGAATTATGTTGTCAGACAAAGGAAATTCTAATGTTTTTTTTTGTTAAGGACAATTCTGTAAAGTTGTACAGAAGTACATAATCCTTTGAGTTTGGGATAATTGCCAACTCTGAAAGTTCGTTAACACACATTTTGTAGATTTTCCCCTTTCTAAGAGAAAACAGCTGAGAAAGATGGATCGATTTTCTGCCAACATGACCAGCGTATACTAGTGACCTGGAGTCATCATTTATATTAATGCAAGCAAAACACAGATCACCAGCCATAGTAAAATGCTTTATATCGCAGCATGGTGGTTTAAATTCCAGGACAACTCGGTACATGTTAGACTCGCCAGTCACAAAATTCAAACAGGAAATGCTGCTTCTTTTCCCCCCATCTCTTATCTTTCGGAAATTGACAAAATACATCTCTGAAGAGGTTCTTAAACCAGCTTTCTTTAGGCTCAAGACAGTTGTTGACATATATTTGCCCGTGAGATATGAAGGGTCAATCCTGTACCAATGCTTCTGTTGTAAATCTAAACCCCAAAAACAATTTTTAACAACACCGTCTGGCATCAACAAAACCTTGTGCATATTTGATCCGGAGTCAGAATAATTCATTAAAGCATCTTTTAAACAGTCAAGACCGTCAAATGGGGGACGTTGAACAAGATCCTCCAATATGTTTTTGCTAACGTCGTGGAGATTGAACTTCTGGACAATTTCTTTGACCCACTGTAACGAGATTGTGTCCATATGACACTGACACCATCGCTCGAAATACTTCAGCTTTTCATCAACCGGGACATATCCTAGTCGTTTTCCAAATAAGATATATTCAACAGACGGTTTGTCAAGAGAAATCAGCTGCGGATTGTGTATTAATGACATCAAGTGAGCGTCTATGTATTTAATTAGATATGGTACAGTAATGTTGTAGACGGTGCTCAACTGTAACAGGGACATACATGAATCATCTGTAAGTTGCTCGACTGATACACCACGAAGCCATTTCATACAAAATGACTTTAAATTTTTTAACATTAAGAATTCAGCCAATTCAACAAATGATTCTATATTTTTCAAAGTCAGCTTTGGTTCTTCTCCGTATAAAAACATCAGGGTTTGATCGATTGTTGCTGGAGTTCCAACAGATAATTCTACCGTACCTAAGATGAAAAAGAAAATGTGCATAAGTATCAACTTGCAAATGTATTATGTGAAAAATAGGATTCAAAATTGTTTTTTAACGATTTACCTTAAATGTATAGAAATATCAGTTTGGGTCAGTAATATGACATTGAAAAAAACATGTTTATGTAAATTGATATTGGTACGTTTCATGTTTCTTTAAAACAGAATAGTTGGAGAGTAGTTGGAGAGTAAACAGGTTTGGTATATATGTAGATTCAAATTCGGATTATTAGTTCATGTAGGCTTATGGCAAAACCAGTAACTTTTTTATTCTTTTTCCTTTTAATTACCGAAAAAAAAAAAAACACTTTTGTAAAACATATGCTCTAAAATACCTTTATGTAATCTATGATAAATTTGTTTTACCTGTAGAACTTTCCCGGAACTTGCTGCACATCATATGTTCAAAGAATGGACTCTTAGCTAGAACACAACTGTGATACAGTTTTTCCTGCAACAAAGAAAACAATTACACAATTTTTCTGAATTGCTGACTTCCAACAAATTTAAACTTAAAACAATCTTAAGAACAGTTCGTGTGAAATTCATAAAACCTGTCTGTTAAAACGCATCTAAAGAGGTATACTTAAATTGATTATATGATTGTCAGACACGTGTTCCAGTCCTAATGTCACCGAAATACACTTCAATTTCCTACGGACATCGTTAGTAATCAATGTTGCAATGATTACATATTACCGATCTGATTTGGTTCCGGACTAAATATATTAGACACGTTTCTTCGTTGGACACTCCGTTTCATATATTCCGTAATCACAAATCGTTTATTTTAAGCTCGTGGTTTTTACGTACAATCTTAATTAAATGCGGTGCATTTGCGGTGCATTTTATGTGATAGTTTCTGTTCGAAACTTTTCAGCATTGCTACATTATTGTCAAAGCTGTCAAAAACAATAAGTATCTATGTTTTTAGTTTTCATATACTGGTGGAGGAAGTGGTGGGGAAAGGAAGTGAGGTGGGTAAGATTTTACTGGGATCAATGGTCCGACGCAATCTGCTTATTCTTATTATGCACTTACTTATTTGATAAACATTTAACTGCCATGCAACGTAACTTAATTGTCAATTACGAAAAGCGTTCCTCAATTCTTAGAGCAACATTTGACTTCCATGTCCAATTACTTATTGACCAGTCGAAAGAATATTTACTTATTGGCCGCTTTTAGTATTTATGTATTTTAACACATTGAGATTTTAAAAAACGCAATGAACACATACTAATCACTTTTAAATTTCATGACATCTTTCTCTAAAGGAAAAGGTATGACACGCTTCTCCATTGATAACTTGTGAATTTCATGTAAATTATCTCATGTAGAGTTAAAATGTGAGTTACAGAATATAAACTATGTCGATTTTAACCATTCGATTCCTTTAACTTTCGCGTGCTTTAGGTCTGATAAAGAATTATGGTCTATTTTACCATTTTGACATCTAAAGTTTTAAGTGTCATTTAAAATAGAAACCATATGACATAATAAATTGTGGGCCACTTAAGAATTCTATGTTTTTCTACTTTGGTTTAGATCTTATGTAGAACCTTACCTACCGTTATTAAGACTCTAGTTTTATTTTTAAATTTTACATCGGTTGACTGAAGTGGATTGGTGCATTATAAAAGTCACTTACAACTTCTTGACATAAATAAAGTATAATGCACTTACAAATTAGTCTCTTTTAAATTAATTTGATATCACATATCGCTAGTAGAAAAGAGATTTGTCATGTATGTTTAGCACATCAGTTCCTTTTATCTTTACTATCACATTTTGCTTTTACAATCGTAAAATATATGTTTAACTTACCCATTTCCCACTTTTAACTTTGATATCGCATGACTTCGACTGTTGTGTTACTTCCATCTTCAGCAATGTATAATCAGGTATAGGCCGGGTAACTGTATTTTCAAATTCCATCTCGAACTTTCTTCATGTACTAATATCCAAATCTTGATTAATAACTTTACTATATCAAGTTTATGTTGGCTATAAATTCAAATCTTCGATATTACAGAAAACGCACGTAGACAGACTTTTATTTAGAATATATATTGATCTACGTTTGACAATTTCATTTACAAATTCAGTTATTGATCGCTGAGTTTATTATTTCAATGTTTGTTATCTGAAATACGTATGCCTCTTGTTGAGAAGGGGCGTATCTAATCTTATGAATTGAGACCCTAAAATTAATGTTTTGTCAGACGAATCACAAGCCTATGGACATTGAAATAAATAAGATCACATTTCAGTCTACTATTAACAATGTGATTTAAATCACTTGTTGATATAAAAATAAAATTACTCGGTGATAATGATAACAGAAATTCCAGTGCTTTGATTTAAAGTTTATTAAGCAAACATGTTTTACAATGCAAGGCATTCATTGCAGTTTAAATCTGTTAACTTCCTTGTGAGACCCGTGTATCATTGTGCAAATTTCAAATCGTTGCACTGAAATCCACTTGTTTACACAAGGTCTTGTCAAAACTATAAATGTGACAATAATTCGATTTTTTTTTATAAATCTACTTTTGTGCCATAGCAACGCGTCTTGTTTCTATAACTGGAACTTGGAAAATGTTACAGATTCTTTGGATGTGATAACTTAAAAAAATCAGTTAGTTGACAATAAGGTCTTAAGTCGTTATAGACATTAAAATAAGTTTTACATTTTATAGGACCCTCTTCTTATCAACATGCAAATTCAAGTTTTAAAATCTATACTGCAAACAGTTAATAATATGCTATCTATAAATCTCTCCTTTAAGAAGTGAACAACAATATATTTTGTTTGATTAAGAATTTATATAACCATTCCTAAATATAAAATACACACATTTATCACTTAACACAATCGTATTTCTTTTCGATCCATTCCGTCAAACCTCGGACCACGACGTGATTACGGGTAATTGACGGGATGTTCCGAATGATAAATAATGGTTATTGCACATGTTTATAGCCATATAAGGCGAGAGATTTAACAAAGTCCGCGGGTTTCTGCAAATGTTAATTTCACGAACAAGTTGCATTGAAGGCCCATTGTGTATAAGAAATGCTTTCAATTTTATTTGTAAATATGTATGTACGTATATATATCGTCACGCTTGATTTGTGCGCTCATTATTGATGTTATGGACAAGCTGTTAACACTAACGCAGATATTTGGGAAGCGGGCAGTAAGGTTGACTTTATTATGTCGTCGCAAATCGTGACATGTGTATCCACACCAATCACCAAGGGGCGTAATTGTAACGCTTCTGGACCCAGTATTGCTGATGCAAATCGTGACATGTGTATCCACACCAATCACCAAGGGGCGTAAATGTAACGCTTCTGAACCCAACTCCGGAGGAGGAACCATCTTTAATGCAGTTATTTGCACAATTGTCTACAAAGATATTAACATGCCGTTTTGTGCAATGAATGAGCGAATTGACAAACTTGAGTCAGGACTGGAGCAGCTCCAAATCTCCAACAAAAGTTGCACAGCCTTTAGATAAACGTTAACAAAATATTTTAGCATGAATAATATCAATTTGTTAGTACATGTAAGTATCATATAAATTTTATATTTCAATACATATCTTTTTTCCTTTTGCTGAAAATGCCCATCAACAGTTCATATTATTATATACAAGGGGAGGTTATTCTTACATTACTGTATGTATGGCTAAGCTAGAGTTAGTGATTACAAAATGATCTTTAAAATCGAACGCCGCGGATTATTTACATTTCATTATCTCTGAATCTTCAATATATGTTATCTTGACATCACGTGTAATAAAGTACATATGGGATTTACCCGAAAATTATCAATAATTTTCATTAGTTATGTCATGGTAAAGAATAAAATCATCGAAAACTTGAGACCGATTAATATACTTCATTTAAATTAAAAAATCAAAAAAACTTAACTGCCTATGTAATGTGTGCCAATGATTGTTTTTCTTTTCTTTTTTTGGATGTAATCTACTAGCAAAATACAATCACCGGCCCAGAAAACCGTGACCATAGCCTTTCCATCTGATACTTTGCCTTCTTTTTGCGGGAGAGAACAAGGGAGAAACATGGTGGCGGATTTGCATGGTGGCTGATTTGGTACATTGTGCGTTGCGTTGTCGATAGCGACAACGCAACCCATATCGTTATCGTCTTTACGACTTGTCGCTAGCGACCACATGACAAAGTGCCAAGCGACGCGTTGTCGTGCGGCGCGTAGTCGTGATGTCGCCTTGTCCCTTGGCGTATAAGCCAATTTTTCGATTTGAACTGAGCGACAATGTGGCATCGCGACAACACGCTGCACGACAACGAGCCGTTTGGCATACATCGTTAGCGACAGGACGACAAGAAAGAGGTCCGACATTGCGACGTTTGGCGCATTGTCCTGTTGTCGCTAGCGCCAACACGACGCACAAAAGCGTTTCAAATCAGCCACCATAGATTTGGTACACTTTGCGCTAGCGACAACACAGCCTATATCGTTACGCCTTTTCGTCTTGTTGCTTTGTCGCTAGCGAAACGCGCAAAACGGCGCGTTGTCGCATGATCGTCTTGTCGTCCTGTCGCTAGTGAAGCACGCAAAACGTGGCGTTGACGTGTGACGCGTTGTCGCGATGTCGCGATGTTGTTTGGCTTATATACATACAAATAGCCAATCATTAGATTTGAGCCGAGCGACATCACGTGACATCACGCCGCACGACAACGCGCCGTTTGACGTGCATCGTTAGCGACAGGACAACAAGACGAAAGTCCGACAATGCGCCGTTTTGCGTTTTGTCCTGTTGTCGCTTGCGACAACACGACGCACAAAAGAGTTCCAAATCAGCCACCATAGAAAGATATGGTAACAATATGAACTGCTGGATAAATGTGAATGCCGTAATAATTTATTAGAGTATGTACAATGACCATTATGACAGGGGTGTTCCGCCTGTTACCATCATGACCAATATCTTAATCTGCACTTAATTTAGGTAAGAATTGTGAATATAAATGTCAGCTTTTCATTTTTAGTACACAGAACTTTTTCTCTTCGAGAGTTCTTCATTGAAATTACTTTCGTTTAATTGCAATTTCACTAAGTTTTTGTACAACATTTTATCAAAATATAATTGATCTTTTGGGTACTGTACAACATTATCAACTCCTTGCCGATTACTCATAATAATTATTTGAATATTGGCAGAAATGGACGAATGTTAATTTCTGATATACAAGGGAAGTAAGTCTAGTGATACTGAATGGAATGTAGTGATAAGAGTTATGCATTACATTAAAAAAACAACAAAACAACAACAAAAAACAACATAACAACAAACCATGAAAGAATTACCAGTATAAATGGACGCAAGTGTGGGATACATAGATTTACATGGCAGTAATAAAATGTTATAGAACAAAGTATTATTTTTCATCATGTAAAAATTATTTCAATTTATTTTCAATCTTTTTTTAAATAAGAGTATCCAAATGAAATATTTCCATCGTTTTTATCAATATTTGAAATTTTAGTGGACAATGCGCCCATTGTAATCCAACCCACTTTAAAGATGGCTTTAGCCGTTTAACATAAAAATTAAACTTGTCATTGTCTCATAAGAACCGAACATGTAATATGTGTTATCTGGATGTCACGTGTATTAAAGTTTATCTGGGATATAAAACATGTTATGTATGTATACTCGAAAAGTCTTCTCACTTCCCCTCGGAACGTGAACGTCGCTGAGAAGGCATATTGCATCAGCAGAAGATATGAAGACTTGGGATGGCGCAAAAGATGAGAGCTTGTACTGCTAATGCCGAGGGGAGTGGCCCTACAAAGTAGGCTAAGACGACGATAATGGTGTGCTAGGGTGTGTGAGGCCCTAGCACAGATAGAAGGCTTGAAAGGCAGGCCATTTGTTGGCACCAACAGCCCTTTTAAGGGCTATCCTTTCATTGTTGTCTAAGGTTTCTGTAAATTTAGGTTCTCATTGACCGCCGTACAGTGACCTACTTTTGGCTCAAAATTCATATATTTGGCTAATACTCCGTGAAAATTGCATGAAGGTAAATTATCACCGCTTTTTTGCTTCAAAATTAACATTTTAGAGAACAAAAGCCTGAATTCCGTTCAAAGTCGACTTCTATTTTTCATAGTACATATACCTATATATATAGGCCTATATACCGTGCCGGGCGACGCTAAATCATGGTCGTTGTACGGACTAGACATTATTCATCCGTAGGTGTTCTACAGAAATTAGAAACATTCTCCGGCTGATGTAGCTCCCTTCGAAGTTTCTGATTTCTGTAGAAGAGCACGGATGAACACTAACAGACCAGAAATACTTATTTATTCCAAAAAGTAGGGTACAAAATATACATTATTTTGTTGTGAATAGATGTATGAACGTTTTGTTTCATCGTGACACTATTATTATTTGAAAGTAGAGTCATGGAGAATTTTTTAGAAATTTATTACTTGCAACCGTGCATATATTTTACTTTAAAGGCACATTATGCCTCAGAAATCCATATGTATTAAATTCTTCAGAAATTTCAAATATGTGATAAATAATGTTTAATAATGGATTTAGTGCATGCACGTCGTTTTACAGCTGCTGATTGTGCAGTATTGTGTCGTTAAGGTAGCAAAATGTAAACAAAGTATTTTGACTTCCATACAAAATACTTATTCACTATAATTGTACTTATTGCCAACAAAGCAAAAGAAGCATAGATAGTGCAACTATATGGCAAATAAGTATTTTGTTTGGAAACTGTAACAAGATACCAATGATTAAAGTTTTGTGAAATATATATTATAGCATTTTTGAGACATAATAGGTCTTTAATTACAACTTAATATATGTATAGTATGAAAACTGCATTTATGCACATCACGAAGTTTGATTACGATGTGTACGCAACCTCTCTTTTCTATATTCAAGTATTGTTCAAACATTAACCAAACCTATGTGCTACACAAATGTTATCGGTATTTATATCTATGAATTTTATAAACATAAATGGTCTTTACAATATTAAATAGGTATAAACCATTTTATATCACTTTATAATTTACATTCCAATATGAAATGAAATTCGTCCTCTAGGACGTCACAAGAAGAGCAAATTCTTTCATTAAATGGTGTACTATTGTATTTAGTCCATAGATCAGTCTCAACTCTCAATATGTAACCTATGGATGATATTCTTAACTAAATTACACTATAACGAAATGTATTTTAACTTGAAAATAAATTGAGATATAAAACTAACATAAGGTTGAAATTTAGGGTTTGTTAATTGTTTATAAAACAGTTTATATATGTAAATGAGATTATGTACAAATTGTACAAGTCCTTGATACAGTTGTCATTCTGCATATACATTATATCGTTACAAACGTTTTATTAGAATAATCACATCATCAATTATTGTCAAATCCCTCGTGTTTGAAAATATTCTTATGACTGAAGTATTTACTATCATTAACTGTCAATTAAAACAAGTATGAAATTAGTTTTTAATTATTTAATTAATTAATTTTATAATTAATTAATTATAATTTAATTTTTATTTTTATTTTTTTTTTGCTGTATCATATTAAATATTTTCAAACTTATCTTTATTGTATATTATAGAAAACTACATTGTGTATTTAAAAGACCTGGAAGTATTTAGAACTGAATAAAACAAAGAAATCTGAATAGCGTCAGCCCATGAAATAACACATTTTTTAATTAAATATTAAACTAACATAACAACTGTAAAAAAATGATGTGGCTTTATTTTCTCAATGCAAATAAGAGAAAATCGTTATGTTTACCATACCGTGTACCCTTTAAGTTAAGAGTCCAATTTCATACACTTTTGTAACGTTTGACATTTTCTTCAAACAAAAATATTGACAAAATGAAATATTTTACGATAGATGTTTCCTACTGCATGGTATAATTTTGAAATATGCTTATTGTTTAACAAACTAAATTAATAATAAAGATTCCGGAGATAAAGCAAGTCTCCGAAATATCCATGTTTAACATGTATATAATATATATTATTACATTTTATAATACTTTTAATTCAGTTATCTTGCTTATAGTAAATCATCTTATTATTTTGATACTCTTTAAACATATTTACAGAGATTTAAATAATAATTTCATTATAATATTTTATTTACTTAAAATTTAAGTTATTATTTTTACACACGAAATATTTTTTTTTGTATTTTGAAAAAAGGAAATTAGTGTTAATTACTAAAATCCGGACAAAAGCCTTATTAACATGTTATTATACAAATTACTTCATTTTGACAAGTTTTCTAATGTCCTAATCGTCTTTTAAAAAATCAGATAACAATTTAAACAAGAGAATTGACAAATTACAATGGGTCTTATCTGGTAAAATCTCTTGTTAATTTTTAATGAAAGACAGGAAGATCTGTAAATGATACAAATTAGTTACGACCGTGTCAAACATACGCTGATCCCCGGTGCGATAAGTACACCGTGAATCGAGCGTACACCTGAGGGCGTGCTCGATTATCCGGAACGAGCGCTTAAAATACACCAGTAGCATGAATTTGTTCCATAACCATTCTAAACATGAATCGAGCGGGACGCGGTTTAATGTATTAAATTACTTATAATTTCTAAAAACGTTTTATATATTCAAATCATTTGTAAACTCCGAGAAGATAAAAAGGATAAAAAAGAACTTGAAAGAAAAATAGATTTTAAAAGAAACATTGAAAGGTACTTTGGATAATTTAACTTCTCAGTGGATTTTACAATTTATAAAATCGAATCAATGAATTTATTTTAAAACTAGAAAGCTGTTTGTATATCTACGTTAGATAGAATTGATCCTGTTTATATGGGAAGGATTTACTTTAATCCTTGTGACATTTTATTGCCTTGTTGATGAAGGATTAAAGTATTATTGTGAATAAGTAATGCAAATTTTGATAAATACGGACAGTGTTGAATATTATGAAAATTAACGCATATATATGTATACTCTGAATTGAATTCGTTTCTATAACTTTTACATATATAGAAAACTTTAATTAAATACATGTGACTCCGTGGAGGTCTAATTCTGGATTTTATCTTTGGACAGCATAACAACTCAACTTTAAAACAAAACTGTTTAAAAGTTATGCATTGAGTTTTTATATATTTTACCATGACAGGTATAAAGACAGCGTATAACAAGTTGAAAGTATTTATTTGGTGAAGTTTTATGAACTATAATGAACATGGAGACTTACCTAAGACGCACATACGCACAGAAAAAGTTGGTTGAACAAAAAGATGACTTCCCGTTCTGGGATTATAGGTAATATTCCTTTTCTTTCTTTTCATTTTAAACAGACGCTTTATTATTATCATTGCTGATGGTGGTAGTGATGGTGGTGATGATTAGGGGGATTATGATGATGATGAAGTTATTGATGATTATGTAGTTGTTGTTGTTTTTGTTGTTGTTGATGATGATGATGATGACGATAGCGGAACAACTATGTTTAGTTGCTTATTAAAGCAAATCACTTCTAATGATGATGATGATGATGATGATGATGATGATGATGATGATGATGATGATGATAGTTGGGCAACTATGTTTAATTAATTATTTAAGTAAATGACTTCAAAAGTGTCATTTTTGATCGAATACTTATTGTTCACACAACTTACAAAAACAGATAAATCAACAAATATTGACAGGTCTGTTTTCCTTGTTTCAAAATTAACTAATATCTCTTCCGTGTTCTTTTTATCTTTGTTAAATTCACAAAGATGCAGCTCTTCGCAAATATTCCTTTCATTAAAGAGACTGAAACTCCCTATAAATGTCAGTTTGAGTTCCGTTGCTATTTATCTTAACGTGTTAAACAAATCACTTACACAACTGTTTAATATACCAGTGTACAAACATGGCTGTCATTTTTACAGTATTATCTAACTTTAACTGTTCTCATTCCATTGAAATTCCATCACATCCAAGCTTCAAAGTTACGCGCGTCAAAAGTTGAAGCACGTTTAGGTCATGTGATCAAACCAGCCTCTCCAAGCTGCAAAACTTTCAAGAGTCCTGGGAAACATACGTATCTTAAACTTAACCCTTTTTTATTTGATGCGGTTAGGTTTATCTAAAAAATGGGGCTGTAAATCGGCCACACAAAGATAATAGGCTCACGATTTTTTTATTTTGAAAATGGGTGTTCATATTTCAATTTATCTTTCACGGGGTGTGCTTCTTTAAGGTTGTCATGCAATTGTTCGGAGCACGCGAGTTTTATCGTCCATTTTTGACAAGATCTCTTCCTTATGTTTCAAAACCGTAGTCATAAATTCTCTTGAGATCCAAGTCCTGTTTAATACAAAGTAGTAAAACTGCGATCTTTCACCTAGATTAGCGTTTCCCCTTTCATAATTTCAAATATTATATCAATAACTTGTTTGTATTATGATACCATTGATGTTAAAGTTGTATTTAGTTACGTAAAGGTTTTGATTGATTATCGATATACCCCGATAACTTACGTCAAGTTAACCTCACCAGCACGAATCGTTCTGCAACAGATTATTATTTGAAGTTTATTTCCATGAAAACGGACACAAATCTGAACATTATTGTACTAAGAGGGTTAAATTTATTGATACCAAATCGAGGCTCGAGGTAGGGCGAGGCTGAGTGGGGCTTTTTAAACACTTTTGGGTACTTGGCACGAAACTTATTTTCTTTTTACTTGAACTACCTGAATGGATATCGAACAAATAAATTCAATTCAATCAATTTATGCATGGCCAAAGTTTAACAGGAGAATAAGTAAACCTTTCTTTTCTTACTAATGACATACGACATGCAACGAGTTCATTTAATCGTTAAATTTTATTGATTACTCAAAGAATAGATAAAAGAGTAAAAACAGAATTCCCATTCTTAATTACGGAACTTGCAAAAATGTTTGGTATATTTCTTTTATATCTTTTCTTGGGGAACATTGAATATATTGAGTTTACTTATAATATAACAGAACAGAACAGAACATAGTTGTATAATTTATTTGACAGCTCCAAATACAAACATATATATCCGTATTTAAAATTGAGGTATTTTTTGGTATTGTATTATATGTAAATGTATCAAATTTGTTAATAACTATGTTACTATGATATTCATTTGTTAAAAGTCTAATAAACTATATATATTCTGTTTTATATCTTGGAAAGACCGCTCTCGAAACATAATTTAGTCCGATGTTTCATTTTTTCTTGCGCAAAAAAACTTTTTTTTCAAAGGTTGAATCATCATTCTGCGTGTGACAGGCTTAATTGTTAACTTAATTTACCGTATGACGGAGGAAATCCGCTAATTTTCCAATTAGACATTGTTTGTATCTTTTCTAACTCGATTTTAATTACCGAAAATCGATTTGTGTAATTACTGTCCATTTGGGTTCTTAATTGTTCTTTTTTTTATTGTTCTTTTTTGGTAATTTACGCCGTTTTGTTTATGATGTGGCTTCCGTAAGAAAGATATTACGGCACAGTAAAGGTGATTCATGTTGCGAATAGAATAAAGAAAAAAGAAAATTACAATTTGACCCAAAATAAAAAACAAACAAATGAAAGCGTGACGCAAATAAAAGAACATGACAAATCAGGAGTCAAATTTTTATAACTTAAAGCAGACAAAAAAGTACAAAAAAGATTAATTTTAACATGTCAATTTAGCAGCCTTTAAAATGTCCATAGAGGTTGATCAAATAACATGCTTATTTAGTCAGGAGTTGAAACAAGTTTTTGTCAATGTTTAACCTCTGGCCTTTTTTTAAAATTGACATTGAAGAGTAAAAATGGAGAATTGAACATCTTGCACGCCACCTAGTGTTGTAATGAATAGAGGATATATACATGTCCGCTTCAGTAATTATATTGTGACAGACGACAACCTTGTATCTCCTGTAATCAAGATCTCTTGTAATGTAAATCAAATCCATCAATGTGACATTGAATTGGTGAAAAAATCAACATTTCTACAGATATTTAAAGTATATATTCTACTTTTATAAGATCTTCAGGACCTAATATGACGGACTAACATTATAAGCGAAACCTTTAGTCGAAATAATAGAGATCATTCTGTCGTTTGCTTTAATGCTAACTTTTTATAGAAGTAGAAATATAATGCATTTAGGTCGTGAGTCGTCTTTAAATTATTCTTTTTTTCTTTTAAATTTATGGACCCTAGCAATTTTTTTAATGATTTTACAAATACAACCCGAAAATATCGTAAATTATTACTTTATTTCCATATCAAGTTATGTTTACTTTTCAAAACATAATATTGACATTTTTGTTACATGTTTCCACAGATAAGTCAGCAGTTTCAACTTTCTGTCGATTTATTTGAACAATTGAATTTCCTGTTTTAATTCGTTCAGATAAAATGAATTAAAGAGTTCACACCATTTAGTTATACTTTGCTCTCAACTTAGTAAATATACTACACTTGCAACAATAGCTTCAAAGAGAAATGTTTTTGATTCCACAATTTTTGCTAAATCATTTATTTAAGGTCAAACTTACTAAGTAAACATTGCTAATTCAGAGTTTTCGTTAAAAGTCAATAAGAATAACTACATTTACTTAATATGTTGTGTTCGGGACATCTGTGGATTTTGCCTATATATAAATATATATCTATATCTACATGCATGGGTTTAAAGAAAAGACTGAAATAGACTTATTTGAAGCCAAAACGATAAGCAAATAAAGTTTCTTTCATGTAATTTTGCCCAAGTGGTTTTTCGTTAAATTTGTTCTTTTATGTTAAAAGTCACAAAGATTATTTGCAGTCATTTTGTTTCCTTTTGGAATTATTTACACACTTTTACAACAGTGCGTCAAAATCTGTATTTATAACCGAAATAACCGTGTGTTTGATTTAATGAATTGCTGTATTTAACCTGTCCTAAATCAAAAAATTCCCATCCGGCAATCCTTTGACTTTAAAAGAACGTTTTTACATATTGAAGTAGGGTACTGGAAATACAAAACTTGTTTGCTCTTCATTTCTTAACAATCGTTTTAAAGAATTTTATTGCCAGATTATTAATATTAGGCGTGACTCTGACCTATAAATAGAGGTCTTTATAAAGCACCAATACTTATTTAATCAGTAAACATTCTAACCCTCAATTAAACCAATAAATCCAATATTTGAGACAATCCAATATTTTTGCTTTCGAGCCTCGTCACCTGTCACATGGCCTAATGCAGGGCGATGACTCATTCATCAGTTACAATTTAATAATGGTATATTACTTTATATATGTACAATGTATATTTATAATTCGAACCTTCTTAAATGATGATTGTTTTATATATTCTTTTTCTAAATAAAAATCAAATTTCTTAAAAATGATTCATACTTTGTCTACGAAAAACAACACACATGTTAACATTAGTATACTAAACCTTTGTTTGTTTAAAGCTTCAATCCCTAACAGATGTATTTCAAAAATCATCAGTCATAAGTAGAAACAATAATATATATTATATACTCATTTTCAAGTACCCAATTTTAGAACAAAACCAACAGTATATACCGTTGTTTAAATGGGTTAATTACGGCTCAATGTCGCATAAATTTATCAACACACTCATCAATGCATGTTGATGAACATCGCGGATAACGTGCTATCAATCGGATATCTTTGGTCATGATCAATTGATTAATTTAATCGTGATTAAGAATAATTCATTGCCGAGTATGAATACACCAATGAACTATTCTAGCTCCGCCGTAACTAAAATATTGAGTCGACACGATGCACATTAATTTGAAGCTCTTCAGTTTGAGTTATTAAGGCATTCAAAAAAGGCTGCACGGAGGCCCACTTAATTGGCATAAACGCTTGACTACATTGAATGAATTGTCCGTGCTCATTTGGACTTTTACGAAAACATTGACCGTTTATCAGAAATCTTTGAAATTCCATTCTCTTGACTGAATATGGAGAACCGATAAAGAATTCGGCCTATGTACCTTCGGTCATTTATTATCTATATCACGTCATTCAACCATCTTTCCATCTGAATTAATGACACCCTGAGTTTAATTCTTGAACACGCTCCATCTTTTCAAGTTACAAAACGCCCGTCCTCATTAAATTTCAATTTGATCATTGTGGCCTCCTTCGCAACAATATAAATACCCTTAAGCGTTTATTTCTATCTTTACACAAATAAGTTCTTTAGCAATTTATCTCCTTGTAACCTGCTAATTAAAAACAGATATTGACAGCTGAGAGTTTAAACTTTACACCT